GGAGGAGGAGGAGGAGGAGGAGGAGGAGGAGGAGGAGGATGAACTTCGAGAAGAAGCTACAGGCCCTCAAATCGTCTCCTCCTTTGGACCTCGACCTTCTGCACCTGTTGAAAATATGGCACAAGCATCGCACGCAAAGGGCGATGCTGAAGTACCTGACCAGGACGATGAAGCCGCAGAAGTCGTCGTCGAGGAGGAGGAGGAGGAGGAGGAGGAAGAAGAAGATGAAGAAGAAGAAGAACTGCCGTCGGTCCGCATTTCCTTTGCAGAACAAGACTTTGTGCTCTTCTCCACGGCCCCCTCGCCCGTGTACTACGCCCCACCAACCGCCACTGTCGCCTCAGACGCAAAAGGTGATCAGACGACGAGCACGGATGGGAGCGCGGCTGGCTCGCTCGTTGCTGTTCAGGCACCGCAACTGAGCGTGCCGGAACATGGCTTTCGAGAAGGCTTGGACTCGCTGTGCGATCATCTGAGAGTCAAGCATGCGCTGGGAGATTTCTTGGAGGAGGGAACGGAATTGATCATGTCTTTGCCGGATCTGCAATTGTCCGTGCGCGAGGTGAGTTTTGCGCGCGTTGTGAGAGCGCATCGCACCGCATTGCAACCGGCGTCCCCTGCTGACTGCTCCTCTTCCCCTGCCCCCTGGGTGCTTTGCGATGACGGTGCATAGGACGACCTGTACGCCCGAGAAGTGACGCTTGCAGATTTGCACCGCATCCATGTAGGCCTTGGTCATGCCGGCTCACTGCACTTGTCCATCACCGAAGCTCCGAGATTTATAAGCAGGTACAATGCGCTCTCTGAGCAGGTAGCTAGATTGGAAGAAGAGGAGATGCAGCGCCAGGAGCTGCAGGAACAACATGATGTGGAAGAGGCCCAAGAGGTGCTCGAGCAGGGTGTGCAGCATGAGGAGGAGCAGCTTGAAGCAGAGGAAGAGCCCGACGAACTTGGGGGAGCAGCCGATGGGGAAGCGCAGCAAGTCGCAGAGACCACCTATACAAATGCCGAAGAATCTGCAGAGCAGACGTCGGAATCGCGAGACGAGGATAGAAATGCTCCGCAGGCGATTGAAGCTGGAGATGAGACGCGATTTGAAGAAGGGGAGGAGTTTGATCAGACTTTTGCTACGGCCGATGCGGGCGAGGACACGTACGGAGAGTATGCAGAGGAGGAAGCGGATGAGTTGGACGAGGCCACTGCTGCACACAACGGAGCGCTGCATCAAGAAGATGAAGCTGGAGGAGGATCATCTAATCAGCACGTAGAGTATGATGAGGAGGGTGAGGAGGTAGGCGGACAATATGAGGAGCATGATGGAGAGGGAGATGATACATTTGAAGCGGACGACAAGGTGCAACGTGTCGAAGATGGGCCTCAGGCTCATGCAGATCAAGGTGAGTAGTTGGTGGAGATTGCCCAAGCGTAGGCGACATCGTGTGTGGATCATCTGACCATCTGATCTGTTCTCGTGGGGTACAAACAGTCGAAGACGAGCTTCTCGAATACGAAGAGGAGCCGTACGAGCCTGAGAACCTCCTGGACAGCGAAGAGGTGAAAATATCGCAATTCGCAGAGCATGGTGGGGCGGATGCGGACGCGAAAGTCGCTTCCGTCGCTCCTCTGAGCGGCAAGAGACCTTTGGAGGAGCAGCACGATGTGCACGAATCCGCCGAGGTGTCGAGTGAGTGCAACATACTGTCAGAGGTGATACTTTGGTGCTCACTTTGGCTTGCTGTTCCGTTTTACAGATGAGCTTAAACGACACAAGGCGGAGTGATGCGATAGGTCCAGAACGATGACTGGCTCAGCTTTGACGACGGGTCATTCGAGCTCGACCGCCGCCTATCACTATGAAGCTTCTCGCAAATCGATCAACTTGATCTCGCCGCTGAGAAAGTACCAAGCGCTTTGTTGCACCCTTGACGTCCTTTCTCGCCTTCAAACTTCAACTTTTGGACACTCCAATATCAAGTGGTCAATTGCAAACCACCCGAATGGGGAGCCTTGACGGGAAAAGCCTTTCAAGCTAGGGATGAGGCCGAATACATCCATCGCTGCCTAAGACAAACTCTCCATCCACCTTTTCAACTCTCTTCAACAACAAACTCTTCCACTGCAACGGTTTACCTTCGTCGTCTTTTCAGCACTCGTCTCGAACTCAAGTCGCTTCTCTTCAATTTCAAGTCCACAGCTCCGGACAAAGGTGAACAAGTGACGCTGGCTCCCCGGCGCAAAGAAGTTGATCGATCAACTCAAGCATCTCCACACCACTCTTTGTGGGCGCCCGTCTTTCCGCAAGGGCAAAAGTCGAAAAGCGGCTCAAACATTCGTCGTGCAAATACGGTAAGCTCGAAATGGTGGTGCCTTTGAATACTGACCATTCTTTTGCCCCCTCCTTTAGCGGATGCGTTGTTTGATGTCGTCGTCGTCGTCACTATGGAGCTAGGTGCGATGAATGCAGTGGACATGCGCACCGAATTTCCAGCTCGCTCCCGCGCTTTGAGGCGCGTTCCTTGCGAAGCCATTTGTACAGTAGCCGACCTATTCCCCCTTCCGCAATACCTCCGGCTGTTGAAATCTCAATCCGTCTACGCGCATCATCGTTCGTGAGCAACCTTCATGAATAGCATTCGCCAAGCGGGGTGACGAAAGTGGCATGGAGGGAATGACATTGGGCGGCGCTATCGAGGTGGCTTGGGGAACAGATTGTGAAAGCCTGTCCGATCTGCAAACCAAGGTTCCTTGGGGTCCAATCTGCGAGCAATGGGAGGTCCGCGCGCTGTGGGAACATTTTCGAATCTCTCTTCCAGAGGCATATCCTGCCACTCTGTCTCTCCTCTAAGGGAATACCTAAACCTCTGCCAGACGTATTGCCAAGAGGAAGGGTAATCTTGCCTAGTAGGTAGTTTGCCTCCTCCCAATTCGTACTGATAATTCAAAGCCATATTCGGCGTGACTCTCAAATCGCCAAAGGATCCAAATTTCGCCTCCGGCGCAAAAGGGCTATTGCGCGCCCTGTACACCTCTTCTAGCAGTACAACCCTTTCCCTATTACAGCGGGTGAGGTGAAAACCTCGTGCGCGTAGCAGGCGTCCTAGTGGACCCACGCCTAGAAAACGAGGTATGAGGCCGCAAAAACCGGGAGCGGCTGTGCGTATCACTACTTGGCGCGCATCCGGACGAAGCTTGAGCACCGTCACCGTACGAACAGCTCCCACGATGATCGTCGAAGTCTGCAGCGTTTAACAGTCGCGTGAGTGGATCGATTCGTGCGTCAGCGCCCAAGCCGACTTTGCACAATTTCTTCCTTGCCTCCCTAACCCACACCGTTTTTGACCAGCCATTCCTCTTTGCCGAGAGCGCTCTCGTTAAATTCTCAAGACCGACTCGACTCGACTCGACTCGACTCACCAAGAGTGCAGTGCCAAGTAAGGTACAAACGCTGAGCAACACACGAGTTCCGAGACCGGCCACTTTAGGTCTCTCATCCTCCCGCCTAGATTTAGATGATTGTGCAATGACGATGTCGAGGAGATGTCGATGCGCAGTGACGCGGGGACAAGAGTGCGCAAGGGCGAAGTTGGTCCGGCAGGTAGCAAGCAAGAGCGAGAGCAGTGGGTCGGACTTGTTTGATGAGCACTTCGATCGCAAGATACGATGCGCTCTCCTTCCCCTTCCCCTTCCCCTTCCCCTTCCCCTTCCCCTTCCCCTCCTCTCCCCCTACCCTTCCCGAGGCCTGCTTGTCCCCCCTGGCAGAATAAAAGACGAACTCACTTTCTGAATTGCACGAAAGGCCATTGGGTGCGAAAAGAATCAAATATCAGCACCGCACTGCCCAATCTGACGTATTAATTTCAGCCAATGAGAGGAGGGCAAGGAAATGCTAGGTAGATGTCAGCGGACAGGAATTGGAAGCGCACGAGCTTGCCAAGCTTCAAATGGCCAGCGCGCACGACCTTGGCAATTGCAGGCCCCCCGTGCTCATGCTCACCCTGCCCCAAAGATGACGGATGCGACGAAGAAGCTGATCCAAAGTTTATACGCGGAGGGTCCGCGAAAGATGACGATCTCCCTCTGCGCAGGTACGACGCCAGGTGTTGCTCTTCCACCTGCTGCTGCTGCTGCTGCGATCGATGTGGAGTTGGCTGATGCATCGGCGGCAGAAGTCACCTGCTGGACTCGCTTCGTCCCTTTGCTCTTGCCGGCCTTGGAAACGTTGGAGCTGGGCGCTGTCGAAGCAGCAGGAGTAGCAGGAGCAGCAGGAGCAGCAGGAGCAGCAGCAGCAGGAGCGAATGCAATTTGTGCTGCAGTGCGCGTGGAAAAGTTTCTTGCGATCTGCAAACTTGTCGGTACGACATCCTTATTCAGCTTGCACAATCGCAATCTCCACCCCACATTCGCACAAGTGCTCATGCTCGCCAGGTTCGATGATGATGCCGACGACCTGCCCACTCCCCCGCCGACTGCGACTCTCGTAATGATGCTGCGACGTGCTGAGCAGCCTCTTGCTGAGTTGGCAATGGCAAGGGCAGAGCTTCCGGCTTGCAAAGGGCTCGCCCTGCTCACATTGTGCCCTCCTCCTCCCCCTCCGATCATCTTGCTGCCCGCGGCGCTCGTACAAGACAGCGAATGTCGGAACATCAAGAGACAAGTCGAGGTGCTACTGCTGCTGCTTGTAGCCGCAGCCGAAGCCGCAAACGTCGCCATGGCCCGCGGCGTGGTGAAAGGGCAGCTAGCTGCCTTTTACAGGAAAAGTGGCCAAATTGCTGCTGGCTGTTCAGGAACAATCTTCGGAATGACTGTGGCCGTCTCAGCAAGTGCTGGGGGGACATGTGTGCTCGCGTGGTGTGATGGAGTAATTGTTGGGCCATCGATCGCGAGGCTCTTCCTTGCTGCTGCTGTTGCTGCACGCGTTGCTTCTTCTTCTCGCGTGCAGATCCATCGATCAGCACGGAGCTGTCAAGCACGTGACACCAGATTCCGACTTGGAAGTGATGAAATGATGAGAGAGTCTGATGAGCGGGAAAGAAGCGTGGGCTGCACAGGCAGAAAAAGGGCAAAGCTTCCTCGGTCCTCTCATCAAGCTTTCACAGCATTCCGAGCAAAAAAGCAGCGGTACGAAAGGAGGCGACAAGTTCTTGAATGCAAAGAAATGTATGAACAAGGAGTCGTCAAAGGACAAGACATGGGGAAGAGGTCAAAGAGACTACGGGAGGGGAAGAACTGTTGCTTGCTTGCAAAAGGATGGAGATCGTGTACAGCTTGATTGAGTTGCTTTCAAAAGACGACACGAGAAGACTGTCCTTGATATTGTGCTTTTCCTAATCGCAAAAGCCGAATGCATACCTGACTGCTCTCAATTTCTCCACCTGCCATTCGTCCAAGCAGGTTGAGGCGGTGGAGGAGGAGGACCGGCAGGCGCGTCGTAAGAAGGATAAGCGGGGTACGCTTGCGACTCCGCGGCGGTGCTATGCGGAGAGTTGGAGTACCTAGCCTGGGGATGTCTAGGTGGGGGTCCAACAGGTGCGCCAGTCGCCCTACTTCCTCCAAATCTCGAAGGCATAGTGGAGGAGGAGGATCGCTTGTTCCAATTGCTGCTCGACGCTCTCCTTCTTCTCGTGCATGCGCCTACGATGCACCTCAATAGCGCCCACAGCACCAGCAGCACAATGATGCCCACCACAATGGTCACGGGAATGGCAATCTGCGGTTGTTCCCTAAAGTAAGCGCCCAACGTATCCGTGCTCGATCCGCTCCTGCACTCTCCATTTTCGCACCTCCCTCCATAACCGCAGCTCGTACCGTCGATAAAGTTGGAAGAGAGAATGACGCATGTGTTGGCCCTGCTAGGGCTTTGACAGCTCACCGAACAGCTGTTGGATGCTGTGGCAGAGCAGGCCCTCGTAAGGCCCATATCCGTTCCTTGCTGTTGGCACTGCTGATCCCGGCTGGTGCAATGACCAGAAGCGCAGCTGAGCCCATCGCCACAGCCGTGCCCGTCGCTCTCGCGCTGATCAGCCGGGCACTCATCGCTCGTTCCCGAGCAAGTCTCGGCCGAATCGCATCGGTCGTCGACCGATGGTCGACAAACGGTACCAGCAGATGCGAACTGACACTGATCCGTACAGCAAGCAGATCCTTCCGGATCGCAAACGGATCCCGAGGTCAATTTGCAGTCGGCGGTGCAGCATGCGCTACCGTTCGGTCCCGCATCGCACTCTTCGCCAGCATCCAGCTCCAAGATGCCATTGCCGCACTGCTGTTCACTAAGCGTCTGTCGGGAGCCAGGCTCCACAACGCATTCCGTGTTGAGGCCTCGACTCAGCAGGGTGCAGATATTTCCGATGGTGCAAGGTGAAAAGGTGAACGTGTCCGATCGAGAGACGGGGCTCATAATGTGCTGGCTATTGTCGTTGCAGCTACCAGTCGATGCGGGGCAGCAAGAAGCGCCGCTGGACTGTCGCGCCATTCCTCCAGAGATGGAGCATCCTGAACTGCAATCGTGCACCGCGCCGAAATTGTGCCCAATTTCGTGCGCCACGACTTGACTGACTTGCGTAGTCGACGCCGTCACTCCGGCACCATTGACCACATCTCCATTGCCGCTTGGACTGGCTCGCGTCTGGCACAGCGTTCCCAACCATGCCACGCCTACTTCGCTGCCGCTGCGGCAGGTGGTCAGCATGTGCCATAGTCCAGTCCCATTGTTGTTCTGACCGGCCCATTGCGAGAAGGCGGAGAGCCGCTGGTCAAGACTTGGACCTCCGTCAGTGCACCCAATGTTCCACTGCGCGTTGGACTGCGCAGTGCTGGGACAAGCAGACGACTGTACTTCGAGCTGAACCACACCTAGCGATACTCGGAAGGTGCTTCGGTACAAGTTGCTGACCTCGTTCATGAGGTTAAGCAAGTTTCTTCGCACCTCATTCTGATCGCTGAATTGGCCTGCATAGTTGCAGTCAGCAGCGATACCCATGTATACGACCTGGTTCGTGCTCGGGCACCCCGCCGTGGAGCCAATTGAGCCGGTGTACGAGTCGTTCGTTCCACCGTTGCCCGTGAGAGCATCGCCACCCTGCCTCCTGATGAGAGGGTCGTGGTAGTCGAATCGTCCGTGCAGGTTCTCGAGACCTACAAGGTGCTCGGAATCTCTCCGAAGAGTGCGGTCGAGTAGAGAAGCTGCGACATTTGTCGCACGCTTGTAGAGCGAAGATCCCTCCGCGCCGTCGTGCCTCGCAGAGAGAGAAGTCAAGCCGTCGGGCGAAGCGAAGAAGCTAAGAGGGGACGCGCTGAACTCGTCATTGTTCGAGTCGGTCAAGATGAGACGGTTGTTGAGGTTATATTCGTGCGAGTCGCTCGAGCATCCTGCGTCTGCTACCTCGGCATCCCGAATACCGAGCGAACGTGCTTCGTGAGGCAGCATCATGTCGCTCTGTCGGTGCACCAGGATTCTGTTCTCATCGAAAGACCGCTTGTCGACAGGGGGATCGTATTCAGATCGCTGAGCGGCAAAAGTCCTCGCCTGCTTGATGGTGTGGATGTTGCCGTCCCAGGTAAAGGTGCCTTCAAAGGAAGGGGAACCGGACTCGGAACCATCGTCGTGAACCACTCTGCATCGAGGTGCTCAGGTCAGCCAAGCGTCAAGCAGCTCGATGAATGTCGTGTGTGAACTTACACAGCTGCGCGACCCACGACACCCTGCTCGGTCCATGATGGGGACCCAACATCTCTCCTCACCCCAGCGCGATCCTCTGCCATTCTATCTCTCGACCACATGGCATGCACTACCTCTCCATGGTAAGCCCTAGTCTCTCCGCGCAAGATGCGTTCCTCCTTCACACTGCCATCCGGCTGATGATAGCGGACAGTGGCACCATCGGGGTGAACAATCTCTTCGTTGGGTTCGAGATGAAGGTGAAAGAGCTGGTCGAAGGCTCTGAGCGTCAGACGAAGCGTGTCCGATGCAAGGATGGCGTTGGGGTTGGATCGACGCGTAAAGCTTGGCGCATCGTGAACAACACCTGCGCTTCCTCCCGCCCTCGCACCGCTATGCCGTTTGTGGCTGTGGTGTGTGCTAGGTGGTGCAGCGCGCACGACTTGGAGGCTAACGTCGGAGGCGTAAGAGAAGCGATGCAGAGGTAGAGGCTGCTGCGATGAAGCTGGAGGAGAATAGGGGCAGCAGCGTGGTGTCAAAGGATGAACGCCCGTTGCCACTCAGAACGCGGCCCGACCATGGCAAACTCACCCTTCGTCGATGAGGCAGTGACGGCGAGCGCAATGAGACAGCTGGCCCACGCGAGCGTGAGACGCATGGTCAAGGTGTTGGTGGTGGGAGGGAAGGCCAGAAGAAGAAGACTGCGAATTCTTCGTGGCGTGCGATTGGTGCCGTGTGGGACGGGACGCCCGCGCAGTTGATGAAATGCTTGCTGCGCCGAGGTGAGCTCCAGTCCAGCAGCCCTTCACCCGACGGCACGCGGTTTGTCCAGAACTCGTGGCCCTCGGTGAGAGTTAGCGCAGACGATCGTGGAGCCGATAGCCCGCAGGTAAGATCTGACGGTATCGTCCAATTACGTCAACTTATTGCCACGCGTAGAGGGATGTCTTCCGTATGTCTAGTCCTGGCGACGCAAAGACGAGACGATTGGGGTTTGAGGCTTTGAGATGACGATGACGATGATGGTGGTGTTGAAAGATCAAGATGCGCAGTCTGATGGAGAACGAGATCAACTCGCTCTGAAATCAGGGATCCGTCGCTGCGCTGCTAGTAATCGTAAGATTGAGAACCGATCAGCTTTTGTTCCGCTCCGCCGCTCGAAGTTGGAAGGGGAGTGAAGGTCGGAGTCAAGGTGGGGTAAAGTGCTGCTGGATGAGCTGAGCAAAGGCGAGATGACGCAGAATGAGTATGGGGAGAAAGCGCTCTGCTGCTGTGCGGATGTTGAAGCCCGAATGGCCGAATTTGGCCGAGCCGAGCAAAGAGCCAAGAATCAAGGGTTTGCGATTGCGAGTCGAGTCGATGCTGAGTGGCTTGCTGGTGGCTATATAGCAGCAAGCGCGACGAGATGGTTCGTTCGGCCTTGCACTCACGACTTGCAGACAGCTGAGGTGCTGTCCAGATTAATTGTGATCGAGCCGCAGTGCGGGTCGCGAACGTTGAAGTGGGCAAGAAATCAAACGATTGTGGCAGTGCTATACGTAAGCTGCTGCTGCTGAGAAGAGATGTACCCCATGTGCTCTAGCTGTGTGTGTGTGGTGTGAGCGTGGGCGAGGGCGAGGGCGAGACCACCAAGAGTCACAAGTCTGCTGAGTTGATTCAGATTGGCAGGATGATGGGCTTTCATCATGCAGCCCAGCAAGAAGCACGATTACGAACGAGGCAACATTCGTGATTCAATCAATAATCACAAATATGAATGAGTACAGCAAGGTTGCTGATCGATCTGAGTCGATGAGTGCAGAACAGGCACATCAACGCTCATATATCTTGCACCACGTACGTCAACTGAGCGCAAGTGCACCCGTGACTGTTGTGACTCTTCTGACTCACGACTTTGATTCGCACTTCTCCAAATGCCCGCTTCCAAGGCGTGCCAAGCACAAGGCGTGCATGAAACACATCATGCCATGCGGCCCTGCTCTTCCGCCTCCCCTCGAGCCTTGCGTGCATGCAGCTAGGCAAACGCAGATGGATATATAGGCAGGCAGGCACACGAATTGAGAGCGCGCGCTGATTCATGTAGTTCTCCAAGCCTACTCCTTCCTCGCCAACGACCGCACGCTGCTGCATGGTGACTCATATTTTGCGTGCAGCAAAGGAGAGACCGCACTCAGACTCTTTATCGACTCCTGACTCACACTACTTATTACTCTTCTGGCTTTTGGCTGACCGTCGATTCGGCCAAAGCAGCTATAGCGGAAGGTTCATATGGTGTTCAAAGATTCGATTCGTGATCTTCAGATTCTTGATTCGTGATTATGATTTGTCCATACAAGGCAGGTTAGTACACAGCCTACGCAATTTTGTTCCAAGATGGGCTAGCAGCAAGGCTGAAACGCCACCTTGCATCTGCATACTTCACCTTGTTGACGCGGCAAGCAGCAGCTGCTGCTGCTGCTGCACAGCACACACGACAGCCTTGATCGTCCGTCTGATGCAAGCGGCACGCGCGCGCGTGCGAGATGCTGCATGATGATCGAGGCGACGAGTCGGGTCGACCTTGATTTCGATTCGCGGCTGTGCTGCCTACCGTGCTGCCATTCAAAATTCAGATGAGGGTAATTCCAGGCGGACACAACGAGCTCAGCAAGACGTTCGTGGAAAAGATGCTTGCCAATCACGTGAATGACCACAGAACCTGATGAAGCAAGAACTACCGCATGGTCTTGCTTGCAGATCCATCAAGTCGTGGACTCACTCAAGACTCGTCGAAACCTCGAGACTCTTGAGTCTCAGATCGATGCTCGACCCTAACCCCTGTCTCAGTGCTACCGGGCAGGAGCGAGCCGAGCCGCGCGACTTTGGCTCTCATCGCTTCGTTGTGCATCAGGGCCTCACAGCGAAGTAGACTCATCACGACTCGTGACTTTTGATGAGTCTCACGTCTCGCGGCAACCATGCAGCAGCACGCGAGTCACGTGAGTCTTGAATTAAATGTTGAGTGCATGAGCGGCGAAACCGGCAGGAGGGGTGCCCACTCCGACCCCTCCACACCAGCAAGTGAAGCACGAATCGTACCACAATCGCGAACAGGCACATGCCCGTCTGGATCCCGTGCACTGCGACTGTCTGACTGATGTCTACGGTACTTGTTTTGTTTACTCATGAGGATCGCGATGAAGCGTCCAGGCTCCAATCACGTGAATGCACGCACGCTCAATTTTGTTAAATTGCACACCGCTCTCCCTCCGTGTCCTGCTGCTGGATGTCGACACTCTTCGCATACGCAACAACACCACAGTTCCCCCCCTGTGTGAATAGCAAACATGCCTCAAGCAGTCATTGTCCACGACGTGCTGGGCACTCTCTTCAGGTATGTTCCTGCCTCATGTGCTCCGCGACGGCAGGCCGGAAGACTCTAGCTGATGCTTTGCGGGTCCTTGATGGCATCCGAGCAGCCTAGACGAACCGATCTCGGCGCTTCGTCAGGCCTTCTCCGATCAATTGTCTTCGCAGCCAGACATTGTGCCGGAGCTCATCATCATGGATTGGTATCATGCTGCGCAACGTGACTTTCTCAATCTAAGCATCAACAACGCATACATGCCATTCTCCGAAGTTTTCAAGAGCACCCTTCCGAGGATACTGCTTCAAGCTGGCTTGAAACCAACAGATGCGTCAGTGCCGAAAGCAGCAGCGACGAGCGATGTCGCGAATGCATTGCGTCGAGGCGGGGCTCTGCAGGGTCCAGGACCTAATGGAGATGTCAAAGGCTTTGACGACGAAGTGTCTCAGATCATGTCATCACTGCGACGCTTGACACCCAGACCCGGCATGCTCGAGGCTTGGAAGCGGTACGAGGCCGCACACGCAGAAGTGTGGGGCGCGACAAATGGCGGTCTCGCACTTGCTTCCAAACTCTTCGAAGGCGCTCTCGGGCAGGGTTGCATCCAAAAGCAGCAGCAAGACCGAGGCACGGCTTTGTTCTCGTGCGACGAAATCGAGGTGGCCAAGCCGGATGCTAGGGTGTACGAGGCGGTGAGACAGAGAGCGACGCAAGGCAGACAGCCGCAAACCATTGACCTCTGGTTTGTAGCCACGCATACATGGGTACGTGAGAGGTAGGCAGAAGGCCCCACATCGCTCTAGTCGAAGCTCTGCTCATCCGACCCGCCCACTTCCTCTCGCAGGATCTCTTCGCGGCCAAGAAAGCAGGGTGAGACTGCTCCGCCGAATCGCGAGGTTACGCACCGCTTACAAGTCTTGCTCACACGACCTTGCCCCTCCGACGTCCAGTTTCAAAACAGCATGGGTTTGGAACGAAGAGTTCCACGCGAGCTCAGCGATTTACGGGGAGCCTGACATCATCGCCTCGAACCTCGACGATGCAGCCAAGCAGATTTTGGAGCGCGCGCTGCGTACCTGACCGAGGTTTCGAGTTTGCGGAAGCGAATGACATTTGGGCAAATTGGCATTGCGATATATTGGCGGTGGATCGTGCGAGGTCCACGCGGAGGAGGGCGGCGTTTCACTTTCCTCTTTTGCCACCTCTGCCCGCTTTGCCTCCTCGTGCTCTCTTACTGGGTGTCCCTCTTTGTAGGCTGTCATCTTCCTCCTCGCCTGCATCTCGCTTGACGGCCTTCTTGTCATCCGTGGCGCCCTCCGCGCCCAGATCGCCTGCGTTCCCGGCCTCCGCGATGCAGCTGGGGCAGTGCCACTCGCCCTCAGGCACGGAGCTCAAAGGCGGAGAAAGACACTTGAGGTGCCATGGGTTCTCGCACTTTTCGCATTCCAGCAACACGTCTTCGCTGCCTTGCGCAGACTCTTCTCGCGAGCATTTGAGACAGTGGTCAGAGGACGGCACGACTTCTGGAAATCTCGGCAGCTCGGAGTACGTTTCTCCTTGATTGCGGGCAATGTCTGGGTGGGGGGCACGAAGCAGAGAGACGCGCGCTTAGGAAGAATGGAGCGGAAATATAGCCCAGAGGACTCACAGTACGTGGTATTTTGGCCTGCAGCTATGTCCAAGATAGACACCTTGTCCAGCGGCTCACATCTGATCGGCTTGGTAGCGCTGCGGGGCTTCTCCGGACCCAGGCCCAGTTCTCCGTTTGCAGCATTTTGTCCCCACACTACATTCATCGTGGCATCGCAGTCTGCGCGCATACCAGCATCAGGCTCATATGCGGTGACAAGTAGCGTGACACCTCCAAGAGCAACGTTGAGACAATGCACACCCATGAGCTCGTGAAAGTATTTGTAAGTCATGTAGCCTTGACCTGCACCACCTTCGCCCGAAGTCTTCCACTGCAAGGGTGTGACATGCGATTTGAGCGATGCATTGCCCATGTCGTGAATGCTTGACAGTGTACGCTCCCCAGACTCACCTTGCCAGCGAGATAGTACATGTGTTGTCTATCGAGGATCGCACTGCACGATGGTCCTGCATAGATCGCTTTGGCTCGCAGTACCGCATTGTCCCTGGCAAATTGTGGCACCAAGGTTGGTGACAATTGATCGGCCTGCATGCCCAAACCAAGCCTTCCGTAGCCGCCAAAGCCCCACACGTAGACGTAGCCGTCCGCATCGAGGCTAAGGATAGCTTCGAGTAAGATGGTGTGTATGAAGTGCAAGGGAGAACAGCGCAAGACTCACGCTAAGGAGTGCTGCTGCCCGCATTGGACATCGACGATCTTCTTGTCTGCGAGCACTCCTCTGACAGGGACTGATCTCGGAACGCAGTAAACATCAGCTTTTGAACGATTCGAGCAGTGAGTCCGAGGCATTGAACTCACGCGGATCGGTAAAGGTCTGGAAAGCCAATTTGTTGCCCGATATGAAATGCTCCCCTGTTCTGCCGTTGCCCAGCTGGCCTTTCTCTGTGGAGCCGAGTGCGTAGACTGGAAGCGTAATCAGGGAGAAGGGAAAGCGGTGAGCGCCGACGACACGCGGGACCTGCCAATCGCTTAGCCTCACCTTTGCCGGACTCTGTGAGGAGAATTGAAAAGGTAAGGCCTGCCGAGGCTCTGACCAACGGATCCTTTTCCTTCTCATACTGGCCACCAGTCACGCGTTTGAAGCCATTCACATCCCCAATCGCGTGACCACACTGGCCCATCGCATTACCGCCAGCAGAGTACAGGGTGCCGGCTCGAGTGACGATGAGGGAGTGATTTCTGCCAGTGGCTGCCCAAACAATGTCACCCTGAGCTCCGGCCGGCAGTGAAGGAGCGAAATGCTTGCTCCGATCCAGTCGGGTGGGCGCATCGATGCTGACTGTAGAACTCGGCAGGCCGCATTGACCCTTTTCGTTCCGCCCAATCACCCAGACATCGCCCGATACCGACAAGAAGAACGCGTGGCAGGAAGAGTGCGAGGAAAAGACCCGCTTCATGCGAATGTTTGAGACGGCCCGTAAAATGTGTGGCGCACTGAGGTCAGGTCTGACGATGATCATGGATGGAGGTGATGGTCCTGTCAGCCTGGAACCTCACGGAGCTACATGCTACTGCAAGCGCGCTTCACCTCTCATCCGTAGGCTTAAGCCCCTTTCTGCCCAGATTCGGCCAATCGGTCCCGCCAGCGATGAGCACTGCGAGGATCGTGTAATGGTGAGCAACAGGATCTTGAGCAGGTATGTCGAGGCCCAAACACTCACCCCGACCCCAAGATGGCGGCTCTGTGACTTCTGTTTGGGAGGCCATGATCGCGACTGAGGGTCTCACACTTCACGAGGAAGTGCTCGACTCGATCGGCTTTGGGCTGTCCAGTCTGTATGACCGAATGACCTGCAATCGCTTCGCCTCGCTCCGAGAGCAGCGGTGTGCCGTGCCGTGTGCGGCTGGGCGAAAATTACGTATATTGGGACGTTGGGGCTCGCTTGCCTGGTCCGATTCGGATAGACGGGCTTGCAAAATCCGCGCAATTGCGTGTACGCGGTATATAGGTATGGCTAGATGTGTTGAGATGCTCCGCATTTGACCGGAGAGATCTGTCCGCACGCGACACCTGTGATATTCACTCACGGTTTGGCGCTTTCGACGTGACGGAGCGGTTCAAAGTGGGCGCGTTTCTGGAGCAAAGGACGCGTGACGCGTTGAGCGCGCTGCCAAACCACGTGTCGAGGTCAAGAGAAGGTGTCGTCTTGTCAGAATCGTCTCGAGTCTGTCTACATCTCGGGTCCGCTCATGTTGCGTGCCCCTCGGCCGGCACGCGGTCGAGGCTGCAGGAGATGCCGAGGCGCGTTGAGGAGGACACATCACGCAGAGTGCATGCGCTCGATGCAGCAGCCGCGCTACAATAGTGAATGCGAACCTGCAGCAGAAGGCTCGACATGAGCAATCGTGAATATCACCAGAGGGGAAATCGCTGCCGAGGCTAGCGCGGGAGATGAACCTGCCGCCGGTGCTGCCGATCAGCGAGACTCCACTGATCACTGATGGATTCACGATGACTGTGTTCTTGCTTCACTCGAATCAATCATGGAGAGATCTCAGCGGCAAGTTCGGCATTGTCTGCATCCGCCATGCATGCCGCAGGGACCTTTCGCCACATCGTACGACACACACGCGCCTTCCCTCCACCTCCCTCGGCGCTGAACGTCGCAGTCAAAGGAGTAGCAGCTATCACGCACTATGTGCCGGCGGCATCGCGGAACTCCTCACGACGCTTCGGCACGTCGGTCAGTCGCCGTCACCCAGTTGAGCAGCAGTGAGGCGTTGAATTTTGAGGGGCGACCAGCCGATTGAGCCGCCTCGTTGACAGGAGGCCTGCTGACCCCGTGTCCTCTGCGTCAGTCAGACATTTATGGAAATCTTGCATCCTATAGCTGGACTCGTTTCGGTTTCGCTGTGCGCACGCCAACGCGCCGACAGGCCGACGTCTCCTTTGCTCGGTCGGTTCGCGCATCCATTTGATTTGGGTGTTGCGCGCGTGGTAGCACAATGAGAGGGAAGCAGTAAGAAGATGACGCACTCAAAACTGGAAATCGTGCTGATCGCCCAAGCCTCGGTGTTTTCCGGCGCAGCGAAAGTCACCGCCTCGAGATGTCAGTCAATCATGGCTCGGGGTTGGATCGCGTGGTTTGCAAAAAGGGAAGTGCAGCTGCGCGAACGGTACAGCATGGCAGTCAGCCGTCGCCTGAGTTGCCGAGGATGATATATTTGATTTCGTTGAGAGGGCGACGATACCCGGGCCGGTCGACACGCATTCCTCGCGATCCCCTCTCTCACTAATCACCACCATCCACACCACAACCTGTCTCATATTCACGACTAACGATTCGACGCTCGTTGCATACACACACCCTATTAGTTCTCAGCACAGCGCTTCTCCTAATTTCAGCACACACACACCTCAACTGTCATTGCCACGATGCGTGCTGCTGCGATTGTAGGCGCAGCCTTGGCGCTTGCGGTCGTTGGCTCCGAAGCCAGGATCGGCATGGGTGTCTCCCCGCGTTTGGGCAAGCGATCCAAAGCAGGCGTCCCGTTGGACTTGTACGAACGTCACGCTGCTGGACACGATGTCGGCGGGGCTCGCATGACCCCAGTGGCTCGTCGCTCCCCAGCACCTGCCGCTCCTACCAACGAAGCACAAGAGGCTCAGATTAAGAGCGAGACGGAGGCGTGCACACCTTATTCCATTCCCGGTGAGTACTCGTGCTGCATCCGAAGTACTTCTACTCGGCTGACGTCCCTCACACTATCAATCGCTCGACGCAGAGGTCGCCAACATCAAGGGACAATTCCCTACCATTTGGCAGACTGCCGACCTCGTTCCCGGTGATTCCGCTGCTCAGAGCGTTTGGCAGAACATCCAGAGTCAGAACATCATCCCGGCGGATATCAAGCCAAAGGGAACCCGTAAGTAGACGCGAAAGTCTTACTGCCTTCCATCGCCGTGACTGATTTTCTCCAAGCACGATTTCACAGCCAACGGCGACTTCTCCAGCTTCACACCGACTTACGATCACTCGGACCCCGACTGCTGGTGGACTTTCGACAACTGCGTGAAGCCGAAGCACCCCAAGATTCCTGTCGACGTATACCAATGCCCTGAGCCTTCCACTTGGGGCTTAACTTTTGATGACGGACCCAATTGCACTCAAGAAGTTCTGTACGACTTTCTGCAGCAACAAAACCAAAAGGCGACCATGTTTTACATTGGCTCCAACATTCTTGACTGGCCGCTTCAAGCCCAGCGCGGTTTGGTCGACGGTCACCAGATTTGTGTCCACACATGGTCGCACCAATATATGACTGCTCTGTCCGACACCCAGGTGTTCTCTGAGCTGTACTACACTGCCAAGGCCATCAAGGATGTTGTCGGTGTCACTCCTCGCTGCTGGAGGCCTCCTTACGGTGACACGGACGACCGTGTTCGTGCCATCGCCACCGGTCTCGGTCTCAGCACCGTGATCTGGACCGACGACACGGACGACTGGAAGGCTATCCCAGCAGGCACCTTGCCCAAAGCTAGCATCGACGCCAACTACGCATCCATCATCAACAAGGAGTCAGACACTACCGGTAACATCGTCCTTACACACGAGCTCAACAACGGCACCATGTCAGAAATGATCGAGCAATACCCGCAGATCAAGCAAAAGTTCAAGCACATCGTCCCCATCACTGCTTGCATGAACGAGACGAACCCTTACCCAGAGAGCATCACCTATCCCAACTTTGCTTCTTACATTTCGGGCGACATTGAGCCCAAGGGCATTCCCTCGGGCACTGACATCAAGGTTCAATCTGCCTCGTACGACCCTCTGGCCGCTGCGAGCGCCACCGCCGCCGCTGGTGACTCCACTGGCGGTAGCACGTCTAGCAGTGACAAGCAAGCTAGTGCTCAAGGTCAAAAGAGCACTGGTAGCGGCAAGAGCGCCGCTTCGTCCAACAGAGCAGGCAAGGCCATCGTCGCCGTCAGCGCTCTCGGTGCTGTTAGCGCCTTTATGCTTCTTTAAGCGTGTTCTGCAACGAGCATTACCGTTCGAAGATGCATCCCGAGATACAGCTGTGCTGTCGTCTCGCTTCGATAACCTTCCCCTCCTATCTGCACGCGTTGATCACTTTTCCTTGCAGCTTCTCGTGCCTCTGCTGGGCCATGCACGACTTTGTGCGCTCAGATTGCTTGTAAATGACCGCACTTGGACAATGAATTTGACACGCCCTCGCTCTCGTGCTTTCTGACATTCTTTGTGAGGCGAGGCCGCAATTTCTGCCCACTTGGGAGCTGATGAAATGTAGGCGTCTTTTGTTGTCATGGCGCGCTTCTCGCAGTTGCACCCTGGATGTGCGTGTCGAGCGTGGATGAGCGGTGCGCCGAGTGGCTTCACTGCATAGACATGATCAGTGGGAAAATGACGATCCGCAATCGACTCAAGACTGTCTAGACGTCGATAGCATAGCTCTAGATCCTGTCTGCTGAAGACAGACGCCCAAAAGAAAGGGGGCCTCAAACAGACGAAAGTCGTTGTGAGTCAAGAATGGGTGCGGTTCCTAAACCGTACTCGTGACTACACGTGTTAAGGACTCGCGGTGTCCAAGCGCGTATCGCGCGGGACAGCAAGTCACGCGAATCACGAGCGCGAGGAGCGAAGCAGGCGTGACGTGGAGCATGCGCCGGCTGCCATGCACGAAGGTGCTGATGCGTGAGTTGGCTTCTTCTACGCACGGTTGCACGCCCTTGAGAACATTGTGATTCACGAGTTGCTCGGCGTTGGCGATCGACGTGAGCTCTGATCAGCATCAATCACCCACGTCTGAATCGTGGCCTTGCCTCAAGATTAGACCAGCTCAGCTTCCCTCCGAACAAACATCTAGCATCTCGCTGCCCCAAGTGCTCCACCGACTCACCCTGATCTGCACGACCTCACCCGCACAAGTCAGTCCTCCAAGCCAAGCATGGCCGTCATGACAACTCGGCGGACTGGCAGGCCGCCGTTCGTGGCCATGGTGCTGGCTCTGGCTTTGAGCTGCGCTTACATGCTGAGTCACCTTTGCGTCGCTGCCATGGGTGTGGTGGGCATCGACTACGGCACAGAGTCCATCAAGATCAGTTTGGTCAAGCCCGGCGTTCCGTTCGACGTTGTCCTTAGTCGAGACAGCAAGCGAAAGCTTCCTGCAGCTGTCGCTTGGAAGAAGCAAGAACGACTTTTCGGAACAGACGCTTCGAATTTGGCTACCCGATTTCCAGGCGACACTTTCATCAACGCTAAGCTCTTGCTGGGTCGGACCTTTGATGATGCCGACGTGAATGCGCGCGCCAAATATCAAAGCTTGTTGGGCACCAAGTTGATTCCGACCACACGCGATACTTGTGCTGTCCAGCGAGCCACCGACTACACCAACGATGCTAGTGGTCCCGATACGTACGCGGTAGAGGAGCTGGTGGCGGCACAATTCAGCCACGCGCGAGAATTGGCCGAAGAGGCAGCTGGAGAGGAGTTCAGGAGAAGCTATCCAGGCACTGTCGGAAGCTTTGGCGGGCTAGATGTCGTCATCACCGTACCAGTCTACTGGACAGCAGCTGAACGTCACGCCATCGTCGACGCTGCGAGAATCGCAGGCTTTGAGCCTCGGCTCGTGAGCGATGGTGCTGCTGGTGAGTCTGATCAGTTCCTCGCGCAAGCCATGTTGCTCTTGCGCTAAAGCCATTCTGGTCATCCCCCCACAGTCGGCGTGAACTATGCGCAGACACGCACCTTTCCCAAGAGCGAAAAGCACTTGTTCTATGACGCTGGAGCTGGATCTGCTCGTGCAACGATCGTGGAGTTCAGCACTAGACTCGTGCAAGCCGACAGTATCTTGTCCATCGGTAGCACACAGAAGGAGGCTGTCATTGTCGACGTCTTGTCCGCTGGTTGGGACCGCCAAGCGTCTGGTGTTGCGGTCGACACGCTCATTCGAGATGCGCTTGCTGACAAATTCGAGGAGACGCATGGCAATCGCCTCGAGAAGCCTCTGCGCTCCCAACCCAGGGCACTGGCTCGGCTTTTGAAGGAAGCCAATCGGGTCAAGCATGTGCTGAGCGCCAATGTAGAGGCTAGCGTCAACGTAGAAGGTTTGGCAGAGGAGATTGACTTTAGAAGCAGGTTCAGCAGAGAGGAGCTGGAGAGATTGGTGGAAGCTGCAGGCTTGACACACCTCTTTGCCAGTCCTGTGCAAGATGCCCTGAAGTCCGCAAAGCTTAGAATCGTAAGTCTCAATGCTCCTCACAGCTGATGCAGTCTAGACAACTCAACCCCTTGTCGGCCTTCCCACCACAGAGCGACTTGGACAGCATCGTCTTGGTAGGCGGAATGTCGCGAGTGCCTTTCGTACAGGCCGCCCTTCGTGCCGCTGGTATTCCGGACTCGAAGATCGCCCAAAACGTGAATGCAGATGAGGCAGCTGTCATGGGTGCGGCGTTCTATGGTGCAACCTTCAACCCGCAATTCCGCATGAAAGCAATTCGCGCATTCGACGGCAACGTCTACCCTGTAGTGCTGCGCGAGTCGAACGGCAAGGAAGAGATCATCTACCCTTCGGGCAGCTTCGAGAAGACGGAGCATGTCAGACACTATAGTGGCAAAGAGGCAGCATCTGACTTTAGTCTCGACATCAAGTACGACCGATCCGTCACCCCAAAGCTCGACTCTTTCGATGCAGACCTCTACCGCTTCGAGGTGGTGGAGACGGACAATTACCTGGCCGGTCTGAAGGAACGAGGTGAACTTGACCAAGTCGACCTGAATCTGAACCTCACGATCATCAGCGAGCCTTTGGGCACCTACAGCATTGGTGCGGTTTGGCTCAACGTCACACAGAAGCCCGGCGGTATTGCTGGAGCTTTAAAGTCGTTCTTCAACGTTGGCGCAAATGCGGTGGACGAGGAAGAGGAAGACGGTGCGTTGGATACCAACAGTACGACCGCCGATGATGCTGCTGCGAACAATTCGTCCGCACCTGCCAAGACCAAAAAATCAAAAAAAGCGCTTCCGACCAACAGAGCGATTCGCCTGGTCGGTCGCGCCGTTCCGCTGGGAAGCATCAGACCGTATTCGGGAACGGACTTGGGCAACGCAAAGGACAGACTGTACGTCGCCAATACCGAGGCGAAGAGCAGAGTCGCTCGTGAGGAAGCTCGCAACGTTTTGGAAGCCTCCATCTACCGTGCTCGTGACATTGTGCACGACGAAGGCTTCAGCGTGGCGAGCAAACCCAAGGAGCGCGAGGCAATTTCGAAAAAGGCCGATGAGCTTGCCGAATGGCTCGCCTCTCGGGACGGAGAAGTCGCTGATCTGCCCAAGCTCAAAACACGCCAATCGCAGCTCGACAACTTGATCAAGCCAATCGAGAAGCGTATCAGCGAGCAGAGAGGTCGGTCAGCTGCAATCACCCGCCTCACGTCGGCAATGCAAGACACGCATGCTTTCGTCTCGGCAGCTCGCCAGAATCTCACGGAAGCTCTGGCAGCGGGCCAAGGTAGCAAGTACACGGTCGCTGATCTGGACACGCTCGAAGCGCAGCTCAAGAAGGATGAGAAGTGGTACAAGGATGGAGAGACGAAGCAAGCCAAGTTGAGCTTGGAAGACGACCCCGTACTTAAGATTGCGGATCTGGAAAAGCGCGCAAAGAAGCTCAGGGATACAATCAAGCGCTTGTCCACGCGTCGCATTCCAAAGACTAGACCGCCCAAAAAATCTTCGGCTGCACCGCCTCCATCAGAACCATCTGCAAGCCCTGGAGCAGAGAGCGAGCAGATGTTTCCTCCCAGCCAGCAAGAGCCCGCGTCCGAGCCCGAGCCCGAGCCCGAGCAACCAGAACAACCTCACCCTACTCAGAAGCACACGGAGCTATAGATGGCAGGCTTCGTCAAAAGGATGCTCACTTCAGAGACTCTGGCGCAAAAGGGAATGCGATGCTCCGTAGACGTGGAATTTGTGTCGATGACATACAAACCGAGTGTCAAAGGCTCGCCAATCGGGGAATGCGCTCTGTGTGGTTCATGATGTAAGCGCTCGAGGTGCGCCTGCTCTGACTCGGTGCTCAACATAGCTCTATGATTTCCGCATCGCAAAAGTTCCGGCGCTTTTTCTGAGCACTGCTGGCCGTACTCCCGCTTGCCGAGCGCCGAGATGCAGGCTGAGTGTTGTCGGAAGGCGTCTTTGGTCGGAGTGCTTGCCTTGCAAAACGGTTCGACAAGAGCGAAGACAGAGGAGGTGGAGACGAGTTGCATTGTTCTGCGCATTGTTCTTGAACGGGTGGACTGGAGGATAGCAGCTGAAGGCAAGGCGCGCAAGGGCTTGTACCGGCCTTGGCTGCGGGCGACAGTGGCTTCCTCCGCGACCGATCGGTATTGCTGCGTGCCATTCGTGCGACGGTTTTGCTTGCACCGTGCGGAAGCACACTTGTAGTAGCAGCACTGGCGCGCTTGCTAGGCTGATGTGAAGCACATGTCGTCGTCGTCTCCTCCTCGATGTCACGTCCGTCTGATTCTGATTCCGATTCCGAGTCTGATGAGGATGACGAAGCAGAGATCTTCGATCGCTTGCGGGAGCGTTTGGGATTGCTACGCGTGCGACCGCTGACTGCTACTGCGTGCTTCCTGGATGTGAGGCTTTGTGTACCCGGTCCCGAGGACGCGCGCCCGGCGTTGATGCTGGCTGCAGGCCTTGCGGCAAGCCTTTCCGCGTTCAATTCCTTGTCAGCAGCGCCGCGCTGACCAGCGGGTATCGACGGGATGTCCTCGCAAGACGCGAGTGACCCCCGATGTGATGGAGCCGTGGATGGCGCTAAGCCAGATGCTCTCTCATTCGAGGCAGATTCTCTGACCCAGCCCTCCAGCAGTTCCACGTCGCCGCTCCGCTCCACATTGGCTTCCTCTGACGCCGTATCCAGACAAGACTTGACAAAGACGTGGTCCCGTTGATCCGTCGGATAGACGATGCGATAGAGGGGAGTGTAGTCCACATCGCTGAGGCGTACTGCTGCTTTATTGCGATACAGAACGTGGGCACCGCTCGGATCGACGTACGTGAAGCAGAAAGTTTTGGTGTTGCCGCTTCTCGCTGGTCCAGCTTGACCTGCAGCTTGTACGCGCTGACCCTTTCCAGCGGCACTCACCATCGGCAGCTTCTCTTCTCCTTCGAAGCCTTGTTCCAGCGAGATTGCCTGCCCTGCTTGCACATCGTCTTTGATAGCACACTGCTCGGCTACCTCGAAGCCAAGGGCGCTCAGTCCGAAGCGAGGCGGATTGCCGGTCCTGTAGACGTACCCTCGGCCAATCAGCGTCTTCATGGCGCTCCAAGCCGTATTGAAGCTGATGGGTCCGCGTGCCATTGCAGGCGGGAGAGCTCGTTGCTCATAAGACGCATCCGAGAAGGATTTGGCTAGATCGATGATCTGCTGCTTGGAGAGGTAGCTGAATGGTACGGGCTCTTTGGTGCGCTTCATCGAGGGTGGCAGGGAACACGAAGCCTGGCGATCATCACTTGAGGCTGCTACGTCGTCCAGCCGCGGCACTTCCCTAGTCATTGAAAACAAGGCGACAAGGATTCCGTGCGCACCGGAGCGATGGGCGGGTATGTATTGCTTCACAGGCTTGCTGATCGGTGCGCTGCCATCTCGCGGTGCTGCTGCTGCTGCTGCCGTCTTCGATGTTCTGTTTCTAGCATCCGCGTCTCGTTTGCTTTTGCTAGAAGCTGCGCTCTGCTGGCGAGCTTGTGCTCCAACAGATTGCGTTTGTCCTGTTCCCGTGCGCTCTTGCCGGCTTTCATCCTCGCTCGATCCGCTGCTCGTTGTTGAGAAAGCCGCCCAAGACACTTTGCGCTGGAAGCTATCCGACTTGTAGGAGCTAGCCTGTCGTGCTTGCGCCGATGAGGTGGCTCGCGCCGGCATCTGCATATTGTTGTCTTTGCACCAGTCTTTGAGCTGCTCAGCGAGTCGCTGTGCTAGTGTTGGGCCTACGGCATCCAGAGACATCAGCTGAGCCGGATGCGCATCGTGCTCGTAGAGCGGACAGCTCTTGAGGGCTTGTAAGGCCGTGTTGTAGATGCGCGCTGAGCTCGAGCGCCTCTCCGCCGCCTCATCCCTCCACGCTCGAAGCCAGGAGAGGCACAAGGACTTTGTTGGGACGCCGGCTGAGGAGCAGCGTCGCGCTGTACCAGAATTCCGCTGCATCTCCGATGCGCAGCGACAGACGTAGCACTCGTCTGATCAGGGTCCCTGAATGGCAAAAGTTGTGACGGTGCTTGTCGCTCCTCGAGGCGCGCGGTCGAAGTCCACCGAGTGTGAGTGCTGACGACGACGACTGACTGCTGCGCGTTTGCTGATGTATGCTGTGTGCGCGTATCCCAACCACGCATCAGCTCCGCGCGCGCCAACGACGCGAGCAAACACGTGATTCGCCTGAGTTCGCGCAACGCGTGCACGGTGGTTTTGCTCCACACACCGCGCCCACGCAGCAGCGCGACGACACGCATCGGGCGCAAAACTCAGCAGCCACGAAGGCAAGAAGAGCCGAGCCCCAAAGGCAAGAGCAGAGGGCAAAGGAGGAAGGATGGAAGGCATGACTGATGGACTCGTGTCCTCACGTTGCTCGCAATCTCCATCTCCATCGCCTCCGGGGATACACAAATATTTCCTACTGCAATTTGTGACTCGCGACAGTTCTGCACACTCTCCCGCAAAAATGTCTGCTGCTACACCCGCTCGGAGCGGCCAGGATCAAGTGTCGAGAGATCCATTAGCGCCAGCTTTCGACCCGACACAGCTCAAGGTGCCTCAACTGCGCAGTCTGCTATTGGAGCACGGGATCAGTCTACCAGGAACACCTCGCAAGCAGGTCCTACTGGATGCGTTTGACGAGCACGTGCGCCCCCAGTTGGATCGACTGAGGGCGGAGAGAGCCAACGTCAGAGCGGATGGCCGAGGCATCCACCCCTTGGGCGCATCCAGCCAAGCTTCCAGGATCGCCAGCTCGTCTCGGAGCAGGCGAAAGGTTGAGCGGCAGACGAGTGAATCGGAAGAGTCTGGCGAGCGCGCGGGCGAGGAGGAGGAGGAGGAGGAGGCTGACCGGCGCGGTGAAGGACATCGAGATGCGGTCGACGATGCGGACTCCTCCTTCAGCGATAGGAATTTCTTCCAGCAGAGGACTCCACCGGTCCATTCTGTGCAGCATGAAGAATCACACACGAAGCCTTCACATCGCGCTGGACGTCAGGTGAGTCCGGCGAGCGCCTGAAAGTCTTGGCTGAGAGAGAGAGGAGATGTACGGCGCTGACGCGCGCTGCCCCCGAAAGTCTGCGCCGTCCTCTTCCTCTGTCACCTCTTCTGCACAGCGTCTGATTCCGAGGGCGCGTGCATCCATTGCGGGCACCTTATCCGGTACGCCCAAGCTGCCCGCATTTCTTCAGAGCATATCCGATTCCAAGACGAAGGACGCCCTCAGGGAGACCCACGAAGCATCTCAATCCGCCGCGCCACGTTCCGGCACAAGCAGTCGCAAAGTCGATGGAAGCAAGCGTTCGTCTGGTCGCAAGAAACCTGGTCAAGACGGTGCCCTCGAAGCCATCATGAGCGGTGCCGTGATGGTCATGTTCATTGCAATAACGGCCTACTACTTGTGGTACGTTCAGCGCTCGCATGCCGTTGGCTTCTGCGATGCAGGAGGTCAAACAAACTCTGTCATGCTCAAAGAGCAAGCAGACGCCACCGTCTACATTGTAGTCGATGGGCAGCGACGCCCAATCGACACCAGACTGGTGCCAGCGCCCATGAGACCAACTTGCGCGCCCTGTCCCGATCACGCTCGATGTTCAACCGGTGCTTTGCGGGGATGCGGCCTCTCGGACTACAGGCCATCGCCACCTCTACTCTCCTACATGCCATTCTCTCGATGGTGGCTACCTCTGAGCTTCCAGTCGACTGCTTGTCAGCCCGATTCGAAGAAGGCCAAGGTAGCAGTGGAGCTTGGCAGAGCTGCTGAGAGCTTGCTACGCGAAAGGCGGGGCGCTGTGCTGTGCGGCTATCGGCCACCACATCGCGCCACGTTGCAAGCGAGTCCAGCAAGCTTGCCACAAGGCATCGACAAGTCACAAATTCGCTTTGCGCTTCCCGAGCCGGAAGTGCAGAGCGCTGCAGAAAAGAAGCTCAGAACGCCCTTGCCCGATTACGCTGATCTGGACTGGCGTGGAAGCGCATGGTCTCAAGCCGTCAAGCCGCTGGAGCACAACAAGAAGCTTGTGCGCATTGGTGGCGTGGCAGGAGGTTTGAGCGATGTTTTAGATACAACAAATGCACTCTTGCTCGCCACAAGCGCTCAAGTCGACTTGGGCTGCCAGGTGCGGCTACTCGGTCACAGCCTTTGGCGTGCTATCCGTCTTTGGGTCGCTGCTGCAGTCGCGCTCGTCTCCGCGTTCTTCTGGGCGCGATGGAAGGTAAGGTCTGCACGTCGAGAACGCGACCGTGTGCACGAGCTGGTCAATGTGGCTTTGGAACGTCTTCAAGATCAGGTGAGTTGTACTGAGCGCACACTGCAAGGTTCAGTCGCTCACATCATCCTTGCTCTTTAATTCTCACTCTTGCATGCAGGAGTACGCGCACGCGGTGGATCCTGTTCTCACGCCCGACCCCTTTGTGCCAACAGCACAATTGAGGGACCACGTGCTGCAAACGGAATACTCTGCCAAGTCTCGACAAAGGCTCTGGTCCAAAGTCTCCAAGATTGTAGAGGCCAACTCGAACTGTCGCGTCCGCCAAGCACGCAGTCGAGGGGAAATGCAGCGGGTTTGGGAGTGGATTGGCGTGTCTGCTGGGGCGAGTCTGAGTCGACGTCAAAGCATGAGCTTCCGCAACTTGTCGGATGTGGGCAACGACTCTTCGACTTCCTTTCTGGGCACACCTGGAAGCGCCATCCGAGGCTTGTTGGGTCAGGGTCGAAGGAGCGATGGCAATTACGTGGAGACACCTTCGCCTTTGGCGGCCAGGTCGCGCTCCGCCTCTCGATCTGGATTGGAGAATTTGGAAAGGCACAACATTCCTGCCAACGACGCCTCTTTCAACCAGAGTCAGGCAGAAGTGTCGATCGATCAGGGCGCTGCTGAGCCCTCTTCCAGTGTGGTCTAAGAATAGCTCTTCATCGCCTGTCCACGGCCCCCGTTTGGCAGCCCTCACGCGATCAAATATCTACTATTCCTACCTTGTGATCGTGGATACATAAATATCTCTTTGGGGCGATGCGTGCCTGAGAAGTAGTGGCGCATTGCACCAAATCCAATGCGAGGCAGCCTGGTGAAGTTTGCTCACGCTTCGAGTTGAACCTTTGAACTCGCTTGTGCTGTGCTTGATGCCTGACACTGACGGCTCGTGGTCCTGTTGACGGAGAGGATCGTTTTCATGTCAAGTGTGGTGAGATCCGCGCGAGGATTTGTGTCTGGTGGAGAAGGCTAGCTCGCAACGGGACGCCAGGAGACTTTTTCTGATGCATCTTGGCAACCTTTCGCGAATCTTTTTTAGCGTCTTGCGGCACGGCTAACTGGGAAGAAGGGCGCATCGACCGGTCCCTGCTTTTCGAGCTGGCTGACGCGAGACGCACGAGTTCGCTCGATCAGTCCTCGCTCAGATGCGCTGTCAGAGCTTTCCTGAGGTTAATACACGGTTGCTGAGTGCTCACACTGTCACAGATTCAATTGAAGAGACCGCTTGACTCGGAGAGAGAGCGACTCGTGACTGCACTCACACGTGCAGCGCGCTTGCGAGAGAGAACGCCTCGGCCATCCCGAGCAAATAAGAGACCACCTTTCGAATTCAGGACATGGCCGTACCTATAACCACGCTAAGCAGCGATCGAGTTCCGAAGCGGCCAATACGCGCTAAGCTAAGCAACGTCTTGAGCTGCACCGCGCGCGCGGCTCTCACTCAGCTAGACGACTCGTCGTGACTGCATGCATGCATGCTGCTGCTGCATGATGGCGCGGACATGCTGATCGAGCGGATGAACGGCAGCCATGCAACGGCGCGCATGCAGCAGTATACACTCACAACTATATACGAGCGTGGCGGCGGTATCCGCGCTATACAGAGACGAGATCACAGCAAAACACGCGCGTGCGCAGGCGCGGAATAGCTGGATGCTGCCCCCGAGCTGTTTTCCCGCCAACCTACGCACACACCCCTGCATCATTATAACAGCCTTGTCTGTCGGTGCAGATTGATTGATATCTATCCGTGAAGCTCGAATGGAAGATCTATTATTGAGTGATTGTGACCTTAGCTCAACGGCATGCACTGAAAGCTATACATTGTATACGAGCGCACGCAGCACGCTCAGCATCAGTCTATATAGGCTCGCTTCACGGCTCCTCTCTGTCTTCTGATGCTGTGCACGCGCGTCGACAGCAGCTGCGAAAAGGCATTACGCGTCGTCGCGCGCGCCGTACGTGCTGCTCCGCCACACCCCCGCGCAAGCCCTTGCTTCCGTCTTGACCGCATCTAGACTTCACACAGCGCGCGCGCGGACATTGATTCGATCTCTGCTGCTGCTGCTGCCGCTGCTGCTGCTGCTGAGAGAGCGTTGAGTGATTGAGACTCAGCTAGATCAGTCGTCAGCAGTCGCGAGTGATGAGCCCGCGAGTCTGACGAGCTGCTGCGAGAAGTTGTTCTGACCAGCGCACCCATAGATCCCTCTCCGCCACGCGATCCCATTTCACTCAACAACACTCACTGAGGCGAACTTTGACCGATCCAATTAAGCCGCCGTCACCGGTCACTCCGCCTCCTGACTGAGCACCGCGCACATCGTACAGTAAAGCACGTACGCGAGCGCGAGGCGAGCGAGCGTATGCATAGCTCTGCTTGGTTGCTGCCCGCGCTGCCACGCACGCACGTTTTGCACCTTTCGGTCTAACCTGCGCGCTCGCTTCGCAGAGCGTCCGGGGTCCCGGACATTCGCCTGACCCTTTCACAGCCTCGATCTCTCCATCGCATTACCCTCCTTCAAGCTCTCGGTCTACTGCACCGACTCGCTGCTGCTTTCCTCCGCTTCCCCTTTGACGCCCCCCTGCAACCACACTCACTAAGCACGGCTCCGCCCTTGTGACATCCACACAGTGCCTCTTTCATCGCTGCTGATCCGCATTTGCGCTGTCTAGCTGCTCCCTGCCTCTGGCCGTGCGCAGATTGGATCGAGTCGCAGCACTCGATTTTACGACTACCGCATCGTCATCATCATCATCAGCAGCAGCAGTCAGGTCTCGATCGAGTGCGCGGGGGGAAAAGCCGCTCTGAGACGTTGCAGCAGCATCACATTCACGATCATACAGCCAGCTAGCCGCCTATATACTCGCGCGCATCTGTTGTACAGCTTAATTGCAGGTGCGCCCGCCAACATATTCGAGACATTCGTGTTTCACGATTGCAATTAGGCGGGTTGCGGCTCGGTCCGTCTCGACTGAAGATTGATCATTAGAGACCTGGACACGCGCGTCTTGGGAGCAAGGCAGCCGCAGCAACGCACACGCTCGAGCCGATCCAGACATCGCAGGCCGTCGACCTCCTAGCTGCTCCCTCGATCGCATTGGTTGGGGTGAGTGATCCGCACTCCCGCAGCCCACATCCACTTCTCGCGGCCGGTTTGGCGGTGGTGCGAAGTATAGCAGGCATAGCAGCGCAGCGGGAATTGCAAGCTTGGAGAGATATTCAATTATCTGCCGCATCGCGGATGCACTCGTACAGCGTATCCGGTCTCGGACGCAAACTTGGCGGCAGCTCGATCACGACGCGCGACTCGCTGCTGCCTCTCATAGGTCCTGCATCGCAACGCTGCCAACGTCTTGCACGGCAGCAAGCATCGAGTCCATCTCGCTCGACGCACACCGCATTCTGACTGCTGCTAGTAGTGTGAGTAGTACTACTACTCTTGACTGCCGCTGCTGAAGCTCATTCATCATTCCGTGATTTGTCTGGACACGACAAAGTCGCCTTGGCGCTCAGGCACGAGCACTCACGACTGAGAGGTCGATTCACGCGCGATCATCGCAAAACCCGCCGGGCCCCCCGAGGGAGAATTCCGTGTCTCGCTATAGGGCGCATTTGTACGCCTGCGATTCACGATTGCGCTGGACAGCTAGGCTCCGGAAACGCCATCACTCGTCAGCAATTTGGACCTTTTGCCATCAGAGGAAGCTTTCGTGCGGCCCGTGCGTGGCATCGCAAACTCACGATCGACTGCAGCAGCAAGCATATCTCCGCGCCTCGATCGCTGCTGCCGATCACGAACACAGTTGCCCCAATCTGAGACAACAGCGGGCGGATCAAAAGTCGTCTCGAATACATCACCTGAGTCAGGAACTTTTTGCGGCCCTCGATCTGCCCAGCAGCTGCTGTGAGCGTACACGTGCACAAGGCAGCAGCAGCAGCAGCAGCTGGCGTGCACTTATTGAAGCGCTATACGCCTTGCAACTGCACCGCATCGCTATAGCAGCAGCTTTTGCAGCAAAAGGACAATTTGGTGTAGCGGGGTCCGACTGTCTGGAGCAACGAACGTTTGTAGAGCGAACACTCACTCTACTGGCGCACGTCCGACTCGAGTTGTAATCCATCAAGACAGTCTGCCGCTGGCCCTCTCGAACATCACATCGCGCGCGCCTGGTGCCTGGATTTCCGGCACCATACTGCTATTGCGAGTGCTCTGAAGCTAGCACGCCAGCCGACACACCCACGCTCGGTCTTGCCGTCACAGAGCAGGCGTCATGGGCAACTGTTTCTCGTCCACAGAGGAGAAGGAGGCAAAGGAGAGGAGTACCAACATCGACAAGCAGATCGAAGAGGATAGCAGAAAGTTCAAGAAGGAATGCAAGATCTTGTTGCTGGGTGAGTCTTGCTGCTTGGGCGCTGCTTTGAGAGTCGGTAGGAGAGCCCGGACTTGGATCATAGCCCAGACTTTAGATGGGCGCATGAAGGAGAGGAGGGCTTGGCGCTGTTCGATAGCTGCAGACTGTCCAACTCCACGCATGCATCCGGGGCGGGAGGTTGAGTGCGGGTGCAGCCGTCGGATGGCTCCCAGCACCACGATTCGCGAAGTGCTCATGCCACGATTGCCTTCCACCTCACTCCCAGGTGCGGGAGAGTCGGGCAAGTCGACGGTGGTGAAACAGATGAAGATCATCCATCAAAACGGATACACACCGGAAGAGTTGATGTTGTACAGATTAACAGTCATCAAGAACTTGGTGGACAGCGCGCAGGCGATAGTCCTAGCGCTGCGCAAGTTCAAGCTCGAACCTGAGGTGCCTGACAACAGGGTGAGTGGTGGCGTGGCACTCCCTCGGAGCGTTGTGACGCACGAGGTCAGCCGCATCTTGCTGAGCCAGACCCTCTTGCTTGGCTGGAGCAGGAATCGGCAGAGCTAATTTTGCAATACCGGGTGGATGCGGACCCCAACACATCTCTGGAGCCAGCGATGGCAAAGGCTGTGGAGGCCTTGTGGGCAGATCCGATCGTAGCTACCGTAGTGGACCGAAGCAGCGAATTTTACCTCATGGACAGCGCGCCATAGTGAGTCGTACTTGATGCAAGAGAGGCGAGGCCGAAGCGCAAGCGCAGCGCAGCGCTGACCAGATGACCGCACGCACGCTTCGGACGAACAGTTTCTTCAACAATGTATCACGGATAGCATCGCCCGACTACATCCCGAACGAGGACGACGTGCTGAGAGCGCGGTCAAAGACGACGGGCATCACAGAGACGCGCTTCAACATGGGACAATTGTCCATTCATCTCTTCGACGTTGGAGGGCAAAGATCAGAACGGAAAAAATGGATCCACTGCTTCGAAGCAGTGACCTCCATCATCTTTTGCGTCGCGCTGAGCGAGTATGATCAGGTGCTGTTGGAGGAGAGCGGACAAAATAGGATGGCGGAAAGTCTGGTCCTGTTCGAGAGTGTCGTCAACTCCCGTAAGTCGCTGCAAGTGTCTGATTCGGCGAGTCCATCGCAAACGTATCCACTGTCTTGCCGCACGCAGGGTGGTTCTTGAGGACATCGATCATCCTTTTCTTGAACAAGATCGACATCTTCAAGCAGAAAATACCTCGGCAACCTCTTGCCAACTTCTTTCCGGAATATAGCGGAGGTGCAGACGTGAACAAGGCGGCAAAATACATCCTTTGGAGGTTTACGCAGACAAATAGGGCGAGGCTCAGCATATACCCCCACTTGACTCAAGCTACCGATACCTCCAACGTCCGGCTCGTCTTTGCAGCAGTCAAGGAGTGAGTAAGCAAGCGACCAGTTGACCGTCGTGCCAAGAACGTCTAGGCTCATTGCCGTGCATGGACGTCTCTTCATCAGAACTATCCTGCAAAACGCCTTGTCTGCTTCGGGCATTTTGTAGCTTGCCAAGTGATGCGAGCAGTCTTCCAAGCACGCAGACTGATTCTCCGCGGTGCATGCACCGAGTCTGAAACTCAGTGGAAAGCATTGGAACTATGTGGTCTACTATCGGAGCCGGGCCTGCAGTCCCATTTCTTTCCTCTATATAGTTGAGCGAAGGCGCTGGTGCTCACGATTGCAAGCCTTGACGACGACGACGACGACTAGAAAGGTCGAGCGCCGAAGGGTATAAGGGGACTTGGCGTTTCAGCTCGGACCGCTGACAAGTATTGCATGTGCTACAAGGCGCGGGCTTACACGCAGCGGGCCATCTGTGCGAATGTCGCTGCTAAGGTTGGGTTCACCGCACAACGTCAGTCGTGCCCCCACCCATCTCTCGCCACCCCCGCCATGAGCTATTGCTTCTGTTCTCGCACTCGCGCTTCCACTGTCATGCCTTGTGCTCCTTCTCTTCCCGATTAGCCCTCATACCCCTCCCGCTGGCACCCATACACACAACGTTCGCTCCACAATATCCCAGCACTGAAATCTCAAAGGACACTTCTAGCAAACCGACTTTTTTCTTTTGGTTCTCTTTCCCTTTGTTTTAGTCCTTAATGGTGAAGCATCCTAATGGCCTCTTTTTACTTGCCCCTCGTCCTGCCTCGATTCTTTCAGCCTCTTGCCCCTTGCCGATCGTCACTAATCCGGCTGTTCCACACCTTGGTGTCCCTAATGGCAGATCGCAAATGCTGCTCTCATGAACATTTCCAGACGAGCAAAGAAGCGAGCTCATATACATTGCGGTTCAAATCGGCACGCCTCCATTGCGCCCTTGGACTTGGCTGCCTCGCCCTGTCTCTGCGGGACTTTAGCGTGGTCTATTCCTGCCCAATTCGCTTGATGTTGAGAGAGAGAGAGATTCAAGCACGCCACTTGTTGACGTGATGTCATCCGTCGCTCATTGAAGCGCGCAACTCCAGACTTCGACTCCTTCCCACGCCCCCCTCTCCCAGTATGCGCCGAGGTGGGCATCAACAGCCTTTCTCAAAGTCCTCTGCGAGACTTGTTTGAGATGGAAGCCGTGATGCCTGCCGACTTGGAGCGCTTCATCGATCAACGAGCTGTCTCGGCGTTCTAGAGCGATCAGAACGACGGGATCGCGTGTTTTGTCAGCACCTGGACGAGTTGGTGGTGGTGACGAGTCGTGGCTATCGACATTGCTGTGCGCTGCCGCACGAGAAGCCAGCACCAGTGCTTTCACGGTCCACCAGAACGGCGCAATGAGCGGGGGGTGGTACAAGGTATCGGTGGAAAGGATCAATGACCACGGTGGCGGCACCTGCGCATCCTTGCAGAGCTGAGCAGCCCATCGCGCTGCGCAGAGCTGGACGACCTCATGGCGGGTGGTGTGGGGGCGGCGCTCGGCCTGAGCGGTACCTGGATCAGAAGTGGCAGGGCATTGCGTCCAGTCGAGGCAGGCGCTCCGAGGCGTCATGAAGGCATTGCTGTATCCCTTTGGGCTTGCTGCAGCAGCAAGCCGCAAAGCCTCGGCATTGTCAGAAAGATTCGGGCGCAGCACTTGAGATAAAGCTGGCTCGATGTCTGTTGCGAGCGTTTCGAAGCCGAGCCGAGCCAAGACGAGAGCCAGCATTCCCGTTCCACTGCCCAATTCGATGGCTCTCGGCGCATCTGGACTTTCGCGGCAGCGGCTGCGGTCGGAGCGCGCAAGCTTGACTTTGTTGGCGATCAAGTAGCAGACCAAGATTTGACTGGAGAGCCAAAGCGTCGTACCAGTGGAGGCTTCATATTCTGTAGACGCGGCAGAACGCTGCTTCAAGAGTAAGGTGACGTCCAAGGCGGGCAAAGGGTAGGGAAGCAGATCCAGATGCTTTGTGTCACTAGCTGGCGATGGCCCTTTCTGATCTGCGTAAGCGAACGCCGAGTCTTCCTTTGGTGTTTCACCATATTCGCCATCATCCGAGCATGATGTCGGACTTCGAGCTCTGGGCCGATCTTGCCTGTTCTCCGACCCAGACGAGGAGGCACGCCGAGCTCGGAGCTTTCTGTTCCTACCCATTCATCCGATCAACGACTTGTGTGGATGCATGCCTGCTGTATGTGGAGGTGATGCGACAGAAAAATCCTAGGCATTCGAGGTTTCAGTGTATCCTTTGTGCTGCTACGCTCTGCTCACCCCGAGTCAGTCGTGGTCGTCTGCAACCAGCAGCACGCGTACGAGAAGACACCCACCAGCTCGCAGCGCGCGAGAAACAGCCTATATATAGGATGTTTTCACCAAAAGAGCTGTTGATCCGAGCGCGTGAAGTGACAAAGGGACTGCATCAGTCAGATCACTTCGACCGGAAAAGAGCAAACTTTTCAGTTGTGTTCAGTCGACAAAGTAACGGACTTTCTGCCCGCGGATCTTTGAAGAAAAAGGTTTCAGGACGTATCCGACGCCGTCTAGTTCTGCGCAAACCAGATGCGCGGCGCGCGCTCAGCAGATAAACGCGTCTAAAGCGTCGCCTTGAGACGAATTCAAAAATGACGTGATAGAGACTCTTGACTGGCGCTTCATTTTTGATTGCGATGCATACGCTCAACATAAATTTCATGTGTAAGCTGCATGGGTCGATTAAGAGCTGAGTTGGCGCCCATGCAGCTTCATTTTGATTTCATCCTGGTCCCTACACCGTTGTCTTCACATGCTTGATTCAAGTAGTCCGAATGCGAGTCTTGAATGTCGGTCGCTGCGAGATGGAGGGTCCAAATAGGGCGCAGGAGCAGCAGGCGAACACGTTGACAAAGCTCGAAGCTTGCTTAGGCTATGAGGGACAGCTACAGCGGTGTGACAGGAGGTGACTTCAACTATTCAAGATTGTTATAATCCTCTGGAAGAAGGCTCAACCTCTTCATTAACTACTACTTTGCATGCGCGCGTGTCGTACGTGCAATTCCTCATCTGCAGCTCAGCCCACCATCCACGCATGCATGCAGCCGAAGTCAAAAGTTAGTTTGTGTGTGGGACCCGCGGTTCCAGCACTGCCGCCGCCGCACTACATCATAGCTCCGACCGTTGGATGGCGAACGCCATATATATATACATATATAGCTCCGGTGCTTTCATGTTCCCGATTCACTACAATCCGATCATTAGACTCATCAAGAGTTCGATTGTGAAATATTGCTTAAATTGTTGCGGGAGACATTTTGATTCAGGAAATAGCAGCGTGCGCGCAAGTATGCATTTTGATCAGCTGCATGCATGCATGTGCGTATGCTGTGTAGGCACCGCACCGCACCGATCCGCACCGTCTGCATGCGTGGTGTTCGCTCACTTTTGATGAGATGCCGTGCTGCTGCTGCTCTTCTGTCCGCACGCAGACCACAGCATAACGGCACTCGATCACGACTTTTGACTGTGGACCGGCCATGCCCAGCTGCGGGTGCAATCTTCGGTGGATCAAGCAACGGCCCCGCAGAGGTAGGGACTCAGAACTACAGTCGTGAGTCAAGAGTGGTGACTAGACATCATACAATCTTGAATCAAATGGAGTGCCCCTTGAAAACCAAAGTACACACACGGGTGTCAGACTCAGACTCTACATACTTGACCCGCAATAACCCGTACCCATGCAACGCCTTGAACGAGTCTTGGAGCTCAGCTCGGCGTTGCAAGACTCACGGTTCAAAACTTTCTTGCGCGACTGCCGATCATCCTCAAACCGATGGAAAGAAAGATTCGAGATTTCAGGCGTAAGATCGCTACTCAAAATTTTGACTGCAATAACTAGCTCACCATCGCAGTCGTGAGTGTACGCGCGTGTTTCACACTCCGATTGGTTACGCACACTTTGGCTGAGACAGCGTCATGCATCACAAAAGCGGTCCTGTGCGCGTGGCTGCATAAGGCCATGAAGGAATCAGCGGTCTCAGCAGCAGCTATAGCAGCTGCTATACCCTTAATTGTTTCTTGCTGCAAACTTCGCTCCGCGCAGGCAGCCATCAGCACATGCATCACCTGTTTGCTATGCGCGCGTTTGGGCGATGTAGCTAGACGTACCATCACATGCAGAGCCTAGAATTCTCACACCAACCGGGGTCTTGAAGCAGAAGAGGGTGCGGTGCGATACAGCATGCAGTACCATCATTCGTGATCTTTCGACTCTATACCCACCACCGCTTGCAGTGCTTCTTCGCATGGTGACAGTCTGCGCTGTGGCATATGAAAGCGCGCGCAGCTCTGCCTGTGCCTTCACCCGAGACTCTCATTCCGCATCCTCTTTCGATCCTGCCCTCCCATTCATTCGTACTGCCGGGTCGCCTTCGCTGTCGTCACCGCCAGACTCGCTGCGTCAAGACGTCTATTACGCGCGACGGGGTACGCGAGGCTAGATGCCGAGCATTCGTGATTCTTGCACGCGCGGCGGCCTCTCCATCACCAGAGGACCCATTAATACCTGCGCCCAAGTGCTTTGGCGCACGCACCATCAGCATTCGCTGCATTCGCTCGTGATCGCGCTTGCCAATTGAGCTGCGACGCTTCTGTCCGAAGACAAACAGCTTCTCAGCGCAGCCTCAAACGATCTCAACACTCAGGACTGCCCCTGCTCGTACCACCTGTTGGCCCCGTCAAAAGAGCACACACAGCCTTTGTTTCCGCGCGGCCTTGCGGGCCGGTCGAGTACCGCGTGCCGCGTAGTGCGGCAAAATTGTAGACAAGATGAGCAAGCCGCCCCCATTCGCTGCAAGTCGCGAGCATGCCGGCAAATTTGGCGAGGAAGCTCAGATAGATCAGGATGATGTTCCGAAAGGCGCGGACGACCTCAGCGCGGGCAATCTCACAAAGGCGAGTGGCAGCTCTCTGACCCTTGCCCATCCATACAGCACTCGACGTCCCTCTGCAGCATCCATTTATAGCAATAGCAGCGGGCGCCGGTCTTCCCACGGACGCCAAAGATCTCCCTATCGCAATCCCGCCTCGCCACCAACGACGCCACTGGGCACAAAAAGTTCCAGGTCGAAGATTCTGGCTAGCAGCGCGGTGGCGTCCGTCGAGGGGTCACGCTGGCCGTCAGGGGACTTGCCTTCGCCTAATTCGTCCATACAAAGCCATCGCGACTCCCCGTCCTCTGCCACAGGCGATCATCAACCGCAGATTCCAAACGAATCGACGACTCGAGCATCTGGACCTCGCCCAAGCAGCAAAGCCAGCACACGCGGCAGAAGGGTCGCATCTGCTGGTGACGCCGACCCGATCAGTAGAGCTTTGCCTGAAGAGGAGGTGCCTCCTGTGCCATCATTGCGACCTCAACGAGTACAGGGTCCTGCGTCGAGTAGTCGCTCTTCGCCCCTGTCCGTAGGAGCGACATCGATTCCCGCTAGCCCGGGCTCGCGCTGGATCCCGACCGCCTCTGCCAGCATGTTTGACCTTGCGCATAGCGACAAGGGCCGTCTGCGAAGTGGCCAGGCAGATGCGGCAGCGACGCTTGCAAGCTCTGCATCTGCAGATGTGTTGCACGGGCACACAGGCCACGTAGTCGAGACTTCCCCTGGAAATGAGGGCACAGGGGCGGGCTCCTCAGCAATCAAGAGCACACTACGCTCCCGCCTGTTCGGGTTGCGCAAGGCCAAAGTCACCAACGGTGTTCCGCAGGCTGATACGCGCACCCATTTGGACGACTCGGGGTCGCCGTCGTCTAGTATGAGCGCATCGTCCTCCAGTCAAAGCACCTCCAGATTGGCTGCAGCAGAAGCTCTGCAAATCGCAGTAGCAACTACACCTGAAGCAGAGCAGAAATCCGAGGCGCGCACGGCGCCGACGTATCCACCGCCTCCAGTTCCCGCAATGGCCAACTCGCAATCTCAGCCGGATCAGCTTGCAAACGCAAATCATATCTCTGAAGGCGTACAGGGCCCAGCCACAAATGGACTACGTAGCTCCACCCCGCAATCAGGGAGTGCTTTGACTCACCCCTTTGGCGCTGCGGCATCGCTGGCTCGCAGCGAGAGCTCGAGCTCGCGCTCGCGAGAGAGCATCGGGGCCGAGATCGAAGGGGGTGCCGGTAAGTATTGCCTTGCTTTTTTAAGGCGGGTCAAGCAGCTACTGTCCAGCTCACTTCATGTCATTCTACTTCGTAGGCGCCGACGAGGCTTATTCTCACATTTCAAGGCGAAGCCTGGGAAGGCTGCAAGAGCACACGCCGTACGAGTATGATGCTGGTCCTTCGGAAGCAATGCTGTCAGCATCTCACCCTTCTGAAGGATCCTCGCCTGCTACTCCGTTCTTCCCGGCAGACAGCTCTTTTCTCCGACTCCAGGATCGATCGCGAACAGGGAGGGGAGAGGAGAGCATGACAAGTAACGGAACACATGCTGTGAGCAGCGCCGCGTTAGCACCAGCTGCTGTGATTCGCAACGAAGCTCTGGATAGGACTCCGCGCGCTAGGGAGAGGTCGGGGTCCATGGGCGACCGAGGCTCTCCAAGACCTCAACTTGGCGGACGACGACCAGGCACTGCGGAGGGCTCGCCCCGAAACGATGCGAGATTGCGTCCCCAGTCGATGGGAGCCTCGCCGATGCAATCACCAATCTCGGAGGATTCATTAAGCGAGACTAGATTAAGCCGATCAAATTCGAAACGGCATAGTCGCAGAGAAAGCGCTGGTAGCTATCGCAGCTTGGCAGCAAGCATAGCTGCGCCGCTGCCGAGGACCAGCAGCCTTCGAAACACGCAAGACGTGCTTTCGGACACGCCGGGAAGGCCATCTTTGCCACGCCGCTCGAGCTCTACCACGCCGACCACACCTCGCTCGCCATTGTCTGCAACGCGAACCCTCGATTCACCTCGTACAAAGCTGCTACCGATGCAGGGCAGCTCTTCCACCTTGAGCCTTCACGAAGCCGAGCCTTCTTCGCCGATATCGCCAGCCTCGACGAGCCCATCTACTCGTCCGAGCAAAATGCCAGGCGCCGTTGCAGCTCTTGCTGCACGGTTCGAGAATGCAGCTGCCTTGCGGCCCGCACTCAACGGCAGGGCTCAGCACAGCTCCGCGCCTCCCGCCCAGGGTCAAACCCATGACCCTCTCCCTTCTACGGGGCAAGCGGAGCCGTCGCTCGGTGCTTCGGTGTCTTCGATTCGCGCTCGTCTCGGTGCATTTCCCGCACTCGGACCCCGCTTCGGATCGGGTCACCACGTCAACGCTCCAAGTCCTGTGCCCGAAGAGGACTCGACCAGTGCTTCGCATGCCCCGGGCTCGTCACAGACCTCTCAAGACACTCCTCATTTGCACTCCGTCCTTGGCCATCCCCTGCCTTTGAATAGAGCGGAGACTCTTGAGGATCAATCGTCTCGAACTTCCCATTCCGGCAGCACGGCGCCAGCTTCACGTCTGGCTTCGCCAGGCATGGGCCCGAGTGAAAATCGCAGACCGGCGCTTCCTCAGAAGAATGCTCTGCGTGCGAGAGCAGTCGCAGGATCGAATCAGTTTGGTGCGAATGCAGAGTCAGGGTCAGCGATCTCAGCGGCTGATGAACCGGAAAGTAATGGCTGCTCTGCCGAGGATGCTCCCCTCAGCCCTGTACGCAACAGTCTGGAGACGTTCGCTCCCACTTTGGATGCCCTTGGCTTCTCGCCCAGAGGTGAAGATGTTGCGTTTGACCACGCATCTGCCAGCGCAGTCTCTGTCGGGTCTCCTGCTTCCTCGCAGACAGGCTTCCCTCCGTGGCACCAGGGCGTGCAGCTGCAGCCAGCTCCCACACCAAAGAAAGGTGCTCATCGACTGTCGAAACAATCGCCACAACTCTCTGTCGGATCGTCCGTGGAGTCGCCTGTCGCGCCTCCAGTGCCTGCAAAGGCGGCGATCGATGAACCAGTCGAACTTCTCGATGGGCTTGATACGAGCTCGCAACCCAACATCTTGGAGAAGCATTCACAAACCAGCCTTACGCCAGGCTCTCAGGATGGTTCGTCAACGTCTTGGCGCACACTCCGCAAGGTCTCACCTTCCGAAGTCCTTGGAAGCAAGCGAAAACCCGGTCCGAGTCGGCCTTCGTCAGCTCACGGCGACAGCGACTTGACGGTCGAGGTAGGTACTGTTAGCGCCAAGAAGAAGAGTAGCAAAAGATGGCCCTTCAGCAGCAAGGATTCGCCCGACGGTGCTGTGACGCCTGATACAATTAGTCCTGGTAGCTTCTTCGGACGGAGTCTGCGCACCCGGCGCCCCACGGAGCCTTCCCGTCCCCAAATTCGGCGTGTTTTCGACTCCCCGCAAGAGGAGGATGGTGAGAGCGGAGTCATCCAAGCTAAGAGTTCCATGCCTCTGCTTCGCCGGCGGACTTCTGAAGGCAGCGAAGTCTCTCTTGGACAATATCCCAGCAGCGCTACCACTGACGCTCAGATCACGCAGACGATGGAGCAAACATCGTCCGCTCCCTTGTCACCGCGCGATGAGCTCTCGCCAGAGCTGCGTCGCCTTCTCCGACGCCGGAACGTCATCTCGGAGCTTGTGGAAACCGAGAAGAGCTACGCGTCTGACCTTGCAGTGGTGCGCGACATCTATCTGGCACGAGCGCGGGCTCGGTGCGGTGTGCCTTCACCTTCTGGAGTCACACCAGTCCAATCACCTGGTAGCATGTTTTCGACCCCTGTGTCCGCATCCTCTTCCTCTGTGTTCCTTCCGCAGAAGTCTGCATCGAATGTCGCGTCGCCGGCAGTGGGAACACAGAGAATGGTCTCGACCTCAGCTGGAGATGCGGCACGCGCATCGAACTACTCTCACCACTCTGTCAGCACCACTGGCGGAGCTACGACGAATTCGCGCTCGTCCGTCCACTCTAGCAATCCAAGTCACAGGTCTTCAGTGTACACGGTCTCCTCGCAAACCTCGAACACTTCCGATACGCACCCCCCACCACCGCCTCTGCCGGCTACCCCACCCATGCTCTTGGGGACGTCGGCACCGCCATCAGTCTCGAGTGTCGCCACCTCTGGCACCAGCAACGCGCTGACCAAGACGGGGTCATCTGTGACGCTAATGGGCAGTCCTTCCGACACGCCTCCGATCCCTGGACGCCCAGCTGTCTCGGTGTTGACGGGCGGTCCTCTGAGTGCCGCAAGCGGCAGCAGCTTCCTGAGCACGTCTACAGTAGGAGCCGCTGACGCGCCTCTGAGCCCGATCGACATTCGCATCATCTTCGCTCATCTGGAACAGTGCGCAGCGTTCGCGGACGAGATGGTGGCCCAGCTTCAGGGCGCCAAGGGTACCATGGCTGCCAGTGCTTCTGCCCCACTGACCGAGTCGGAAGATGTTCAAGACGATCAGATTGGACAATTCTTCCTGAAAATGGTAAGTTGCGACCCGGCATGGAACATATCGCAGGCAGCACCCTTACCGATTTCACGTCCCATCATCTTAGATGCCTCGCATCGAGTCCATCTACTCGGCATACTGCTCTCGGCACGAGGCGTCCATCAGCAGGCTACAAGAGCTTACGCTCAGCTCCAGCAAGGCTTCAGTCTTCTTGAAAGAGTGTACAGAGGCGGCAAGGGTCCAGTAAGTGTGACAGTCACTCTCCCCGCATTCTGCAGTCGACCTATCCGGCTCATCGCGAGACCCTTTTATGCGCAGTACGAACGCTTGGGACCTTGCTTCACTCTTGATCAAGCCGGTTCAGCGAGTGCTCAAGTATCCCCTACTCATCCAACAGATCCTCACAAGCACGCCAGCTAGCCATCCTGACGAGCCGAACTTGAGAGCCGCTCTGATGGAGATACAGCAGGTCGCGGACAATATCAACGAGGTGAAGAAGCGCAAAGACCTCGTCGAGAACATTCTCACCGGCAAAAGCGCTCCGAATATGCAGAGGACCGCAAGCTCGACTAAACGGCCAAAGCGAAAAAGCGACAAAGCCAAGCATGTATTGGTTGGCCCCTCGATCGAGCCAATCACAGATGACTATGTGCGGCTGTCCGCTCAGTTGCACACTCTTAGACGCAACGTGCATCGCTTCACGCGGCATTGCCTGGATTGGTCGCGCGCACAGAAGAATGCCTACGAGTCGGAGATCGCCTTGACGTTCCAAATCGGTTCGGTCTATCGACTGGGTCTAGATGCAGCCGCAATCCAGGAGGAAGCCGGGGCTGAAACTCCCGACACTAGGCAGAGCGCGGCCTGCGAGATGCTTAGAGGACTGGTGAATGGGCCATGGCGTCAAATGGACAACGACATTCGCTCCACCATTCTGCCAATGACGCAGCGCATTGAGCAAATGTTCGACAATCCGATTGCAGTTCTTGCGAAACGGGATGAACGAGAGTCGGATTACCAGCGATATCGCGCAGCCTTGGCAAAATCGGACAAGATTCCAGACAAGAAGCTTGTCGACAGCGCCAATGCATTTGTGGCTCTGCACGCACAGCTGCTCGATGAGCTGCCTCAATTCATTTACGGAGTGCAAACGCTTTTGGATATTGGCGTGCAAGCTTTTGCTCGGCTTCAAGCGACGCATCATCTACAAGCAAAAAGAGCGCGTTTGGCTTATTGGTCAGAGCATGCCTACGCCTCGAACGAGCTGGCGATTCATCCTGGAACACAAGATTTAACGCTTAGACACGTGCAGACTGTTCGAGTGTTTTGGCACGCTCACGAGGAGGCAGCTTCCCTCGCCGAGACTCTGGTCATCGCCAACCGAGACCAAGCATCCCTTCAAGAGCCTGCGCAGCCGCAAGACCGCGTCATAGCTGCAGCAGACGATGGCAGGCAAATCACCAGCTACGACCCTCAGCTCGCAACTTCATCGCGCCCGTCAGGACCGGCTCTACTCGCACCTCCGGGCACAAGCGGCAGGCGGCCTAGTGGTGTTGCAGGTCTGATGCGAAGCCTCAGTGGCAATTTCAGTCGCGAACACTCGCCAACGGGCGAGAAAGTGCCACCACTTCCGTCTGGTGCGAGTGCGTTAGCGGCCGCCTCTCGCACTGCCGATCATGCTCGCGTGGCCGATCAACCCCCGGCTCTGTCGTTGACCTTCAAGAGCGGAAGCTCTTCTCGAGATTCTTGGTTCGTTCTCTCTGGGGATGCCAATTCTCTGCCTTTTCTCAGTCCTCCAGCAGAAGGAGGCCCTCAGTTGGAGCCGTACGATCTTTCGCCAGCGCAGACGACGAAGCCGCTGCCCGACGAACCCAAGGCGGAAGACATGCCACCCTCCGTTGAGGAAAGTCGAGCTCGGCCCATGCCCCAGAATCGTCACAAGATGCGGGTGATCGCGTTACTCACAGCTCAAGCCGAAAGTCCTTTGAGGGATCCTGCGGGCAGGTTAGGCTGGCCATGGCTCGCTTTTGCCCCTGGGGACAATATCGCGGTCTTGTCTTTTGATAAGAGCGACGAAGCAGTATTGGCTTTCGGACGCGGTGCCGATGGAACGCTCGGCTGGGCCGAGCGCGATCTTTTCGTCGAAATACGCGACTCTTCCTCCACAACCCATGACGTCGAAGGATGAGACCGGTCGGAGGTGCCTTCAGACTAACCCAAAAGACTCACTTTTCACGAGGATATTGCTCACTGCTTCAATGCATCACGCGTCCTTGCTAGGGTGCTTAGTGCACAGTGCACAACGAACACTTTCACGACCATGCGACTCACTTGCATCTCTGAGAGATCAGTGGTACCCCCTTGTAATCATCAACTTGACCTCTGGCGACCCAGGTGTTTGTGTGTGACACCCTTTGTACTTGATCGAATGAAACGTCATTGGCACTCTGCGCTTCGACTGAGCTAGCCACGAGCCTACCTTTTCTGCGGGCGCTGGTGTGATCAGGCAAAGCACTAGAGCGCTCGCATGCCTCGAGCGTACCTCGAGGGCAAAGGAGAAAGATGACTGGATGATTGTTTCGTGACATGAGCCTGCAAGCGCTACCTAAAGCTTCTGTGGGCTACTTTGCAACAATGCTCGTGTCTCCCTACCATCTGGAGAGAATGGAAAGCTTAACGCATGCTTCTTGGCGCGTAGTCTTCCAAAGGGCTGGCTACCTCAAGTTGGAAAAGGTGACGCTCTTGGCGTCCAAGCTGAGACCCGTTTTGGGATCGATGCCGTTTGCCCTCATACGTTCTTCGTGCAAGTAGAGTCGAGCTCGGTCGAATGTCTGCCGAAGGAGAGGCGATATAAAGAGCATGAGCAAAGGCTCACGCAACGCGACGATCGATTTGCCCCGCGTGTGGAGAGATGACCAGCGTGGAGATGTGGTGGTATGAGCAGAGCTGATTGTATCGGTCTCCATGCCGATATAATGCTCGTGCCCTAGCTTTGCCCGCAGAGCTTTTTCTTCGGGTGCGCTTCAGAGACTCGATGCGAATCGCCGCGCAGTCTTGAGTAGCTCTTGTTCCGAATGACACACTCACCAATCCACGCGTAGCCATGACTGCTCTGACCTCTGCCGCGTCCACCTCGTCCAGCCCGCTCCTAGAATCTTGATCCCTGACATTCTGTTCCAAGTCGAACCTGTTGCTGCTCAGACCGCTCCTGACTTGAGCGCTCCAATCCGATAATCTCGAATAGCCGCCAGATATGGGAGAGGGACGAGGTGCTTGGAGCAAAGAGGGAAGTCTGTCCACCCAGTCTTCGGGAAGATGGATCAGGAGCGAGGCTCGTTTGATGTACGCCACTGAAGATGCAAGGCAAGGGCGCGCGAGTGAAATCCCATCAGCCAAGGCATCCCTACACGAGACGAAGGGGGGAGCATCATACTCACCCACTATCAGCGTCACTAGTACAAGGGAGTAGATGAAAGTGTACAGCATGATTGATGATCTGTCTGGCCTCTGTGCGTTGGTAGTGACGATGGCTTCCGATCGGCTAGTCTGTGCGCATGCTCGATGTGGCCTTCCGCCTCGAGCTGAAATCTTTGTCGGGGGCAAAATGCTCCCGGAAGGCTATCGATCCTCGCGTAGATCTTGCACTTCTGGCAATGGGGCAATCGCGAGTACCTAGCGATGAAGGTGGCGAAAGAAGAAGGTGAATTGTCGCCCTGCTGCGAGCGGAGAGTCCATGAGTCACGATCAGTCGTGAGTCGTGAGTCGTGAGTCGTCAGTCGCGCTCGGCACATCATCCCCGTCTCAGCGCTGCGCCGCGAGCATCAGCAAGCAGCACAGCATTTTGCGTGGCCATGCAGCATGCATCACATGACGGAACAAAACGCGAGCAATTATTGTGTGAATTTGGGTGTGGCTTGGCTGAGCTTCAATTGTGAATCAAATGCAGTCTAATCTTGTTTTGCGAATATCAAATCAAGTTTGAGTCAACAGTCGAGAGTGTTCAAGTCAAGTCGGAGCGATTGCAGGCGCAATGAAGTCACGTTTTGTGATCGACGTCGCGCCTCGATCGAAGGCACGGTGCTGCCTCGTCTTGGATCAATCCTCCTCCTTGCTCTTCATACACACACACACACACACACACACACACACACATTCTCTCTCTCTCTCTCTCTCTCTCTCTCTCTCTCTCTCTCTCTCTCTCTCTCTCTCTCTCTCTCTCTCTCTCTCTCTCTCTCTCTCTCTCTCACATCGCGGTGACGCCCCCTCCCCCGCTCTGACTCTTCGCAGCACCACCAATCGTGCACGCACCGATCCGACATCCGGCGAGCGAGCAACCAACCCAACGGCAGCCTCTTGGTCCAAATCGCAGCATGTCCAGCTCAGCTCCGCACGTCGTGGCCGGACCATCCATACCAGCCGATTCACAATTGCCAGACATCAGTCACCTGAGTCGCGCTGAGCTGCAACAATTGCTAGGCTCCACGCACAATGGTCAATCCAATGACGATGCGTTTCATAGCTGGGTAGCGCGCAACGTTCCAGCTCTCAAAGCTGCGCAGCAAGAAGAAGAAGCCTTGCTTCGTCGAGCTGAAGAGTTGGCTGAGATCAACATGCAGTTAAAACCCGAGCTCGAAGGATTGAGAAGAGAAACCAAAGAGTACTTTGATGAGGCTAGAAAGCTGGAGTTGGAATGGCCAGAGCTGGAAAGGAGGCAAAGGGAAGCTTACAAGAGGTTTGCACCTTCATCTCTCTTGGCCCTCCTCACCCAATCCACTTCCAAACTGCACGACGAATCGGAATCGCTGGCGGGCGCATTTGTGGAAGGCCTGCCTCTCGACGCTGCTCTGGACGCCTCTTTGAGCTCGACGACTCTCACGCCTGCGAACAGAAACGAAGATCCAGGGACTGCTTTTGTCAGGAGATACCGACAGCTTAGAGCTACCTATCATCGTCAGAACATTGTTGCAGAGCGCTGGACCAGAGGTACCGTGGTGTGGAGGGACGAATGAATGCTCGTCGAAGGTCATCATTATAGCGATGTCGAGGAAAGGGGGACGCATCAGCCCGACAGCGCCAGCAAGACGTGCTTCGGGAATATAGGCCGTGCTGACTGGGCTAGCTGGGCGATGAGGGTGCTGTGGCTTGTGTTATCACAGCACATTGGCACTAGGCGATCTCTGCTTGCCAACGCAAATGATCTAGAGTCTTGGGCTTGAAGGCGGTCTACGCGATCTCGACCTGTCCAGGCTCCGAATCAGACATCCCGACTTGATGTCCCGCAGGCGCTCTCATCTAATGCAACACGGATGCTGGCAGGGGAATACAAAATCCAAGGGCGCGCATACATGGGCTAGTCGTGGCATCGAGCAGAACCACATGGCAAGGGAGAGGAAGCTGGTCCGTGAACGGCTCGTCTGCTCATGGCTCAAATGACGAAAGCAGGAGAGGGGCCTTGCCATATCTTTGCATCGCACCTCTGCAAACCAATCTGCTACTAGGCAACGGCAGCGACGATCCAGGCTATCGCTCTAGCAGCAGCGCGGAAGCCTAGCTGTCGTTCACGAATCGCTGCATGATGTGCGGAGGCACGATGGAACGACAAGTTATATGAGCTGTTGATGATCCGCTCGGCCAATCCTTTTCGCATCTCCTTGTATTCACAACTCGCATGCATTGGATGTTCGCGAACCACAACGTCATCTGCTGCCGTGAGAGGCCGAGGCTTTGCATCGCATGCACTCTTCACTTCACACTCGCAAATTTTCCGACTCACCAGCATTCCAAGGAGAGGATTTTGATTGTACTGTGAATCCGATGGACGGCTGAGCATTTCATTTACCCTTTTGGATGGTCTGTTGCATGCAGCTTGACTCACACAGTCGAAGTGCACTCATGTCGTCATTTTGTATTCGCCATTGTGAATCACGATTGTCGCTATTGTGACTACTACTTGTGACGCGACGGTATAGCCACGCGCTCAAGCCAAGCCTCGCGTACCCCTGTAAGTGAGAGACACCGAAGTCACGAGTGTGAGCGACATGATCGACCACACGACCGCGCCTTGGACGCGCATGGCTCAGTACAGTCACGAGTGGTGAGTGTGTCTGCTGCAGGAAGCAAGTGGAGAACTCGCAACTGCATGCGAATGCCTGTGCTGCTGCTGCTGCGCTTTCTTTTCTCTTCATCTGCTCGGCTGCTTTGATTGATGGATTGGTCGATCCACCTCCGTCGACCTCTTTCATGGCGAGTATTTGTGCTCTCACACTGGCAACTCGACACCTTCACCACTTGCCATTGCGCCACGCTCGCCTCTCACGACTCCTTTCCGCGGTCTCAATTCAAGTCCATCCCCCAAATCTGCATGCAGCGGCAGGCTTCGAGTGCGAAGCTCATTTCACTCGGGGCTATACACTAGCTGCACAATTGCTGCTACGGTACTGTGACCAGCGAAAAAGGGGATAATCCGCACACTTGCGCTATACCACCCTATTCAGTCTCTCGTCACTCGCCCAGTCTCACTCTCGATAATCACGTGTATTCAATCAGGTTTGAGGACCATTTAGATATTTTACCGACTGGCTCCCCCGCCCTTCCCCCCCAACGAGGTGACCAAGCTCGTATGCGCAGCGCTGACATCATCGACACTCCATCAAACACGGCAAGGTCACCACGAGCGCTTCGGCGTTCATCTGGGTGTACCGCTGCATGAATCGACAAGAGCGTTAGAGGCGCCTCTTTAGGTCTCTGGCTACAGAGCTACACGCCACGCCAGCTCATCATTGCCGTATATCCCAAGCTTTCGAAGCTGCGCACATCCAAGAGGAAACTGCATAGATATAGGCTGCACTTTCTGCAACTTCTGCTTCATTGGCTCATCCGGCCCATACAACACCCTTCTTGTAAGCTCCTCGCCAGCAAAGCGGGGCGCGGATCAACCTAGCACGTCCATTCGAATCGAGCACGCGCGAACATGCCCTTCTCGGACTCTCTTGACCAATCGCAGAGCTCTCAAGAAGCCTCGAAATCTTCAGCTCTCCCTTCAGACCCTCGACCCAGCACATCCGCTCCCACTCTTGCGCCTTCCGCCTTCAATGCGTTCTACACCAACATACGCTCGCACCTGTCGCTCGACCCGACTTGGTCCGCCGTTCAAGAACGTGTCCTCTTGGAGCCCTTCTCCTACCTGGCCTCCAATCCCGGCAAGGAGATACGCGGAAAACTCATCGATGCTTTCAATTGCTGGCTGAGACTGCCGGAGGAGAAGCTGGGTATAGTGAAGGATGTGGTGGGCAGGCTGCACACGGCCAGTCTTCTGTGAGTTGCACAGGCAGTCGCAGCGCTCACCTGGCGGCCTTGTACATTGCGATCTGCATCTCGTAGGCTCATCAAGTTCTCAACTTTCTCGCTGCGGCAGCATGGATGATGTGGAGGACAATTCGGACTTGAGAAGAGGAATTCCCGTAGCGCACAAAATCTACGGAGTACCTCAGACGATCAACACGGCCAATTACGTCTACTTTCAAGCTTTCAGTTTGATCTTCTCCATGGGCACACCTTCATCCTCGCGCGTCAGCGTGGAAAGGCTCGTCAATGATGAGCTGATGAATCTGCATCGAGGACAAGGGTTGGACCTTTTTTGGCGAGACGCTTTGATCTGTCCAACAGAGGAGGAGTACGTAGATATGGTCAACAACAAGACTGGCGGTCTGCTTCGCATCGCTGCAAAGCTCATGATGGCACATAGTGGCCTGTACGCAGACTCAGAGAGCGCAACAAACGCCCAGCACAGCGCTCCTGATCTCTTGCCGCTTGTCAACCTCATCGGACTGCTCTTTCAGATCAGGGACGATTACATGAATCTGCAATCCGCAGCGTACGCTTCCAACAAGGGTTTTGCGGAGGATCTTACGGAAGGGAAGTTCAGCTTTCCCCTCATACATGGCATTCGCGCTTCTGCCTCTGATTTGGACCAGTCGCAGGAGCGAACGCACGCCCCTCCTTCCACACCCGCCCATCTTCCAAGGCCGGGCATTTCCCCCGTAAACAGCGCATCGAACGTTCGCAAGACGTCACCGCCAAGCAGACCCAGCACTTTGTCCAGTCCAGAGACGGTCCCTCCCAATCGACGTCTCTTGTCCATACTTGCTCAAAGACCGTCAGACGAGGCTACGAAGCGGTACGCCGTCCATTACCTCAAAGACGTCACTCGTTCCTTCCACTACACCATCGGCATCATGCATCACCTGGACGGTGTCGTCGGTGAGGAGATCGACAAGGTGGAGGCGGTCCTTGGACAGAATCCGGCTTTGAGGTCCATCTGCCTCGCCTTGCGAGCTGGCTGGTGGGGTGCAGATGGAGGAGACGAAAAGTGGGCGTCGGGCGCGAGTTGAGAGAGAGACAGCAGGCGGAAAGGCGAGGTGCTGTGTTTGCTGCTGCCTTCGGCTTATCTAGACGTGCTCATCCAACCCTGTAAAACAGTCACAGAATGAAGTCCCGAGCAAAGACGTCCCTGTATGCGACTGATTAGCCTCCACGTCTGTGCTGGGGTCGCACACGTCGTCAATTGCAAACTCGTCGCCATGCGATCGCATTCGAGAATTGGGTGCAAGCAGAAGGAAGACGGGAGGAGGCGGTGACACAATGCAACCTGCGCTATCAATATGCGCATGAAAACGTTTGGCGGCGTGGACAGGAAAAAGACAAAAGGGCTCTGTTGTGTGATCCTTCACTCCAGCGCGAAGTGGTCGGCAAAGTGTTGCAAGGTTGGCAGACCGCGTCTATGCAGAGCGATGGAAGGAAGTCGGCTGCGGTGGAACGTGCACATCGTAATCCATCAAGGTCAGTCTATGTGCAACTGTCCCCTCGAGAATACTCGCTCACCAAATGATGACGGCATGCGCTGCAAAAGAGGCAGAATGCGCGCATTCAATTCCAAGATCATTTGGGGCTCCTCCCAGGGACTGAGCGCGTGCTTAAAGACTCACTGTTTGTCACGCCATCAATGTAGATGCGATGTTTACGCAGATGGGGAAGCACTTTGGGATCGTTGAGCGTCTTGCACATCCTGAGCTGGGCAGCAGACAGGGCAGGAGACTTGCGCTTGCCTTCTGGTAAAGCCACCTGGAACGTTGAAGGGTGAGCGTCGAGCTCGTAACGCTTCGCAGCCTCGCTTCGAAACTGCGTTGGTTGTTCGACTGCGCCATTTGAGTTTGCCCGTGCGAGGAGTTGCGTGCTTGTCGTTGCAGAAGAATTCGCCGAGTCTTCACCAACATTTTCCTCCGCGACTTCTCTGACTTTTCTCCTCAACAACAACTCCGCCCAGCTCTTCTGCGGATCCTCATCCGGTTCTTTGCCCTCCCTCCACCTCTCCTGCATCCTCTTGACTCGTTTAGAGCTCCTCCTGCTCTCTCGAGCAAATCTGAAAAGCACCAAGCAAAGGAAAGTAGGAAAAAGAACCGGAAGGAAGATGAAGATAACGTAGTTGAGAGGTCGAGGCATCGGATACCTGTTCGGATTCAGGAAGATTGGAAACGTCTTTGGAAAAAGCCGCAGGGACCAAGGCCTGCTCTTCCTTTCGCCGTCAGCGGGAGGCTTGACGCCGGTGATGAGGATCGGGTACTGCGCATCGAGCGAGCTGGCGCATGCGCGGTCGATGCTCAGAGTAAGCGAGAAGCAATGTTGAGTAGCAAACTCTACCTATCGTACTCACACCTCGCACTCGCCGTTCCACTCATCGAGCACATCCCAGGGCTCGATCAAGCCCGACCGGCTCGGCACAGTCATATCATTGACAGCATTTGCGTAAAAGTCGATCTTGCGGAATTTTTGCAAGCCTCGAATGAATGCGCTGCTGGGGTCGCTGAGCGCTTCAATCACCCCTCTTGCTTGTGCGTTGCTGGAATGCTTGACAAGCGGAGTCGCGATTGCGTCCTCTTCCCAGCCGGAATCCAGATTGTACTAGTCGAAGCATCGAAACGCGAAGAAGACTGCACTTAGACGGCATTCAAGGCCAAGCACAGGGAGGTAACCTAAAGGCAGTCATTATCGACTCACCAACTGCCGACCAGTACGTCCCAACAATCTACCGCCAATGTAGTTGGCCAGCCTGCCAAAGGATGATCCAGCAGGAGGAATGCCAAGATGCGGTGTGGCAAAAGTGGCAAAGTTGATGGCTTCTACCGCTTTCGGCCCGGTGAAGAAGCCGGAAGCTTCCAATTGGCCGACGACGAAGCGCGCGGTGAGGCCGCCGAGAGAGTAGCCGAGCTGGTATGGCCAAGTGTAAAGGTCGTAGCAAGGGTCAGCTTGGATGTTTGAGCAATTCCTCGCGCAAGTCTGCCATGACTCACGATGCTGATCAGCCTGACCTCTGAGCCAATCGATTCAAGGCGCTTGATCTCGCGTTTGATCTTGATCAGGGACGTCAAGAATGGGGCAAGTGTGAATCAGCGCAACGAACATCCGCCTGCGTCCTTGGCGGCGAACTAGTAGCTCATCAAGAGTATCGACAGCCACAAACTTCTCCTGCGATGCATGCATCCAGCTGTTCTCTCGCCAATGACCACACCAACACGCACCTCGATGATGACGCGTTCTGCAATCCAATCGATTCCATCATATGTCCCCGCACCTTCGCTCGTCGCCGTGTTCAGAATGACCATCGCAGGTCTCTGGCCACCCGCTTGCTGAGCCAGAGCTTGCGATTCGGCAATCGCACCTTCTAACCACCTTCTACCGCTCGTGACCGATGCCGTATCGCTTGCCTTTGTGGAGGTGGTCGTTGCAGAGGCGGATCTGGACAGCGCCGGAGAAGGATGACCGGATGTCGGCTTTTTGCTGCCCTCTTTGGCATCGGCGGCTTCAGCGTCCGCCTCTCGAGGTGAGAATTCGCCAGCATGCCGTGCTTTGAGTATTTTGAGTAGAGACTTCAAGTTTGCTGGAGCTCCCCAAAGTCCATGAATGGCTACGACCAGGTGGACCTTCTTGTTTGCTCGCTCGCCCTCCACTCGAGGCACGGATGCTCCAGCGGCGTCCGGATCAGCGGAAGTGGATGCTTCGGAGGAAGATGAAGGCATTTTGATCTCGTCGAGTATGGACGGAGCTGCCGATCGACCAGCTCAATGGAAAGGCTGATCTGAGCAGTCGCTTGTGCGAGGAGAGGAAGCAGAGATCAAACGTGAATGAGCACGTCGATCTGCAATCGCGTTCGGCAGCTGCTCAATCGTGAAAGCGTAGCGTGGGTGCGTGCGCTTGATTGATGCAGCTGACGTACGCAACACCGGCAAGCCCCTGCCGCTTGCCCGTATGCAGGAGATTTGGGTGAGCAGAATCAGAATGCCGTTGATTGCTACGATGCGCGACGAACACCAGAGTCATCGCCCAGGGACATCGCAATTGATTCGTGATTGGGCCTGCCCTGCTCTTCATCATCACCTCTCAGCTGGGAGCATCATGTACCACGCGATCAGTCTGGAGAGTGCGCGCCGTACACAGCATCAGATGGCACGCTCTGAAGACAAAAGACAATGAAGATACATGCATTAGTCATCAAGCACCTTCACACCTCCATGAACAGCTGGCGGGCCGGCGCAGCATCATCTATGATCGAGCCCTCTGCTTCGCTCTTCTTTCCTTCAGCCGATTCCTGCGCGACTCGCAGCGGCAATTCGTCGCTTCCATCCCTAAATAGACTCGTAGTCCACTTTGGATACACGCGTTTGTACAAATTGAGCAGAATCGTGTCTGTGACATGGGAAAACGAAGCGGACAGCGTCAGCTTGCAAAAGCCACGCAGTGCTGAGACAGCAGAGATGCCACTCACCCATCTGATTGATGGGACCAGAAAAGTGAGCTTTGAAAAGACCGTGTGTGCCCAGACTTTCGGTGATATGACCTGTCTTTCCGTATTTGGTGTGAAGCTCGAGCGGTTTGAAGTAGTGAACGTCGTCTGCGAGATGAAGCAAGTTGTCAGGTGTTTGCAACAAGGGCCCCTTCGGAGATCACAGGTACCCACTGGCGTTGAAGAACATCCACTTGATGACGCTGCTCTTTCTGTGTACTTTATAGGGCGAACCTGTGAGGCAAATGCGCTTCGTGTTGATTCTGGTTGGTCCAGCATCCAACAGATTTCCACTGCCTACGAGCCAAGGCATCTGTCGAGCGCCCACGCCTCTCTGATCGTGCCCGAAAGTACCATCTTCAGACCTCTCCCTCAGCAAAATCGCAGGTACGTTTGCACTGCCGAACGTGATGGGTCCGAAGACGGTGCCTACGGACGTGGCCCCAGGACCTGAACGCAAGAATCTCTCAAACTTGTGCACGTTATTGGAGCCCCGTTGACCATTGTTTGCGGGATTATGCTGGCTAAAGATGGGCTGCACTCGCATCCTCCGCGGTCCAAGACAAAGTAGGAGTGGATCCTGCAGGTGCGAGCGAGAGACAGAGTCAGCCTGCAGTCCATGTGACGCTCATCGCCTCGAAGTCGCTTACTTTGGACTTGACCGGCTCTTCATACTCTGTGTTTCGCGACACCGTAAAGTTGAGCACGCTTGTCTTGTGCTCATGTCTAAGTAGACCAAAAAGCACCATGGCCGACTGATCTTCTCCGGAGCTCAGCACTCCATCAACGACTGCTCCTGCTCGAATGGCTGCTTGCAGCGGAACGTTCTCAATGACCACTCGAACTCTATGTCCCATAGCAACGCCCTCCTCCAGCGCCTCGCCTTCCACTCTTCTCCTCGTCTTTCTAAAAGAGTCGAATTGGAAGATTTTGGCATATTCGGACGGCAGATCCTCATACGGATCCCACTCTGACGTTCTCATCGATTTGAGCCCTCTATATCTGGCAAAGCGTTGCCTTGCAGGGATGTGGACAGGAGTGTCAACCTCGTCTGGAAACTCCAAGTCCTCATCCTCTGCCTTTCGTCGCTCCCTTTCAGCTGCTCGTCCTGCTTGATAAGCCTCAAATGAAGCCATGTCAATGTCGTCCATGTCGGATGTGACTTCCTCGTCAGACACTCCATCGAAGTCAGCGCTGGGATCAGCAGGCTCAGCACCTTCTCGATTTGCTGCGACATCGTTCATGGCTTCATCGATACTGCCCTCCTCCTCCTCCTCCTCGTCTTCGTCATCGTCGTCGTCGTCGTCGTCTATTATCCAAGCAGCCTGGAACCGTTTCCGCTCTCGCTCTTCCTTGCTGAGTGCCATACCCTTGCCTGGAACGGCAGACTTGATGATCGCCTTTGGAGTAGTTCCTGGAAGAGCATCGGGCACCTCAGCGAATCTGACACCCGATGTAGCGCTCTGCTCCAGATCGGCAGACGATACCGCATGCTGCATCTCCTCCGCAGTGGGCCAAGTCTGCTCATTTTCCATGTCGTCTGGTTCGTTCTCTGAAATGAGCTCGTCCGCATAGCCTTCTTCCCTGTCGTCGAGCACCTCTGTCTCTTCCTTTGCCTCTGCAGCATCCGTCATCTCCACATCGCCGCCTTTGCGGGCCTTGTGAGCGTGCTTGTGCGTTGCATTGACGTGGGGTGCACTCTCGATCCTTCGGATCACAAAGTCGCCAAAGTCCGGCAAGTGCACCAGCCTCTGCGCCGAAAGTGGCGCACCCCTGACCCATGTCTCCACACTGAGATTTCCCCGCTGCGCTTCCGATTCAAGCAATGCCTCGGAAGTCGATGCTAACCAGGATGCCTGTTCGACGATACCCCAGCTCCTTGCTTCTCTCCACGCTGCCCTTCGTGGTGTAGAAGTGGCCAAGGTCCTGATGAGCGAAGATCTGTCCGACTTCTCGTCCAGGGCGTGAATCTTGTCCAAACCAGGCGCAAAGTACCTCGCGAAGCTGAGCAAGCTGCTCCTCGCAGCCTGAACCGCTCTCATCCTAGGCCCAGCTTTGAGCGCGGAAACCTCGTCGGATGTAAGCGTCGGCACAGCGGCAAGAACGGAGGGCAGGCCTTGCGCTTGCATGATGCGAAGAGCCAGCTCGCCCCATGAACCTGGATCGATGGAAGTGCTGGGTGACAGCACAAAGATGACGAAATCTGCGCATTGCGCCAAGTCCAGCAAGGGATACAGAGCTCCGTAAGCAGGAGCGTGCAATTGAAGCTTCGTCCGAAATCGAGGCACGCTGCGCGTATGCAAGGCAAAGGTGAGATGGACGGCGTCAGATGAAAGTCGCAGAGCTTCAAGGGTACGAGCATGCGCTTGCGCACTCGTCCACTCACTCGTACTCGACCATTCGTCGCTGAGCGCTGTGCGCGCCTTCTCCGATGGCTTTCAAGTCGTCTTCCTCCCCCGCAACAGCTTCAAGCTGCTTGATGCACTGCCAAGCATCCACATCATGACTCAGGCTAGCGAAGACGACAGTCCTTGGAGCGCCTTTTGGTCCGCTGAACATTCTCTTTGCTTCGATCAGAGCCCGCCTCTTGTTATCCGCCACATCCTTTGCTCTCCTCTTTCTCACATCCTTTGCATGTTGACCGGTCCTAGCGCCACTACTGCCAGCAGAGAAGGGCGATTGCTTCACAGAACGCGTGGTGGTGCCGATTCCGGCTTCTGACCCCGTTCTGCCTTTCGCGCGTGCTTTAAGCTCTCCTTTGGATGCGTGTCGTCGTCCGAACGCCTTGTGCTTCTGCTTCAGCACGGATCGATGATGGTGTCCCTGCTGTGGAGGCGCCATGCTGGCGAATGAGGGGTGCTCTGTGGGCGTGGCACTGGCTGTTGCAACACCCTCTGTGCTCTTTGAAGGGCTCAAAGAATGATTGCTTGGTGCGATGGTCCCAGCTCTCGAGGTGCAGACACGAGTCACGAATCAAGCAGGAGGAAGAAGCTCGACAAATCCACCGCGTTACGTACCCAAGCGGTCGCCTCGTTCAAGTTTTGTGGAACTCTTGACTCTTGACTCTTGACTCAAAATTCTTGATACGAAATGAGTCACGTGCTTCATTCGGTTGTCGGCCGATAGCTGCTGCGAGAGGGAAATAGCAAAATGGCGCTAATTTTAGCGTGCCCACCAGCAGCTGATGCTGCAGCAGTCATCACAGTCGTGAGTATGCTGCATCGATCCGATCACCGCGTAAGAGCACGCGCTGCGTTTCCCGCCGCGCGCCGAGCATATGTGCCGCATGTGTTCGCGTACGCCGTACGCACGGGCTCCGTTTGGAGGGGGATACGAGCGTGTGAGGGTGTGAGTGCGCCTGCAAGTGAATTCCTATATAGCCATCATGTCCATCTGCATCCGATCCTTGCAGCATGAACAGAGCATCCACGGCCACCCACTCAGCCAATCCTTCAGCATTCTTGCTCAGACGCTGGCCGATCGCTGATCCATCGACCTTCCCTCACCAGCGCATACACGCAGTTCTTCGTGTCGAATCCGCGCCCATCCACCTCGAGCCGAGCGAGCGCAACACACGAGACGAGATAAACTGTCACATTGCTGACTCTTGACCTTCCGCAAGAGGAGCTTCGACCAGCGTCTGTAAGCCTACGCGAGCGTTCCAGCTTGCTTCTACCGCACGATGATGGCATCGGGAGGTAGCATCACCAGCGTCACTCCGAGCGGCACAGGCGCTCCCACACCTGCGTCCTCAAACGCCGGCGGCACCGCTACGCGCAAATTGAGCGGCCGATATGCGCTGAACGATTTCTCCATCGAGAGGACTTTGGGGACGGGATCGTTCGGAAGAGTGCATCTTGTCAGATCCAGGCATAATCTGAGGTTCTACGCTGTCAAGGTGAGTCTGAAAGGCGAGCGAACTGGAAGGAAGCGACAGCGTGCGACCAGCCTAAATAGCAGGCATTTCAGATGGACTTCAATGTAGAGCCTCTCAGGAACAGCGCTATTGAGAGACAATGGAAGGGAAGACGCTGTGCTCGCTCGGAACCAGCGAAGCTGACATTATCCACCGAACTTCTTGCGTCTGCCTGTTCCCTCTTGTCACCCTTGTGATAGGTGCTGCGGAAGGAGCAAGTCGTCCGCATGAAGCAAGTTGAGCACACAAACAGCGAGCGAGCAGTGTTGGAAGTGGTACGACATCCCTTCCTGGTCAATCTGTGGGGCACTTTTGCGGACCCTACCTTCCTCTACATGGTCATGGATTTCGTCCCCGGCGGAGAGCTCTTCACGCTCCTGAGGAAATCGCAACGGTTCCCCCATCCAGTGGCCAAATTCTACGCAGCAGAGGTCGCTCTGGCCATCGACTATTTGCACCAAAATGGTTTCGTGTACAGAGACTTGAAACCGGAAAACATTCTGCTGAGCGCTGATGGCCACTTGAAGATCACCGACTTCGGATTCGCGAAGTATGTTCCAGATGTTACTTGGACCTTGTGCGGTGAGTCACAGGGAGGGGAAGCTTAGGCCCTTTTGGTCGCTGCGAGATGTACAGGATCCGTCGTGCTGATGATCTTGCATCTCACATTCCTCGCTCTGATGGACCATCGAGCAGGTACTCCGGACTACCTCGCACCGGAGATCGTGTCTTCCAAGGGTTACAACAAGTCGGTCGATTGGTGGGCACTTGGTGTGCTACTGTTCGAAATGCTCGTAAGTGACTCACATCCGCAAGCGGTATGCTTGTTTGTCTCAGGTGTCCGATGAGCTGACTGGAGTTTCGATGGCTCTCTTTGCGTCTTGTATCTTTCCAGGCTGGGTTAGTCGCATTCGGATTTGCAGCTTCTTGCTTTCGCTGCATCTATGCTGACCCTCGGAACCCTGAAACCGTCCTTCTTCCTCCTCCAAAGTCACCCGCCATTCTTCACTGAGGATGGAAATCCGATCAAGCTGTACGAGAAGATTATCGCATGTAAAGTGCGGTACCCGCCGTACTTTGAAGCAGCAGCAAAGTGAGTGCGCAATGGCGAGTCTTGGTCGTTTGCGTCCACGTCATTGAGCGTTGCCCCCTCGTCTCGCTCACAGAGATCTCCTGAAGAATCTCCTGACTGCGGACCTCACTAAGAGATTTGGCAATTTGCATCGAGGCGCGCAGGACATTTTCGGGCACATGTGGTTTGACGAGGTCGATTGGGACAGGCTGTATAGAAGAGAGATACCCGCTCCTTACTTGCCTACTGTCACGGCCGACGGAGACGCTTCGCAGTTCGAAAGGTGAGTGACAATTTGGATCTATTGTCGAGCTTATGATGGATTCTCAAATATCCACCCTTGATACCGGCCCATGTCAGATATCCCGAAAACGATTTGGCAGAATATCAAATGCACGAAGCGCCAGATGTCTTTGGTCACTTGTTCCCCGAGTTCTGAGGCTTGGCCAGACTCCTGCTCAGCCCACTCATGCCACACCGAAGTGTTTTGTCCTTCGGTTGCCCCTTCTTGATGACATGCTCTTGTTATATCATCGCATCATCGCATTTTGAACGGTCCGTATCATCTCGTGAGCTACTGTCTTACCGCCTGCAGTCGAGGCCGACCAGGGCGCACCTCGACAATAGACATTCAGACGAGACTCAAGCTCATTCTTAGGGTGGATAGCTGTGTATTTGATGAGGTGGGTTTGTGCTGGAGAGTCCGATGGCATGCAACTTGTGCGACACGACGAACCAGATGAGACTACTTGGGCCGACACTTGCGATGGACGACTTCTTGTAAAGCAAAAGGTCGACGAGGTGATATGCGTCGAGTCCGCGCTGTGGGCTTCCTCGTGCGCATGGAACTTGTTCAGGAGGTGTGCATAAGAGAGACGAAGCATGACACCACAGCACATAGCGGGTTTCCGATTTAGGATCTTATATAGATGCCAGTCACTGCAGCGCTTTCAGCTCCTTTCTCAGCTCCGCCTCGCCAGCGATCTTGGACAATTGCATCTCCTCCAAGGTCTCACCCTTGGCTTTGCGATCTTTGAGATCCTGGATAGCTTTGAGCTTCTTGTTGATGTTGCGGACCTTCTTCTCGATTGCTGCTGCGCCTTCCGCGTCTCCTCCAATATCCGTAGCTCCCGAGGTGGCAGGTACTGAGGGTTCGCTGCTCGCGTTGAACGATGCCGCAGTGTTGGGCGTGGAGGGCGCACTGGCTTTGCCGTTTTTGCCCGCTTTCTTCCCGCCCGGACTCTTTGCGGGTCCGGTCGGCACCGAACCGGGTGGAGGGGCAGCTCCTGGAATCGAGCGCTTGCCTCTTGCACCAGCGCCAGGAGGCACGTAGGCGCCGTTCTTCGCTGGCGAAGAAGGTGCAGAAGCATTTGCGCTCTCTTGGTACAGCCGTGCAAACTCGCTGCTCGCCCCACCACTGCGAGCACCTGGCGGTCTGTATGCACCACCAGAATGCTTGCCGTTCGCCTCCGTCGCAGACGCAGCCTTCGCCGCGGCTTTGGCAGCCTGAGCATCCAGCAAAGCCGTGGCAGCTTGTGATGCTGTGGGGGCGGGTCGAACCGCTTTGGAGAAGGGATGGTCTGCCAAGCAGTCTGAAGGCAGCTTCGGCCGCCATGTCGCTTGATACATTTCATCCTGCATCTCCACGTGCACAAGCTTGCCCGTGTAATGCCAGATTCTTATCCCGTTCTCCACTCGTAGGCGCGGACTCAACGTTGCAGTGAGCACAAATTGGCCGTCTGGACTCCACTGGCACACGCTGCTGTTGCTGGCATCGAAGGAGTGGAGCTTTGCCCGAGCACTGGCTTCTGCGCTGCTGCCAGCCGCGCCACCAAGAAGTTCGCGATCCCAAACATCCACTGTCCCGTTTAGGTTTCCGAAACCGGCGATCAGCAGCAGCCGGCCTTGAGGATTGAAAGCTGCAAAGTTTCGCCCAGCCACGCCGAGCTCTGCAATGACCTTGACTTGCGAAGAGAACAGCGTCGCCTTGGCTGGCATATACCCATAGATGACTGCGAATTCCCGGCAATTAGGGTTCCATTCAAAGTCGTGCACTGGCCCTTCCTTGTCGAGACCCACTCGACAATCGAAATCACCTCTAGTGGACATCATGTATAGGTTCGTCTCGCCGTAGTAGGACTTGCCGGTCTTGTCATGTTCGGTGGAAGTGAGGAAGAGAATGGCCGTACCAGCCGTGTTCCACTTGATTTGAATCTTGTCTGCTTTAAAGAAGGTCTTCTGAGAAATCGGTTTGGGCGGCGCTGCTGGTGAAGGGATGAGAGATGCGAGCGGATACACTTGCACAGATGCTGGCGCGCCTTTCTTTTCCCCCAAAAATACAGCGACACTGGGTCTTTCCCCAGGCCCAACTTCGTACGAGGTGATACCTTCCAGCTTCAATCGACCCACCACATGTCCATTCATGTCGGCGGTGGAGAAGACTTGCAGCTCGGTAGCGACTTGGCGAATGGCGTGTTGCTCGTCATTGGTGAATTGAAAGTGACTTGGCACGAAGACGCAACACAGGAGGAGCTGTCAGGGCCATAACGCACGCGTGTATGCGCTCTCGAGAGAATTGCATCCACTCACCAACCTTCTTGATTCCTCCTTTCAAAGCTCGCTATCCTCTCACCCGACTGAGTGTTCCATATGCTGTGATTCTTGATGGGATTGCCGTCCGCATCCTTGTTCGGACGTTCCCACGTACTCAAGTACCGACCTCGAGGAGAGAAGCGCATGTCGATCACCTTGGCGGCCGCCAAGATGAATGAAGGTGTTGGAACCACCTCGGCTGCGGACGCCGCCCCGGTGGAAACAAGCCGAACGCTGTCATCGTAGCTCGCGGCAAAGATACTCCCATCTGGACTGTATACGATAGTGCGCGCTGTCGCTTCGAGGTCTGGCAGGGAATGACTCGCAAAGCTTGGCGCGCCGGCTCCGAGACCGACGCGCTTCTGAGTGCGGTAGCCCCATTGTTGGGGAGCGAAAGAGGTGGTGGCCATGCTCGACCCCAATACCTTTGCTATCAAAGAGTCACAAGGGAAGGCAATAGGGTGCTTCGACAAATCAAAATCGTGAACGAAGGGTTTCCCTCCTGCTTGGCACTGGCCTGAATCGTGAAAGTGTGTCGCTTGCAATTGCGCTGGTCGTGGGATTCAATGCGAGTCGCGAACGCGCAGCTTCGAGTGAGTTGGAAGGCGCCTTCTTCCTGCCCATATCTTCAATAACCGCCATCCCTGCATGCCCGGCCTGACGAGCCTAGTCATGAGGTCACCTGACTAGCAAGCCCAACCGAGTACCCCACGTGGCGGTCCGCCTATTCAACGCTCTCAGCCACCCTGACCACGTGACTTGTAATCCAAATCAGCGGCAAATCCCCAACCAAAAACGCGGCTGGTGTCAATCAAGAATCTTGAATCAAAATTTTCGGATCTTGAATCACGAATGCTTGATGTTGAATCAGATTTTATCCACTGAGAAGGCTGTTTGGCAGACATCTCTTCGCGCACCTTCCTGCCGAAATTTGTGTAGAAGAGATGCTGCACGCAAGCTTCGCTTCAACCTAGTTTTTGTAATCATCATAAAAGGTACCCGAGTCACACTCTTGACTTAAGACCTCTGCAGCTTTTCGTTTGAAGCTTCGTGCGTAAAGTCTTGCCCCGAGGTCGCGAGCTTGAACTCGAAACCCCGATCAACGGGTACAGCACAGTGACGATCGAGCGATGATGAGTCTTGATCGAGTCAGAGTGTGCGCGCGCGTGCCTCCATCATGAGTCCGTTGCATGAGCAGCATGCAGTAAGTCATCGCGCAGGGCCAGCACCGCGGGGGAGCGCGCAAAGCAGGCACGCGCGTCAGCTGCACGTGTCGACATGATGCATGCATTATGCATACTGAATAATACCTGCGTACCGCGCATATACATGGACGCCGCGTCCAAACGAGAGCTATATAGCTAGACTTGATGGGGTATAGCAGTCAAGATGAGTTGAGTGTGAGGGTAGATGATGGCCGCGCGCGCCACTCGCGTCAAACGAGATCCCATCATCATATGCATGCAGCCATCAACAGGCTGCGTGCGCGCGTACGCAGCGAGCTCATGCCCTACGCGCGCGAAGGTGTGAAGCTCGACGCACCTTGTCGTGCGCGGCTCCACTCTCGTTGGATGAACAAGCTTTGGACTCCATGTGACTAGCTCATCTCCACTTGACCTCTCAAGAACTTCAAACACTTCGAATAATGCTACCAATTGCGCAACCCTCCCCAAGGTGATAATAAGGCTGGGTGGCAACATCCCTCCACACGTAGCGCACGTAACCCCGCCCAATGGGAGGCTGGATTTCGCCCTTAAGATCGCCTACGCTTTTTACTCCTTTATATCCTTTAGGCCTCCGTTTGACATTGGGATTCTATTCTTGATTAGCGAGCTCCAAACACAAGTAGAAGAGTTGGTTACAGCGCCAAGCGCCACGAAGCTGCACACGCGTCGGTCTGGCTTGCTGGGCTCAGCACAGCCATACTACGCACCCATCGACCTCGCTTCCCTTTCTGACCCGACATGCGTGCCTTCATCGTGTCACCGTCGCATTGACTCAATCATTCCAGACCAGCACTCTCAGAACTAGCGAGCCTTCCGGTGCTGCTGAGTGCAATACGGCTTGCCATACCTCCTCATTTGACGCCTCAGACTCGCGAACACAAGGAACCCACCTTTCTCGTCCGCTTGAAGCTATCCGCCGCCGAGGGTAGGGACTTTCAACCAGGATGGGACCTCTCAAACCAAGGTCGGGAGCGCCCAAGGCACTGTCTCTGCCCATGGGTAGTTCCTCTCACTCTACGTCTTCGCCGTCTGGCACTTCCTCACCGTTTGCAGGACAGCTCTCGGCAAACGCAATTGGCGCGCAATCTCAATCGCACCCGGCAATGACAAGACACGGGTCTGCCAGTGGAGAAGAGGAGCACCTGTCCGAAGGATTAGCAGCGCGGGCTCCTCGACCAGAGAGCGGCAGGATACCCAGCGCATCAACGAGCACGTCTATCCCGACACTCAAGAGTCAGCTGCCTCGAGGACAAGAGCAGAGTCCTTTCTTCGCTTCTGCGAATCAGGAAGTCTCCGGCGATCGGAGGCAGTCTGACAAAGGGCCAGACACAGCTCCGGATTACTTCGCAATGTCAGGGACAGCAGTGCCGGCAAGCGCCACTGCGAATGAGCAGTCAGGGCTGATGCCACCCACGCCTGCTGGCGCAGACACGCAGTCGCACCCTTGGGCATCTTTCTTGCCAAGTCATGTCCCACAGACGCCGGGTGGCGTGACTCCCTTGGTGGTGCCCCCAGCATCATCCTCTGTCGGCTTCTTCGAGCAACCAACGAATACGAAAATACAGAAGACGCCTCGTGCAGACGAGCTGGTGACATCGTCTTTCAGCGGCGTCACAGACGGTGGAGCGACTCCGACTTTGCGCTTTCCCTCCGCAGGGCCCCTAAACTCACCTGCGTCAGGTCCCATCTCCGGAGGAATCAGTGTCAGCGGCCAGCACAGGACTGGCAAGTTATCTGGAGCCTCGGCCTCTTCAGCGCGGACAGCTACCTCTGCAGCTTCCTCAATTCCAGCAGCGGACTTGACGCGATTTACGGCTTTAGATGCTTCGACTCTGGTAGAGCTACTCAACGGAGGCGCTGGCGAAGTCGACGTCGAGCGCTCGCCGAGAGAGTCAAATCCCACGAGCAAAGCTCGTCTGCGACGGAGTTCGCGGAGCAGCTCTCCGGGTGGCACGTCCTCCGCGTCTTCCACCACCGATGGCGACGACGGTTCTACATCTACGCTCATTATTGACATTCGACCATCAACCTCTTTCAACTCGGCGAGGATAGCTCGCAGTGTGAACGTCTGTGCTCCTTCCACGCTCCTCAAAAGACCGGCCATGACAGTGGACCGCATCGAGTCGGAAATGCTCGGTTCCTCTCAGGACGCCAAGCGTTTCAAGCGGTGGCGGAAGGGTGTTCGCAAGTCTTCGCCCGAAGCGGTCAATCATGGAAGCGTGAGCGACGATGATATTGAGGAGCCAGATCGACCGCTGCGGCGCATCGTGGTTGTTGATACGGATACTCGCAGTCTAGGAGAAGCTGGTCGACCCAATACCGGTGGCGGCGGTGCATGCTTGACTGGCCTTCTACGCAAATTCGATGCAGCAGGATTCCAAGGAGATCTATGCTGGCTAGTCGGTGGCTTCACTGGCTTTGCCCATACCGTCGGGCAGAGCAAGGAGGAGGATCACCGAGCTCTATTGGAGAATCGACCTCTTCGAGCTGAGTCAGCGACACCTGTCAAGAAAGCCCCTCCGCGCCTAGAGGGTCTGATCCCCCCCGACGCTGAACGGACACGACGTTCTTCCGTGCCTCGTCTTCCCAGCGACAGCAGCAACGCCCAGCGCAGTCCTGATTATGGTGACGAGCAGCGACACTCGCTGGTGCAGCCTCGAGGGTTGCCTGCCGAAGCCTTCACCACTCGGAGTCTTGCTGGATCTTGGAACAACGAGGCTGGTCAAAGGAGGATGAGGGGCATTGAAGCTTCGCATTCGCAACCGGCTCAGCTCGGGGTGAATCAAGGACGACCGCAACCTCAGGCTGTAAGTCGAGCATACGTGGAGCGCGACTGCCATAGGGTTCAGCTGACACGAATTTGCATTTTGGCCTCGTAGTCTGCCAATCCGTTCTTCGACAACATACGGCAAAATCGAGAACTGGCTCATGGTGTCACTGAGACTGTGCCGTTGGATATCCCAAATCTTTCTTCGGCTCAGCGAGACGCACTGCCGCCGTTCTTGCAACACCTGGCAGACCTCGACCCCAAAACCAGAGAACAAAAATTGGCGGAGGACTTCTTCAACGTGGAGCGGGATGAGCAGCAGCGACTTATGCAGACCATGCGGAAGCACGCTGCTGAAAGCTCAGTCGATCCACGCAGTGCCGACAACTCGCACGCTGGGGCAGATTCTGTGGATCTGTCAGGTCAGCAACCGAAAGATCTGCCGGCCGCTCAAAGGCTGGCCTCACGACATAGTGCTGTTTCTGGAGCCACTCCTCATCACTTTCCTTTCAGCATTGCAGCCGCTCTCGAGAGAGGCGCTGAAAACAGGTACAACAATATCTGGACCTACGAGCACAGTCGTGTGCGCGTAAGCGAGCCTCCAGCGGGATGCACCGACTATCTCAACGCCAGCTTCGTTGAACCTCTGAATCGTTTCGGAAGTAGGAGACGATACATTGCTACTCAAGCACCACTGCCCAGTACCTTTGAAACCTTTTGGCTGGCTCTGTGGGAACAAAATGTTCATGTCATTGCGATGCTCACTCGGGAGCATGAGGCGGGCAGGGTACAGAGTCATATGTACTGGGGCAGCCAGCATTACGGCTCGCAGCTCGAGGTTCGCTTGGTGTTTGAGGAAGCTCTCGATGAGAAAGGCAGTTCGCTTGGGCCGCCTGCCAGCACTAACGACTGCAAGACAGAAGACGACAAGAAGGGCGGAAACCTGTTTCCTTCCATGCACTCGGCGCAAGAGGACGCCGAAAAGGTGCACATCATCCGAAGGATCCTTGAGCTCCATCACCACGGTCGTGGTGAAAAGCGGGTCCTCACACATCTGCAATACGTGGCTTGGCCCGACTACCACATTCCCGAGTCGCCGACTGGTCTGTTGCTCTTCATGGAGCTCGCCGCGTCTGCTCAAAATATGCACAATAACGTTGGTCCCCTTCTCGTACACTGCTCTGCTGGAGTTGGCAGAACAGGGACTTATATTGTCATAGACTCGGTGCTCGATGTACTGCGTCGGAGGCGCGCTGAAGCAGCGGGCAAGGCGCCTCTGCCAGTATGGCAACCTCGCGCTGATGCTGGCTCTGCTGGCCTGCACACCAACAGCTTGTCTTCCAGTGGAAGCACGTATGGAAACATCATCGGGCGGGATGGCGACTACTTTTCCTCGAAACGCGTACCGCGCAAATCACTCAAGCGGGAGCTGTCACCCTCAGACATGGACGTTGATCAGGCTGCGGAATCGATTACTTCCAACGGCGAACGTCGAAGTGATCTTTCGAGTCCGCCGCCCATGCGCCGATCTCGCTCGGACGCCGACAGCGTGGAGAGCGATGCTCGTTCCATATCGGGCCTTAGCAGCTCTGGCGGTCCCACCAGCAGCAGCAGCAGCTCCTCTGCAGGCAGCGCTGCGGGAGCCGGTTTCCTTGCCATGACACCAGACGCCTCAAGGAGACCGAGCGAAGCACAAAGTGGCATGGACACGCCTTCCAGAGCTATGCGCAGCCTTCACATTGCTGTAGATTCATCCTCCTCAGCTTCTCCTGGCCCCAATAACTTGCATCGGTCCGCCGCGCAAGCATCCGCCTCACAATCACACTCCAACGATCCGTTCAACGCAGCAAGTTCGAGTCCAAATCCTTTCTCCACGCAATCAGTTCTACACTCGAATGTAGAGGCAGCTTCGACTTCGCCCAAGTCAAACTCGTTTGTCTTACCTGATTCCGCCAGTCAAGACTCCATTGCCACAACAGATTCTACAACCTCGGACGCCGCGATCGGCGAGACGGATCTCATCCAAAGCGCTGTCGGCGTGGTTCGAGAGCAGCGGATGAGCTCGGTGCAGACCACTCGGCAATTCGTCTTCACCTACTCTGCCGTGCTCGCCGGCTTGCTCCGAGAACTCGACGCCGAAGCCGCTTCATGAGTCAGTGACCCCCACGCTGACCACCGTGGTGGATCCTCATCGCATCACGCCTCGCAAGGACACATCATTGTTTCTATCATCATCTAGGTCAGACTGTAAACCGCATCTAGCACTCATCTAAGCATTTCCTCAATGGATCGCTCGCGTTGTATTGTGATCGGAGACTGCGCTGAGGTGTTTCCGTCCGTCTCCCCACCTCTTGTGATTATCTGGACTACAATAAGCCGCCTAGTTGGACACGACTTCGGGTCGCTGTGTGCGAAGGAGAAGTTGAGAAGGTCGAGCCGCGTAGACACCTTTTGTGCTTGGCCTGGATCGCTGATTGCCCTAGCCTTGTTGTGCGCTGAGGTCGAACACATTCATGACTTGTTGGGCATCTCTACGCATTAATTTCGCCTCAAATACGTTTCAATCACTGATTTGGGGCTCGATGTGACTCGTATTGTTCGTAATTCCCATCCGACAGGCGTGAAGAATCATGAAATTTTTTTAATTGCTTGCGGACTTCGATGGCCACGTTAGTCACGTGGAACGATGGTCACCAGAACGCGTGAATTCGCGGCGGAGACTCGTTTGGCCAGAAGCGGAATTACCTTTTGCCGAGGTGGGGGCCCCCCGACGCTCCACCATGCACAAGGCAGCGTCGCTCCACTTGGCTCACGGTCCAAGCCCCACCCCCACACTTCGCTCTGGATTGCCGAATGGGCAGCCGGAAAGCTCAGTCAGCTCGCCAAATGCCAAAAGTACTTGCGAGGATTTGCGCCGAGCTGCAATATCGGCCAAAGGGCTTCCGTTGTCAGGAGGGCGAGCGCGGCCTTGCGCAGGCCGAGTATAGTCGGTTATGCGCTTCTCTTGAGCAACTCCGAGGAGGAGACTGACAGGCGGGAGCGCCTCTGCGTGTGTGTACATATATAAATGTACGCACCGCCTTGCGACTGATCCATTCCAGCAACCCCAGCACTTCACATCGTCTTGCCATACATCCACAACGCCGAACAAGCGCAACGAAACCGACTCCAAGCGAATCCCTCCTTGCCCTGCAATTGAAACTCGCGCACCTGACAAGGTCTCGGATCAGGCTTCGTGTGGTGAATATTGTTGCCGAGCACTGCAAGCTGCAAGAAAATTATTCATCAGTCTGCCTTCAGCGATTTCGGCAGGGTCATCGTTGGAGTAGCAAATATTGGAGCTCACGCTAAGCGTACCTGCGCACCCGCAAACGCGCCTATCCGGTTGGAGCAAGGCGTCCAATCTCAGCTGCTGCGAATCAGCCTCACCAGCAACCGCAGCTCTTCCAACGTCGGTTAAGAGTCGTCGGCCTTGCGGACATTCAGCATTTGGTGCTTGCTGCTACCCAGATCTTCAGGTTCCGAATCCCATCGACCACAACGACTGCACGCGCAGAGCCCCCTGACTGGTCATACGTAACCTTTGCGCGAGCTAAGTCTGCACGCCACCGCGCGCACCTGACAGCAACACCGAAAATAGCTGTCCGCCCGATCGCATGGCGCATGATAAGGGGTGCTAGTGCCTGCACGCAACGCATGCATCGCCATTACTAAGAACAAGCCTAATCAAGTCACAGTCAACACAGCGAGCGAATCGTTGGCATATCGGCATCAAGACGCAAGTGCTCCAACTCGTACAAACATAGACCAACGCAACTGAACGTTGAAGCGTCTCATATAGCCACAATCACTCCTCGCGCTTTTGACTGGGCCACCGACGTGACATCCCGCCTGCATCTGTAGACTCCACCGTCAATTTCGCGGTAACCGTTCGGTGAAGGATCACGCACTCGTTCAATTGGCCATACCAACTCCATACTCGAAGCAGAAACCTCATCACTCGCCATCATGGACGCAACACTTCCACGCCCAGCATTTGGCATGTTTACGCATTCCGCCGGGGCTCACGCTGCCGGTCATTCGCTGACGACCAAACTCCGAGCAATCGCTGCATCTGGTCTCGACGCCGTCGAGATATTCCAAGACGATTTGGACGCCTTTGCAAAGTCGCCCGAATTCCAAATCTGCAACACCAGAGACGCGCTCACACCGCCAGACAGTCCTACCTCGAGACGCGCGAGCGATTCTAGCTCGCAAACCTCCTCATCTGCTCCCTTGACAAAAGCCGGTCTCAGAGGTGAGGCCAAGGGCCAATCGTCCACGTCCGAAATGGCCATCTTCAACGCTCACGGACCATGCACGCCCGCCGAGCTCGCACAAGAGGTGGCAGCTGCAGCATACATCGGTGATCTTTGCGCCTCTCTCGGATTGCAAGTCCTCAATTTGCAGCCATTGCGCGACGTCGAGGGCTGGTCATCTGCCGAAGATCAAGCTGCCGCAGATGCCAGAGTACGAAGCCGTTTCCCGATCATGCGCGCTCTCGGTACGGATCTCTTGCTTTGCTGCTCCAACAACCAACCGTCACCTCGCACGACTGGAGATGCGCATCGCATCGCGCAAGACCTCGCACGAATGGCCGATGAAGCCAAGACTTTTAGCGAGACGATCGGCCAGGATAGCAGACCGTTGAGAATAGCTTACGAAGGCTTGAGCTGGGGCGCTCACCACGATACGTGGCAAGGCGCGTGGCAGTGTGTCGAGCTGGCAAACAGAGACAACGTCGGCCTTGTCCTGGACAGCTTCAACACTCTGGGTCGAGAGTTTGCCGATCCCTGCTGTGCCGATGGCGTGTCTGCTCATCCAACGTGGCGCGAATCTTTGGCGCGCATTCCTACCGTACCGGCAGAAAAAATCTTCCTGGTCCAGATCGGTGACGCTCGTCGTGTGCCAGCACCTCTGGAACCCTCGCCCAATGCCAAAGAGCCTCGTCCCAGCCGCATGATCTGGAGTCGATCGCATCGACTGTTTCCAGGAGAGATCGCCAAGGGTGCTTTCTTGCCGACGATCGAGTTTATGCACGCAGTGGTCGTACAAGCAGGCTACCGAGGACCGTGGAGCGTCGAGGTGTTCAACGATAGCTTGAGCGACGAGGCTTCCAACGTACCATCCCACCATGCCAATCGAGCCAAGGTCGGACTCGAATGGCTTTTCGCGCAGGTCCTCGCCACCTGTACCCAAGCTTGACGAAGGCGGCTCGATGAGCGAGCGTACGTACGCACGCCATTCCGACGGCTTGCACTCCCCTTCCACGTCCCCCCGCGCGCACGAGTGGCTTTCCACACCATACTGTATTGTACTCAAGCACTCGAACCCAAATCATCTGCATCGCCACTTACTGGTTCTGCATTTGAAGCATCTGATGCGGCCATTTTGAGTGTTAAAGCAATTTGAGTGTTGAAGCAAGATGAACAGCATAGTGACAATTGCCATAGCGAAAAGGCTCGAAGGGAAGCCCTCGACATGATTCCTGGTCGTTCACATTTGGTCGCGATCGCACATGATCCAGATCTTGCACTCGGCAAGGGTTCCGCTCAGAAAATGACAGACCAAGCGGGTTGGAGCGAAGCGAAATGGGATTGGGTGCAGAGAGGGAAAGCGCGGAGACTCGTGATGGTCGATGGGGCCTGTGAACGTCGTGTGGTGACAATATGCATCGGCAGGGAACTAGTGGAGCTCGAGAAGGTCGCAGTAGAGGCTCATCGGATGAGCAATTTTTTTGGGGAGGTGTTGACCTCTGCTTGCTGCTCATTGGGTCGATGATCGGCCTGTGTGCCAATGTCTAGGCGCGCCAGAGTAGGAAGGCGATCTGACCAAGATCTGTGACGAGCGAGAAGAGAGGGACAAGTAAGTCAACGCTTCTTGAGGGATGGGATTCGATCTTTGCGGCATGCTCACAAAAGTAGATGAAGTGCTTGGTCTCTGTGAAAAGTGTTACGGAAGGGACGAGTGCGTGCTTGACATTCAGCCTCAAGCCATAAACACGAGCTGCCAGTGTGCCGGGGTCCTGACTCCCGTCCAAAGTCCGCCTGAAGATGATGCCGTGCCACACAAGCCAGCGCTGATGCTGCTTTCCCTAAATGTCTCGCCATGCACCCAGAAGTGTAGTTCCTAAACTCGCATACAGCCTCTCACATTTTCGCTGACGAAGGCTCGCATCCGCAACACTCACCGTGAGTGACGTAGCTACCGTAGTTCTTGCCAACCACAGCGTGCCACGTAGGTCCATGCTTCTCATCCATAGTTCTCTTGACATGCGCGGCGATGTCCTTCTCGACGGAGAACTTGGCCATGGCTTCGTGCGCAATATCCACCACCGCCTGCTGAAGTTCCTCGTCCATGTCTGCATTCTTGATCACGGCCTTTGGGACCGAGTTGCTGTCTACCGTGTCCTTCAGATCCATCTTCTCTGTCTTGTCCGTCACGTCGCTCACAGTCATCTGCGAGCGCGAAAAGAGGCGAAGAGCGCGTTAGTGAGAGATGAGATGGATACATAGATGCGATGATGGTGAGCGATGCGACCACGCACTTTGACGAAGGCTCTGGGGAATTGGGAGACGCTGATGAATATCAATAGGAAGCCGCGAAAAGCTTCGACTCTCGACTTCTCGACTCGTCGTCGTGTTGCTGGTCGAGTGTGCAGGGAAGATGCAAGGGTTGCTTGGGTGGTTGCAAGGTGGATGAATTGGAAATGCGGCGCGTCTGCTCGATTCCAACACGAATCGCGTCAGGCGTACTGCTGCTGGTGTATCGTTGCGACTGCCGTTGACGCTGCTGCCTGCCAAGGTGAGCACGTAAAGCAGATCAATCACCAGCAATTACAGTGAATCGTGACTGGGCTGATAGAGTCGTGAGTGCACGCAGATTATTGCGAGGACACTGGTGACTTATAGCTGCGCTCCCGTATATATATGAGCCTGCGCCCGCGCACAGACCTTTGTGGGCTGAAGATGCGTGTTGTGACACGGCTGACGAGAAGGCGCGCACAGCACGGCAATGTCTCAGTCTCCTTGAAGACCGCGGCGGCGACTGAAGCAACACGGCGCGGCGTATGAATATAAGCGTGGTCGAGCGATGCTGGAGGGGCGCTGGAGCTGCTGCTGCTGTATATGGAGCAGCTATATAGCACTTGGAGCGCTGCGCGTGGCAAGGTACAGGTTGTTTGTGATGAGTCAAATTGGTTCGTCGCTCTGGCTCGCAAATAAGATGGCGCGTTGAAGCAGTGATAAGTTATAGCTGGAGGTCGAGGTAAAGGCAGCAACGGGAGGTAGAGACGAGCACGCGGTGATGACTCGATCGATCGTGACTACGAGCACGAAATGATGTCCAGAGCCGTGATCTCGTCGCCAAGTATACGGAGATATGTAGGAGTGAGAGTGCGAATGATGAGAGTGTGCAAGGCTCCTCGCACCGATGGATGGTTGATGGAAAGCAAGCTCAGTGAGGGTGCTGCATCCATCCACCTTTGCGCGTGCGGACATCAGACATCCGAGTCCCAATCGTGAATAATCGAGTGCAATAAGCGTCGCGCCGGAGCTGCAGCCTCAACTACCGGTGCAGCAGCAGGCGGACCACAGTCGCGCGTTGTGAGAACGCAGACGAGGCTCGAGAGCAACACCAAAAAGAGCGCAAGACAGCGAGCGCACCGTCTGTCAAGCCTAGCGCGTACGTACGTTCTCGCAGGGCCCAGCCAGACCTTTCCCTAGCTGCGCGACGATTTACCTAGCTGCGCGCGCCTAGCAACAACGCGATCAGAGCTTGATTCACGATTGCTGCCGGTGCCGAAGCGCGGAATTGGTACCGTGCACCGCGCAGCACGCGTGCAGAATCAATGGACGCTCCTGAATCACGAACCGTGAAGGAGAGGGGGATATGAGAGCATGACCCAATCGTGAATCACGAATCGAGAATGAGTCTCTCGGCCGGCTAGTTCGCGTGACGTTGTGACTCTCGAATGTTAAACTGGGATTTGAATGTGTGTGATGCATCTCGTGCTGGTGGATTCGTGATGCCATTCGTGATTATACAATCTTGAATACCATCAGCAGTGACTTGGATGGATCAGCGTCCACACCAAACACCAAGGTGATCCGATAGCTATACTCACCCTTTCCGTTTCAAAATAATGTGCGTCGCGAAGAGGCCTGCTTCTGAGACACAGCTGCCCTCCTCCATCGTCGCGGGCCTCTGTCTCTGCTGCTGGTGCGGGTTCTTTCTGAGAGACAGTTCCCGTTGCTCCATGCGTCGTCCCAACGTGGACGTGATCTAGCGGTCACTCACTCACTGTGACTTGACTGTGTGAGTTATAGATTGGCAGTTCTCGCCAAGAAGAGGACCTCGCAAGCAAAAGAATCAAATATAAAATGACGCTTCAGGCTCGATCAGAACTGCGGTATATCTGTGTTGGATCTGGCTCGAAGTGGTAAATAGCCCGGTGGGACAGCCTAGCTGAAATCCGACGGGTAGTGAGGCGGTGATGCTGGCCGGTGTTATTTACGAAGTTGCAGCATCTTGCCGCTGCAGCTGTGGCCGTAGAGGTATAATCTGGATGCATATATGCTGGGCAGCGTGCCCATCTTGTCGTGATCAGTCGTAGGCTGAGGCCGAGGCCGAGAAAGCGAGACACTTGCATCTCCATCCTTGATACTCATGATTCGATCCTTGGCTGACATCTTTTTTGAGGTTCACGAGGGGAATCAAGAGTAAAGACAGGTCGTACACATGCGCATGCGGGCGAGCAAAGGAGGTCTCTTGGCAGAGCGAAGGCAGGCAAGCTCCCACCTCCACCCGCATTTGGATCACAGCAATGTGAATGTTGACAATAGTCACACGTGTACAACAAGCAAGGGTCTTGGCTAATCAGAATCATCAAGAATCACTCAATCTGAATGATCTTGTATAGCAACTTCATGGTCTTCAGTTCACGTCATTATTGACCGACTGCAGGTCAAATACTCAAGAATCGAAGCTATTTCCTCCAATGTGAATCGATCATCAGACTCAAAAGGATCGAGGACTTGACGGAGCTTTCCAGCACTCGACTCTTCTGAGTGCCGTCTCACGCTCTCGAATCGCCTTTAAGGCTGCTGCTGGTATTTCGGAAATGGAATCAAAGACTCCTTCGGCCGATGCGGTCATCGTCTAGCTGCGAGTAGCTCAGCAGGAATGACGCTCTCATCAGTCTGCATCACCGCACACAACATGTGGCTAGTCGTTCAGACAGACGCTGTGAGCTCGCCCGCTCCTCCGCTCGAATGTCGTTAATCAAATTCATAACGGAACCATCTGAATTTGAATCACAAATCGCGAACAGGAGTCAGACTGGGCCGACGAGCAAGAGATCGACGACGGCCTTCGAATCGATGGCAAGGTCACACGAGCAGGTGCATCGACCCGCATGCGTGGTGCAGAGCTGTCCGCTCGGCCAGAGTCTGATGAGAGCTGTGCAGTGCCCCTTTGCGAACTATACGCGCAGGAACGTGGCTGATTGTGACGCATGGCAGGGTCCCTCATCGTGACTGAGGCGGTGCCAATTACAATCACGATGTGCGCGTGCTCTCGCTGTGCGCGCGCACGCACACCACAATTTGTTGCGTCATGGTGTTGCCGACAAGCGGGATGGGTGCATGGTGTGGAGCCGAAGCAGAAATGGAGCCAGCCACGCTTTTCTTCACCTTTTGAGCCCCACGCTGTCTCTCGTCCACGGCTTGCTCTCCTTCCACCATACAAGACGTGTGAATGTCCTTTGACTTGAGTTACCACCTCGAACAGCAACCTTCACTACTCTGCATCTGCTCCCACAGTCTCAGCAGCAACCATGGCGTGGAACGATTCTCGTAAGTGGAGAGGGTTTTGCTGAGCATATGCGCTACGAGCTTGCAGACACTGACCTTTTCGCTCTCTCTCGATCCCCTTTTCACCAGTCGCTCAAAAACTGATCAACATTGCTGCCTTTGTCCTCTTCACCGGAGGCAACAGCTACGGCAGTGAGTCAAGCAGCGCCGCTTTCTCCTTCGCGTGCGTTCGAAGCTTCTGCTGAAGACCCACACCCCTGTCCCCTCCCTCCCTTGCCAGGCGTCGCACCCGGCTCGAGGTGGGGCGCTGGCGCGCACCCATCCTATCTGACTCCTGAGCCCTGGATCTTTGGCACCTGGGCCATCATTCACATTCTCCTGATCGGTGCGTTGGGAGCTTCGTTGCGAACTCGACAGTCTGAATAGCCCAGCAGATCTAATCCGAACGTCGGCATCCACCCTAATCTCAAACAGGGCTGCTGGTCGTTCAATTCACCGATGTTGGTCACGCACCGGTCATTGGCGGACTCGGCTGGCGCTTCCCTCTTCTCTGCGTGCTCAATGCCCTCTACGCCGGCTTGAGCTCTGCTCACTCCAGTGGTCACGGCAGCGTATCTGACTTCGTCTGGAGCTTGCTTGCCTTCATTGTGATGGTGTGTACCAGCTTCTTGTCTGTTACACCTTGTCGAGGCCCTCCCCCTGTCGCTCATATTGGATCGCTTGCAAACACTGCATCCCAACAGATCTTCGTTGCTGGCTCTGTCAGTCACATCTACCGCACCATCAAAGTCCACTACCCAGCGAAGACCCGTGAGTAGTCAGTGGAGGAAAGCGTTTCCAAAATTTGCAACAGGAGTTTGCTGACGTATCTTTGTCTTGATGTATCAGTGCTTGAGGTGGTCTTCATCCATGCTCCTTTTTCTCTCTGGCACGGATTTTCGGTGGTGCTCCTGTTCCTCTCTGGCTTCTCCGCCTTTGGCGTCGATGCAAGCCACCACAAGGCCGGAATTGCCACCGACATTCTGGTCTTTGCCGCGCTGCTTCTGCTCGAGGCCACCGCTGCAGGATACGCGCTGCATGCCAATGGTGACCTCGTCGGCGCTGCTGTCATCTCCGCAGCTCTGCTCGCCATCTTCCAGCACCAGACCATTTCGCACGCCAACAAGGTGAGCGATACAGTCACGAGACACGTGCAATTGTGACTTCTCGCTCACACAAACACTGTACGACGGATCTGCACTTTGCAGTTCATTCACTACAGCGCGCTTGTTTTCTTCATCATCAGCTTGGTTGCTGTTGTGAGAGCTGCTATCGCTGCCATCCAAGGTCGCAGCGCTGCCGGTGCTTCCGAGCGCACTCCTCTAGTCGCTTGAGAGACGAAGGACCCGGTTTGGAAGAGTCTGCTCATCGAGCTCACTCAAACAAGGGCCATGCAGCTATAGACATCCGCCGATGCCGCAGCGTCCTCATCGCACGTGCACACATCCGCTGTCAACTCCTTGATGTGCTACGTAGGCAAAGGGGTCTGTCCAATGTTCGCAACGCTTGCTTACCTTAACCCTGATTTGCTTTGCGCAACACCATAATGCTATCTTTCCTTAGCACGATGACGAGCCGCCCTCGTCTTGTGCACCAGGACAGGCTTAAGAGCCATGCTGTCACTTTGGTTGAGCAGTCACGAGTTGTGGGCCAAGCATGGACTGACCCAGCCCGCCTGAGGAGCTTGTCCATGTCTGCCTTCATCAGCCTTCTCGATCCGCTTTTGCCCCTCGAGGCTACGACTGAAAGAGTCGAAGGTTGTGGATGCCGCGCGTGGCGCGAACAATCTCCATGGGTAGCAAGACACGGTGCTGTTGCGTTGCTTCGCGATTGGCATTCTTGATTGTGTGAATGCACGTGCGCACGCGGGAGCGGGCCCGCAACGCGTCTGATGAGGACGTTACGCGACGCGACGCGTGCTCGCTCGATCTCGACTTGCTTGCTCGCTTGCCCCTTGCGCCGGTCATTCACGGTGTCGACCGTTGTCCGCGCCTACGCTCAACACCCACGACCGCTGCTCCATCCCACGACCTCACTCCGACCCATGACGATCGTGGCAAGCAAATGTCTCGCGATGACTCGACTACATGATTCTCGAGGTCGTTCGAAAATTCGCCACTCCATTCAGTTGCAACTGTCGACTCTATAACTTCGCTGTTTGTTGAAATGACGCTTGCTGGAATGTGGAGGTGAGAAGCGCAACGAGAGGCAAGGCTCCATGTGTCCGCAACGAGGCCATCTGTCCATCGACGTGGTTATGGGAACGGCGTCTCCCCTTTCGTCGCTATACAGGGCTTTGCCCGGCTTGCACGCGCAGTGGATGTGATTGCCATGAAATCTGACCTTCCGAACGCACAGCTTCAACGAACGAGAATTTCTGCGACTGACTACGCAAACGATCCGTGTACTTGTAAGCTTAGCCAGCAAAAGCCTATGTGACCCCCTACATGCACGAACTCAGGAGAGTGTGTGTCTGTCTAGAGTTCGCCGCGACCAGGGGCGATGCTCGCTTCCTCGATTGTGGGCCGGCAAAGCCTCACCTTGCCACATTCAGATTGTAGCAGCCTCAAATTCCCATCCCCTCTCCGCCCCTCACGTGTCCGAACAAATCGTCGTGAATGTGGTGGGAGTCAAGGGGGCTTCTGTTAGAAAGCGCGGAATTACTGAGCCCTGACCAGCACGCAGCAGACAGACTCTTCACGCCTATATACAAGATTCATTAAAATCACAAACGGGTGCGGTAGACTCCTGCGGACCCTTGGGTCTCGGCATGACGACTTCGCAAGCAAAGGGCCCGGATTCTGCGGCATTGAGCAGTGAGCACTGATGTGCATTCTTGAATGAAAAGCACCATTCGAGAATCGAGAAGCGGGCCGCTTTGCGTGGATGCACTTCGGACTATCATTAGGACATTGGCCCTCTCTCCGCTTGATTTACGCCGGTCCAGACGGTGAAGTGAAGAGATTTGGCTTGTGAGACTCACGACTGACTGATGTATACGTGTGACATGTGATAAGGGAAATGATCGCTGCTGAAATTTGCCAAGGCCCAAGCTACGACGGAAGCGCCACGCGATGGCCAAGGTATGCGGACACTGCGATCGAGATTTTGTGGACAAGCGAACGGCACACCACCAGCATCGCGAAACGCCGCAGATGTTGGTTTCTACAGCCATGCAGCAGCAGCAGAGCTTGAACGAGCGAGCCATCACGGCAAAAGCGGCCGGGAGCCATGTCCAACTCGGCCCGTGCTCGTCAAGTGTGCATACTCTTGACTCTGAAAATTTGGCAGATCAGCAGTGTGACCCATATACCGTTCGGCCTCTGGATCGTGGCTCATCCAGATGTTATTGTGACAATAACCACGGCTCGCCGGGCTGCAGGCACCAGTTTTAAATTTGCTGCTGATGATGGGTGCTGAGAGCGCGCGTGCAGCAGCAGCAAGAGCTAGGCAGCAGTCGCGGCCATCGAGACGCGCGGGGCTGCTCGACGCGACCATCGAGCACCGCGGCTGCACGTCGTGGAGGGGCCCTGCGACGATCTTGCCAGCTGGGCCGCCTGCGGAAGTGTAGACTGAGGAGCTTAGGTACTCGTGCATGACTGCTGCATGGCCTCGTGCATCTCTCATTCGTGATGATTATAGCTCGCCATGCAGAATATCAGTGTGCGAGGCACACTGGGCCCTTGTGGCGCCTGCCCCGGCGTCAGCTCACCGCTGCGCGTTGTGCTGAGCTGGGCTGCGATCGCCGAGACCTGGATTGACGTGCAGCTCCGGTTCAGCACCAAATTTGCCACCATGGGCGAGGCGGGCACTCACACGGTACCCTTCTCGCTATCCGACAAGCTCGTTGCTCTTGCGTGTGCTCCACCATCCCGAAATCGAACAAGGCGCCCATCCCTCGTTCGTTCCATCCCTCTTGAAGCAACACAGAGAAAGATCCAAATCTTCTCTTGCGGCACTACTCTGCCATCGATCAAGCGTACCTCCTTCTCCACCCGTAGCGCCGGCTTGACGTCGACGATCGGTTTGGCGAAACTCAACACATCGACCGTAGGCACTTGAGAACAAGCAGTGTCAGCGTTGTTGATAATATCACTTGACTCGATCGAATAAGTCGCACCACTCTGCGCGTCTGATCCATACTCTCACGAATCTTCGACCGTTTCAGATCGACATTCAAGTCGACTTAACGAGTCACCATCACGCTTCACTAACGGAAGTGATCAAGTGTCGTCCCATAGGCTACGACCACATCTACCCAACGGTTCTTCTCAACCACAGGGTCTTCTCGTCTCTCTTTACGTTTTCATCTGGATACTCGCACTGTTCTTGGTTCCCTCGCTCCGACTTCTCCTCAGCTATATCGGATTTCATATTCATACTCTCTCGGCCTCGACACAATGACTTCGCACACGACACCTTCTCTTGTCAAGGTAACAAAGGCCGCCGCCTCGTTTGGCACGCCCGTCTCTCCTCTTCGCGTTCTCATAGTTGACGACGACCATATCAATCTGTCGAGTGAGTAAGGGGCAAAGCTCATTTCGGCCGGCACAAATACTTATTTTCTTCGATCTTTCACAGTCTTGGGCACATTGCTCAAGCGTCGTTTCAGCGCTCTTCTTGATGGAGTGCCCATCGCAGTGGATGGAGGTCTCAAAGCCATCCAAGCTTTGCGTCAAGATGTCTTCGACATTGTTCTGTTGGATGTACAAATGCCAGGCATCGATGGTGTCGAAGTCTGCAAACGCATCCGCAACGGCTCAGATGGCATACTTGCCGCCAACCAGACCGCACATGTGTTCGCCACGACCACAGCTCTCGGCGCAGTTGCCGAAGTGGTCTACGAACGATGTGGCATGACCGGAACACTGCCTAAACCAGTACGCCCTGCCAACCTAGCGTCGATCCTGCTGCCGCTTTCCAAAGCATCATCACCATCGTCGACATTAGTGTCGGTCCCCGATGGCGCCTTTGTTCGATCGACTGTTGGTGGACGCCACGATCCATTGCCCTCGAGCCGAGCCGACAACGATGCGCCACCTTCTGAGGCTCAGATACAGAAGTTCGCCGACGATCTTCGCGAACAGACCAAAGCTTCACTTCGCTCCGTTCGAGCCATGTCGGTCGCTCGCAGCGGAACAATCTCTCACAGTGGGCGCCTCCGGACTGAACGGTGCGCTGATTCGCGCAGCGGCAGCAACGCAAGCAGCGACGAACATCTACCGTTGACGGGCTCTGCAGATGGACGTCGAGTCACCATCAGTGCGCGTGCACTCTGTGCTCAGATGGCGGAAGAGATTGCAAGGCTCGATATGGTTCAGCTCCCGCTAGACTCTGACAATGCGCCCGGTAGTGACTCTACGACAACCGACCACACACGTGATAGCGCACTCGGCCTTTTGCCCCCTCCACGGTTGCGCACATCACCGGCCACCGGCGCAAGCACGCCCGTTCGCCCGAAAGCTCTGCATCGCATCAGCGCTCCGGCATTCTTGGCCAATTCGAGTCCGGAGGCTCGTCAGCAGTCTGCGCTGGCCCGCAAAATGCCACTATCAGTTCAGGCCGACGCGGCCGGTGAATATACATCGCGTCAGCTCACGTTGTCGCCTACCGAGCAGTCCGCTGTCGGTGCTTTGCGCCCTCCGTACGGGAGAAGACCAGGCCCTCGTCCCGCACAACCTCCTCCTCGAGCCGGCCACGATCCGGATACCGGCCAAAGCGCAAGCGATGAGACGCCCGAAATCAGTTCTTCGGAATTGTCGTCGACCACTGGCTCGTCGATGTCGTCCGACTTCTCCACCTTGTCCCTCGGCAAGGCATCTCGCCGACCAAGCGCCGTCAGTGACACGACTGAAAGCGACGAGAGCGACCTGGACAGTCCATCGACCAGCGAGGATCAACGATTCAATTTATTGCCGGATCTTCATTCTTGGAAAGGCTCGGCAAAGGTCGCTGATGATGAAAAGTCAGCCGTCAAATTTTCCCTCGCACCACGCCACCTTGCGTGAAGCGACTTCAGGGGTTCTATTCTCCATCGTTTCTTGTCTAATCATCAACGGGAAATTATTTTAAAGTCACGCAAGCTACTCACATACACGTAAACAGCATCGCATGGCATCCTAGCTCCATTCTTGATTACCCTGGCTTCTTGTTCATCGTCGCTCCAGTGACATACCTCACTGCGACGATCCTGGTCACTCGCGCTCGGCCCCCACACGCACGCAATATGCATGACTACCTCGCCGCTCTTCTTTCTGGAATTAAACAATGCGGATGGCTTTGAACCCGTATATCTAGTGTTCGCGCGTTCAGTTGTGCATCGCCTTCGCTAGGAGCGGTAACAGGCATTCTACTGAACATCACATGGGTGTCCGCAAAGGGATGTGATCTGACAGGCATAGCCCCGTTTGCGCTGACTTTCCACCCACTTGATGGCATTTCATTCAAAGGTGACGAGTCGTCTTGCCCTGCCCATTCAACTACACATTTGCAGGCACACTCATTTTCTCATTACTTTATGAATCCGCCTCAAGCGCTTTCGGGTACGACTTCCTTCCAGGAGACGACCTAGGTACGAAGAGGGCACAAACACGTCTTGGCTGATTCAGCAAGGTGTGCCGCAAGCCAGCTGATAAGACGGGGCGCACTCACCTCGCTAGGCACCTTTCCTTCCTCCCAATGACGCAAGCAGCCCAGTGGCATGCGATGTTGCAAGGTCTGAGCGAAGAGTAGCGCAACTCGAGCTTCATTGAACATGGGCAGCCTGACAGTGCAAAAGTCGTATGAGCTGTCAACACACCAGAGTCGCGCATGCCGCGCTGAAATGTTTGTCGCAGGGGCAAGACATCCACTCACCCAAAGTCTACGGCATTGCGACGCGCAACGTAGTCCGCATCCAAAGTGTCTTTACCGCGGTAGCGAGCAAGCTGCGAGGGACGCGAGCCATAAAGTCAGTCTTGGTAGTATACTCTGATTGCACGCCTGACGCACATTGACCACAATGTTGATGTCGTACTCGTCGAACACCTCCTTCAACTTTCTCTTGTCCTTCAAAGGGAACCAGATGCGCTGAGGGGAAGAGTCGCAAGACTTGAGGCATTAGAAAAGATCGCTGCAAGCCCGACGAGGTATGAAGACGTACCTTGCAAGAAACGTGAGGCAGACTGTTCAGGTATTCTTCCACCTCTTGAGATTGGCAGTACAGCTTGAAGCCCAAGTCGTAGTAAATTTTGGCAATTTGAGCAAATTCTGGCTTTGTCACGTCACCTCCAAGCAGAACACCGGTGTTGGGCTGGGGAACGCGGAAGTTGGTTTGAGATGCGGTCGCAGCCCAGAAAGCCTCGTAGAGGTCTTTCCCAAAAGATGCGACCTCGCTGTGCATGCCACGGCTGTCATGGTCAGCCATCGCAAGAACCAGCTAGGCGTCTGACGCATACGCACCCAGTCGAGCCCATCTCCACGCCCAAGAAAGGATCTGCGCCGGCTAGACGGGTCCAGGAGAATTGCGGCACCTTGATGGCGACGTAGTCTCTCTGCTTCTCCATCAAGTCCATCGGTTTGGGCACGTCCTGTCCGACGATTGCTTGCGCAGCAATGTCGATGAAACTACGAAGCCCAAGTGAATTGCTCATCAGCTGGATGCGTCAGATTAGCGCTGGGTATTCGCGATGCTACTCACTTTACACCCAACACCTTGCTGACGAATGGGAATGAACGACTTGCACGAACGTTGCACTCGATGACCTTCAGTGCAGCCTCGGTCTCGCCCTTGCTTTCGTCTGCAGGCTTGCGGATGATTTGCATGTTGAAGGGTCCGCTGATCTGGAAAGCGTGCGCCATTTTCTGAGCAATCGTCTTTAATCGAGCCAAATCATTCGAGTCGAGGGAGAAGGGGGGCAGGACCAAGGTAGCATCACCAGAGTGCACACCGGCATTCTCGACGTGCTCCGAGACAGCGTGAACGATGAGCTCGCCCTTGTGAGCGACAGCGTCAATGTCAATTTCTTGTGCGTTATCGATGAACTGCGATTGTTAAAGATTGAACGTCAGCATCGTCATCGCGTATCTAGATGCACCCACAAGACGCACTTTTGTCAGGACGACTGGATATTCGGTGTTGACTTCTGCAGCTGCCGTCAGATGGTGCTGCAGGGTGCTTTCGTCCCAGATGACGTTCATCGCCGCTCCAGACAAGACATACGATGGACGGACGAGAACGGGATATGTGACCCTGGCAGCGAACTCCTTAGCAACATCGACGGAAGTCGCCTCGATCCATTCTGGCTGATCCACACCAACATCGTCCAAGATCTGGCTGAACTTGTGTCTGTCCTCTGCGCTATCGATGCGCACTGGATCTGTGCCCAGGACGTTGCAACCTCCAGTCTCTTTCAAGCGCAGAGCGATGTTCTGCGGCAGCTGACCTCCGACGGAGACGACCACTCCGCTGGACCCTTCAAGTTCGTAGATGTCCATCACACGCTCGAAGCCAAGCTCTTCGAAATACAGACGATCAGCCTCATCAAAGTCCGTGCTGACCGTCTCGGGATTGTAGTTGATCATGATCGTCTTGTGACCCATTCCCCGAATTTGACGCGCGCAAGTGACTGCGCACCAGTCGAATTCGACGGAAGAGCCGATGCGGTAGACACCGCTTCCGAGGACCATTGTGCCGTGGTCGTCAAATTCGACGTCATGAGTGGTCGCATTATAGGTGGTATAGAGGTAGTTGGTCATCGCAGGATACTCGGCTGCCACAGTGTCAATGCGCTTGACGAAGGGCGTTATGCCGAGCGATTTGCGGTGTTTGCGGACCTGATCTTCCTTCGTGCCGGTCAGCTGTGCGATTTGGCGATCAGAGAATCCGCGCTGCTTGCAAAGCTTCATCAAGTCCTTGTCGACAGCGGAGACACTGCCCAACTCCTTCAGCTTGCGATGCAGTTGGACAATGTTGTCAAGTTTGTACAGGAAGAAGCGATCAATCTTTGTCAGACTGTGCAGCTTCTCGACGTCATAACCGCAGTTCAGCATGGCGTGCGCAATAGCGAAAAGCCGGGTGTCTGTTGGGACGGAGAGCGCATGATCAAGATCATCCGGCTTGATGTAGGCATCAAAGCCATCGTAATTCGGCGCGACCTGTCGAATGGCTTTCTGCAAGGATTCCTCAAAGGTTCTTCCGATCGCCATGACCTCACCAACAGATTTCATGCTGGATCCGACCTCCCGGTTGACGTGCTGGAACTTTGACAGATCCCATTTAGGAATCTTTGTCACGATGTAGTCCAACGAAGGCTCAAAGCAGGCGGTCGTCGTCTTTGTGACAGCGTTGGGCAGCTCGGGAAGAGTGTGACCGAGCGCGAGCTTAGCTGCAGTGTACGCAAGAGGGTATCCTGTTGCTTTGGAAGCAAGTGCACTGAGGGGCAGTCACATGTGGCGTGTCAGCAGAGCCGAACACATCTCGCCCGGCCTCTTCATCTGCAGCTCACCTTGAACGACTCAGACGAGGGTTGACTTCGATCACGCGGTAGTCTCTAGAGTTAGGGTCAAGGGCATACTGAATGTTGCATTCGCCTGTGATTACGTTTCCTGAGCGTCAGGACAACTTCTTGTTGCGCAGCATACAGGAATCATCTATGCCACGAGCAAAGCACTCACCGACAATGCCAAGATGCCTGATCACCTTTAATGCAGCTGATCGGAGCATGTGGTAGTTGTCGTCTGACAATGTTTGAGAAGGCGCAACGACAATCGAATCACCAGTGTGGATGCCGAGCGGATCAAAGTTCTCCATGTTGCCTGTGCAGATCGCAATGCATCCATTCAGCCACGTTCCGAGCACCTAGGGCGACGAATGAAGGCATACTCACAGCATATGATGGCATTCTGGCAGGGGCAGAAACGAGAAATAGCCAGAGTGACGCGACGGATCTTGTCAGAAGCCAGACGGATGTCGACTGCACGCAGTCTGAACTCACGTCCTCCTGATCCCTCAGAACTTCGTATTCGCTCTCCTTCCAGCCTTTCAAGCTCTTCTCTACCAGAATTTGCGGGCTCAAGCTGAGCGATCGAGCGCACAAGTCCCGAAGCTCGTCCTCGTTGTCCGCGAAGCCTGATCCAAGACCTCCCAGTGCGTACGCAGCACGGACAATAACGGGATAGCCAATCTTCTCAGCAGCCTTGAGGGCGGCTGGCACAGAAGAGACAGCCTCTGACTTGGCCACGGGGATATTGATCTCTGCACGAGAAAAGGTGAGGCAAGCCAACGATCAGCGCCATGCCTTCGACTGTGCGACGCCGCTCTCATGACTCACGATCAAGAGCTTGCACGAAAAGATCTCTGTCCTCGCACATGCGCAGAACGTCGACCTGAGAGCCAAGCACCTTTACGCCCAGCCGCTCAAAGACACCCATCTCATCCAGCTTGACACCGACATTGAGGGCACTCTGACCTCCGAAAGTAAGCAGCACACCATCCGGTCTTTCCTTTTCCAGCACATAAGCGACATAGTCTGGTGAAATGGGCAGGAAGTAGACTTGAGATGCGTGCGTGTGACTAGTTTGGATCGTTGCAATGTTGGGGTTGATGAGGATCGTCTCGATGCCAGATTCGCGCAAAGCTTTGATAGCCTGAGATCCCGAGTAGTCGAATTCTCCGGCTTGACCGATACTGAGACCCCCCGATCCGACCAGCAGCACCTTCTTCACATCGCTTCTCTCCACCTTGGGTAGGTAGCTGGTCCAGCGCTGCAAGCCAGTTGCGATGGGTTGCATCTCTTCCGCATGATGGGCCGCTTTGGGAGCTGTTGCAGCGGGCGAGAAGCGATTCGAGGAAGAGTGAAGTGATCTGTGTGCAGCGAAGCCAGAGACTCGCATCACCGACGCGCGGCTGGAAGCGACTCTGGCAACATTGCCGACTGTGAAAGATCTGCTAACGTCGCGCTGACTGGCAGCGAGACGCTGCAGCGGCCGGTACATGCTGATGTACTACGGCCTGCTTACTTCAAGCTGAGGAAGCAGCGCCTTTTCGAGCAGTGTCAAAGCTATACAAGCAGAGCAGCAAAATGTCCGCTGCGCTTCGCGTCCTTCTCAAGATTTGGGTACTGGCGAGCGCTGATGATGGGCGGGATTTGTGATCAGGTCACGCTCCTGGGGGAAAAGAGGCAGGGCGAATGAAGGGAGCTAGCTGATCACCAACACAAGAGTCTCGAGAGCTCTCGTGATGTTGAATGCGGGTGCTCGCTAGAAGCCGAATGTTTGGGGATATATGTGAGACGAGGAGATTGACGGTGGAGAGAGCTAGACGACCCATGCAGCCTATAGCTATCTAGCTGGAACAGCTCGCAGCTCAATTTCTTCTCGTGCGGGCGCTTAATCGTCCCCCTTCTTGGCCTTGTCCGATAAGCCACGCAGCAGCAGCAGCAGCTTGCTGCACCAGAAAAAAAAAAAACGCGTCTGCGCGTGACTCGGCTGCGAGTGGAAGTCGATCGTGAGTCGTGAGTCTGTTTCAGTGCATCGCCGTGCATGCCTGCAGGCATGCGTGCATGCGTGGGTCGAACGCGTTCAGGCCGGGGAGTTCTGCTTCACTTCGTCCTGCTGAAGAAAAGCCATGCTATGCTATCAATCTTAATTCTTGATGCAGTGCGAATCATTTGATTCACGATTGTGCGATTTCATTCACATTCACGAACTTCTTGATTTCAGATGAGTGTCTTCTTTGATGGACATTTGATTGGATCTTCACGCTCTGGACCTTGTCCTTCAGAAATTCCAGCTGGACATGGTATGCTTGCTTGGGTTTGGAGAGTCTGTCAAACACGCAGAGCGTGACTCTCGACTCGATAAGGCACGGGCAAAGAAGGCTGGCTTTCCATCAATTTGAATCACGATTCAACTCAAATCGAGAGCGCACACATCGGGCGCGCATGCAGGCGATCGTGATCACGTGCAGCTTCCGAAGATCTTGGAGATCGAAGCTATATAGGCGCGTTGCATGGCCGACTTGTCCGAAGGCTCGGGCACGCAGAGAGTGCCGCCGACTAGGCGGGTGCGTCACATCCCCTACCAAGCCACTCCGCCAATAACGCTTTCATTCAATGATTGCGCAGGGCAGTGGGCTCTGCAACCCCACTTTGGCCGATCCGAACGCCTCTTGTCTCACCTCCCACCTGGCGAAACCATCCAGCTGGTGAAACAGCATCGAGAATACGTTGATATTAGATTTGTATGCGAGATACACGAAATAAGCACCAGCACCGCTCTCGCTTTCGTCTGCTGCCGCACAGCCGCAATCATCGGAGTCCTCGACAACACCATGGCGATGCGATTCTCTCCACAAGATTCTGCAGCTCGTGTTCTGATTCTCCTGTCTTCTACGAGCTGTTGTCGTGATCGCGAACATTGAATTCACCCGCTTTCGCTGCCTCGATGTACCCCTTGACTTTCTGTTGTCCAAAAAAGGTGTTGCGCGCCCGTCAGCGCAGAGGTAGGTTACTCGATCAGTACGTCGCCTACTCACCTCGTAGATCGTGAAGACGACGGCTTGGCCTGAATAGCACGGGTAAGTGAGGGTCAGCTTTGGACAGCGTGCAGAGCATTCCTAGCAGAGCACGACGGCCACTCACCTGGCGCGACACGAGCAACGCGAGGCGTGATACCTTTCCAAAAGGCGGCAGGTCCTTCTTGCTTGAACATCTCTCCAGCAACCTTGACCACTCGACTGATTGCAGTCTCTCCTTCTACACGAGAAGCACGCTGAATACGTGTCTTGATGGTATCGATGCTGCGAGCCAAGAACATAGCAGCTAGTCAGCGAGTGAGGCTTGACACTGCAGTGCGCCTTCATTCGACTCACGGGGCGTTGGAGACTAGGGGCGGGATCGATTGCCCAAGTCGCCCAATTGTCAGCCAGCAATCGCTGCCACACACACCGGTAGCCGCCCAGTGCGGACTCACATGGACCGAGGGCTCCGGAGATAAGTCCGATCGTACCAGTCTGAATGCTAGGGAGTTCGTCGACACCCTGCACTCTCTGGGCCAGAGCTTTCAGCTCCTGGTAAGCAGTGAAGTTTGCAGCTGTGGTATGTGCCTGATATGAGCTCGACGTGCCTGCTGACTCTGCGTACCTTTCTCTGACCCACCTTGGTTGGTAGCTTGACGAGCAGCAGTGAGAGCGACTCCGCGGTACAGAGTTGTGATGCCTTCTTCTCGCACAATGGTGTACAAAGCATGGGCCGCATTTCGGTATCGAGGAACCTCGAGAGGGTCGGCCAAAGAATGTTGCTGAGCTTGGAGACGAATCTTGACAACTTCCATCGGATTCACGACCACCACGGCTCTGGTGAAACAAGAGACGCGGCTTCTGGTCAGTCAAGTGGCCGAAAGCGGCGCCTGCGCAGCCGAGCCTGCTGCCTCGAGAATCTCATCACCCACTCTGTAGTTCCGGCTCCGAGACCAGCTGTAGATGCGTAAGTTTGGTGGGCGTCGAGCGTCAGCCAGGGAGAGATGGGGCAACTGCTGAACTCTGTGCTCAAGCTGTCGGCCATGGTGGCCGATGCTCCGACGAGCACGACAGTACACTACCATCCAAGAGCACCGGAGCTCCATCACTTACCCAAGAAGACGCCAGAAGGGCTAGTCTTGCCAGTCACACGATCCGCAAAGTAAGCTTTGTAGTACTCGAAGCTCATGAATCGAATGGCCATCTTGGGCACAATACCAGCGACGACAGCTCCAAGGCCTTTGTAAAGGCCAAGAGGCGTTTCCCTCTGCACGATATAAGCACCAGTAGCAATAAAACCTCGTGGCTTTTGACCAGAGATCTTGCCCCTGCGCGAGAGTTGCATGCGGACCTTGATCGTGTCGAGAGCTGAGTTGTGCGGCAAGCAAGGTAGCGTTCGCGATGAGTCCGAGCCCTTTGAGAGCTGCGATCGAGCGATCACTAGCGATCATACGACTCACGATGACATGTGCATGCTTCCGCAAAACCGGCAATCCCACCCGCAATCAAGTGCGTGGACGGAGCCACCTTGGGCTTGTTGTTGACCTCGCCTTTCTTAGACATTTTTCCCTTCCTCAAGAGGAGCGCAAGAAGCCGAAAGTAGTCTTGAATGCGAGCGCTGTGAACAGGAGTTCTGCTGAGCCGCTCTGGTATGAGGGCGAGAAAGGGCAGCTAGAGGTGGTAGGTGCGAGATGAGTGGGAGCTGCCGAGGCAACGGGTAAGCGCGACGAGGGGAAAGGTCGTTGGACGAGAATGACGTTGTTGTTGTTCAGAAGAAAGTGGAACTCGAGTAGCGGATGGGATGTGAGATGGAGCACGGCTAGCTGCTCATGCAAGAAGCAAGCGCGAACCCCTCGATCGCGTAGGCGGTACGCATGTACGGCAACAACCGGTAAGCGGATCACACTCGTGACTGCTGCTGGCGACGTGCAGGTCGGACGTTCCGGGGTGGAGCGGAGTGATCTTGTTAATTCACGTTCGTCTGATTGCTTGCCGGGCTCGACCCATGCACCAGGGCGAGGATGCCCTCGTGGCTCGAGCGTGAATGCGGCTGTCTGGCTGGGCTGTTCAGATCGAGGCTGCAGAAGTCGCTGCTGCTGTTGTGGACCCCGACTCGCGACCGCCGTTTACCGGTCAGTTTCTGAACGGGCACGATTTCACGCACGCACAGGGACCGGCGCGAATGCATGGGTGTGCCGTTTGCGGGTACTCAAGACTGTTGTGACCACCCACAGCTTGAACGGCGCGGCGGAGTCACGCGGCGAGCGTGCCAATTTCCCCACGCAAGCAAGGTGACGCCGCTGATGTGTGCTCGCTGCACGACGCGCGTCTCACGCGCAACACGGTACCAGCTTCGCGGGGACGCTCCGTGGATCTGTGTGGATATCGACCGGTGGAAAGACGTGCGTCCATCCAGCATCCACCATGCATGATGGCGGCCACAGTCACGACTCAAGAGTCTCTTCTCGTCTGCTTGCTGCTATTCAAGATTCTCTGCTGCATGGCAGGCAGGGTGCAGGCAACCAGTCCAAGGCAGACATCAATCCGTGCAGGGAATGTCTTGCTCTTCGCTGCAGGCCTGATGCAACGAAGAGCATATCTATGCTCACGACTGTTGTACGGCACACCGTTGTGTTCACAACGCGTGATCCTGCAAAGGCTTGATGTGACGCCGCGCGCTTGTGTGCCAAGAAGCTATCTGATTAAGACTTATTTTGACTCACGATTCACGTTCACATTCACATCCGTCAGTATTCTCCCGATAGTCCTACTGCTGATCTAGTCACGAGTACGTGCACAAGACTAGTCTTCTGATTGCGAGCGCCTTGCGAGGGCTGCTCACGAGCAGACCTCCTGACCTCCTTCTCTGTATGTGCCCACACGCCTGTATAGAATTCAATCATAGTCGTGAGTCTGGATCAGTCCCGCTGCAACGGCCTCATAGTCGCTCGACCCGGTCCAGAAGCTTGTATATTCGGTATGGTCAAGACTCAAATACAGCCGCTCAGTCGTCTAGCCACGCACAATTACAACGATCATAGCATGTGTGTATTGAGGACGATCATCACAGTTCCGAGTCGGAGTGCTCAGATGTCCATGACGAGCAATTCAACGTCGGTGCGTACGTGCAACAATTCTTACTGCCAGCCCTAGCCAATTTTGAGTTGCTGCTAAACCTTGCGCGGCCGCTACATGAGCTGGAATCGTGAATTGTAGTCAAGAGTCAAAGGGCGAGCGGCGTTGACGGGCTTCGGTCGGGCCAAGCACACAATGCCGGCCCGGTGCGGCAGGTAGGCGGGGCGCGGGCCCAAGAAAGATTCTCGATCATTCACTCAGAAGAGTCACGTGAGTAAGCAATCGGGCGCGCCAGTTTTGAGTCATGAGTCGTTGTTTGGCGCGTCGCGTGCATCACCATCACACGCTGCTGGGCTCGTGACTTGCACCTCAAGTCTTGTTCGGACGCAGACAAGCCCTCACACCGTTTACCCTTCGCGACGATGCCTCCGATCTGCCACTTTTCCAAGTCATCAGTCGACAGGTCTCGAGTGAGATGCTGCAGACTGCCTGTACCGAAGCATGGATGGTAAACAATCATGCTGGGGCCCTTCGCACAAGCAGGCCATTGTGTACAGCAAGTTCCAACATCTGGTGTGCCCGTGCAGACCAACCGTCGGGCCGTTGAACGACGCGCTCGCATACACTCTACCAAGTGGGATCAGACGGTGCTAATTCTCGCTGCTCTATTCACTTCTCCCGCAGTCGCTGCTGTGGACAGCTTCCAAGATGAGCTGATCAAGGCAGCGCGCAACGTATGACGACCAGATGTCTCAGGCATGTGGCCAAGCATGACGTCCTTCAACGGGCTCCAACGCGGCATCTTCCAATCTGCTCCCGACGCGGGCCTCGTGACTGGTCAGCTCTATCTTCGTCTCCCGCACTGCACGCTCAGTCTCAATTCATCTACCGAAAGCTCAACTGAAGCGGGCCTCTGTCGAAATAGGCAGTCGCCGAGAGTCGACTCGCCTTGCAGGCCTCTTTTAGCCTCGAAAGTAGTCACGGCAGCACGACGCGGGGGCCGATCGCTCAACATGCGATGGAGTGATGCCACAAAGGCACGTGTGAGCACTGAAACAAGCATTTGCACCCGAAGGCATTTCGTCACTCTGAGCTACTTGTCTTGGAGCGCTAGCAGGCAAGCGTACCAAACTAAGCGTCGAAGGCAGGTTTTCACTGCCGCATCCGAGCTGAATTAGGAATATGCTTCCGCTTGGCTCCGTCTCTTAAGACAAAGAGGCAACTCTTTGCACTTTGAAGCCTCTACCACCGATTGTCCTGTGCTTCTTACCCACCTTTCACTTCTTCATCTGTGCTTTGGGTGCGTTTGCAACTCACACATCTTTCTACTACTTAAGCTCCCTTCTCTTCTCCTTCTTGCAAGCGCCCAGAACCACCTACCGGTCTGTCAGCTACTGCCAAAGCATCGACTGGTTCGACTGCGACTTGGTTCTCAACTCAATTTCGATCGAACTGCCTGGCCTAGTGTGAGTAGGTTCTGCAACACACCATCAACGCTGCTAGACCCAAATCGCTCATGCTGCCGTCGCCTATCCGCATAGCAGCTTCGCTTGCCTTGCTTCGATCCTGCTCCCTCTCCACGTCTTTGATCTTCTCGACGATCGTTCAAACACCATGTACGCCGGTGTTCCTGCTTCCCTTCGCGCAGGTGGCGTTCCACCACGCTCCAGCTCTCAATTGACCAACAAACGGGAAGCTACGATAGCTGTCCTATCGTCTGCGGCCAGCACACGACCTGGCGTTGGATCATCAGCTCTCCGGGTCACAGTTGCCCCACTACTCAAGCCGGCGGTGCAATCCTGTTTGAAGAATGGCTATCGTCTCTCCCTACCACTCGGCCCCGGTTCGCTGCCTTATCCAAGCCCAAGCATCCTCTTTCCCTCGCCCGCTGCGGTACACGTGACGTCTGGATCAGCTGTGCCTATGCAGAACTTGGACGAGCTTAGCCGCACTTTCCAAGCCTTCGACGATGGTCGCCGAGCGTCAGATCCGGACGTGATGTCCCAGTTTGAGGAGGCCTTGTTCGAGTGGGTGGAGCGCGAATGCCAGCAGGACACATCCGATCTGTCTTCCGCAGGCGTTTTTGGGGTACCTCGCTACTCTGAGGCGGGCTTCGAATCCGAGCGTTTGATGAGCCCAGGAGAGGTTTCGGGATACGGAGCGGACGTTGAGGATTCGCCTCACATTCAGGGCGACCAGTACAAGCGAGGCTCAAGGATACACAATCGAGTGATCAGCATCGAAAAGGTCCACGCGCGTGCTCGAGCCATCCGTCAAGCAGCCAGCGCGCGCCACACAAGTGTGCCGTCCGCAGGTGTGCAGAGCGAGCGCTCCGAGTCCACATCACAAGCTCGCTATGGAGGGTCGCATTACGCACAAACAAGTTGGAAAGAGCCACGATTCAGCCTGAAGGCAGAAGTCATCCCCCACACGAACAGTGCATCTCCTCATCAAGCGACCCAATCTCGCAAGTCCGGAGGGATAGGATTCAACCAGGATCTCGCGCACCCGCGTCGCTCCGACGCAGCGTCATCGTCTCCATCCGTGCCGCAGGTCGCATTGCCCAACGAATCTCCCCGAGCTCAGCAGCATTGCAGAATATCTGTGCGCGGTCCACCAACGCCTTACCTGATGGCCTCGCCCCACACGACTCGCCAGCGCGTACAAAGGCTGCGCGAGTCGGAGGAGAGCATTCCCATCGACATGATCAGCGACCATCAAGAGGAGGACACTTCGGGCTCAACTCCAACCACAGCCGACGAAGCTGTGGACCCATTCGCAGCTTTGAACCCTTTTGGCCCCAAGCCCGCAAACGAGCCAACCATTCCGAGTGGTCCAGTTTGCCCCAGAATTGCAATACCAGTGGATCGTAGCAAATCTTCCGAAGGTGTTACGCGGCTCCAAGCACGCAGGCCTCCTGGCTTGCAGCTGTCCAAGCTTCCGCCGTCAGGTGCGTGGGCGGCGGCCGAGATCCGAGCGCATGGCGCAGGCCTGGCGGGGCGAAACATGGCCGCTCCTGCCGTCTTCGACCCTCGCATTCACGGCCAGAAGAATTGGAGAACTCCAGATATGGCTGAACCTCCCACGACTGCGCCAGCCGGCACTGTCACGTTCAAGGAGGCGCAAGAACAGGCAGAGAAGCACGTTAAAGAGAGCACTCAGTCGAGCCGCGCACGCTCAAAGACGGTCTCAGATGGTCTCCAATCGTCAAAGAACCGATTGATCGGTCTGATCAACTCACCCCGCCGAGCCACACGTCCGCTGCCACCGCTACCTGCCCAGCGTGCAGTGCCGGATTTGATGTTGCCCATCACGCCACCTCTAGGCACGAACAAGCATGCAAGCAGGACATCGGGCGACAGTGGGGCATACTTGAGGAAGTCGTCGAATCGTGCGGGGCTTGGACTTTCTTTTGGCACCGAGGATGGAGCCGTCCTCGAATCTGACGTTGCTACTAGCGCCAAGAAGTCGCCGATCGCTGATAACTTGCCGCGCCCTCTGCCACACCGAGACGTCAATGCACCAGAGCACGCTTTCAGCGACGTCAAAGCAAGGGACACTTCGCGAGAAGCAGCAGTAGTCGCAAAGATGCGGAAGCATCGAAGCCTGCCTTCCAAGGTCGAGAGCCTCCTTGCTGAAATCGCGAAGCCGTTCGACGCTGGTGCACGCCGCAGACGCAAGATGGAGTTCGCCACTGCCAACGAAATGCTCGAAAAGGCCGCGCCTACTCCCTGCGAGGAGAGAGATCTGCTCCCTCCGACCGCCCGCGACGCTATGGCGGCTTGGGCCAAACGCACTTTCGAGCTGACGGCTGCAAAGAAGTCTGCGGGCAAGGTGGATGTGCCGCCCTCTGCCTACCTAGAGAGCGCGCCTACAATGCCAACTATGGCAGCAGAAACCGCCGATGAGGTAGCAGAGCCACGTGAAGCCCATATTGTCGAGCAGCCTGTAGATGTTGCAGAGGCGGAACAAGGGCCCTTCGTTCCTTCGAAGGTGGAAGAGCCTGCGCTTCAGCAATCTGTCTTGACGAGGGAACGCGTCGCAGAGTTGTCTCCAGCACTCTCTGTTAGGGGAGTGTTCAGGAAGGAGAATAGCGACCTGCTTGTAGCGCTACCTAGCTCAGCTATCAGCATGACTTCTGCCGGCTCGCTAGGTGCAGGCGAAGGTGATGGACTGCTGCCTCCCGGCTCGCCCGATACGGCAGTTGCGACTGCACTCAGAGCGCGCCGCGATGCTCAAGGGCTGGGCTTGTCTCCGGCGATTCGGGACGCTGCTCTCAAATCGCATGCCTCCGGCAACACGAAGCATCACCGTTCCGTCTCGCGAGCCCCGTGCGATCCGCCATCTCCTCGACGAATCGCTTTCGGCATCCTAGCCAGTCAGCGCTTGCCTGAACCTTCACCCCGACGGGTAGTCTCTTGCGCCCCCGGTGCTCGTCCATGTGGCCCTCGCAGACGACCAAGCAGTCCCAGCCGTCGCGTCATGTCAGCCGCACATCCCAACTCAAGTTGGATGGGACGTGGCATGAGCCGAGACAGTGCACTGTCGACTTCACCTCTTATTCGCCAGACAAGCGAGTGCTCTTTCGGTCCCATGCAAGAAGGCGAGCTGTCTGCTGAAGAAGTGGAAGCCACGTCGCCGAACTTGAATAAGACTCAGGAAACGCCCTTGCTCATTCAGATGTCCTCCCCGCTGCTCAACCCGGCCCCTGCATCCGAACGGCCAGATATCGCCACTAGTCCTCTTCTCGCCGGCACCCGCTCGCCATTGAGTAAGATATGCGACCAGGCGCAAGACCTCATTCGCTTATCTTCGACCTCATCGGCCGTTTCTCCGCCACCGCTGGTCGGTGGCTCCGCACAGAAGCGTCGCGTCGAGCGACCTGGAACGCCATTGGAGTCGGGCCTGTCCCCTCGGCTTCGCTTGTTCTCTCCAGACTTGCCATCGAGCAACCTGCCGCTCTCCGCAGCCCTGCTCCCGAGCGCCAGCAACGGCTCGGCTCGCGCGCGCGTAGCAGCAGGTAATAGTGTCCTAGACACGCGTCGGGATGTCAAGGTGCTTTCGGAGGCGGATCTGAGCGAGGATCACACGCCGCCGTCTCTTCCAGCTCCTCCTCAACCTGTCTCTGCTCTGCTCGCTCTCGCCCTGGCGGCCGAAGCGCTGATTGGGGAAGTCGATCCAGAAATTTCGGCTTCGTCTGTTGCTTCTTCTCGCTCCCTCAGCGGACCAACAGCGGTTGACAGCCCACATGTCGGCACTCCTTCGGCATCTAGCCCACTGCTGCCTAGAGGTCTAGCAGCTTGATCGTTGCGCTACCATCGACCCCCACAACCGAATTTCGCCCCTCCCCATCCCGATTCATCATTGCCTACTCTTTTTTGTACGTCTATAACTGTTCCCCCTTCTCACTCTTCTAGATTCGACAGACATGAACGTGAGCTTTGTCACACGCTCGTCGATGACGGATCCTTACATGACAATTGCAATTCAATATGCTTTTACAACATCGATGGGAGATACAACATTGTCCGGTCCGGAAGGAGGCTAAGACCCAGCCACGCGGGCTTAAAGGATGATCACGGAGGCAAGACGGCCAAAGCGCGTTGCGCAGCATCCAGATTGTCCAAATTCGCAGGCGAAGGATTCGTCGACGAACCTTGAGATAATTTGCGCTTGAGCATCTCCACCTGCTTTCTTCTGGCCGAGATTAGCCTCTCGGCCTTTTCTTTGGTAAGGTCTGCGTAAGTCGGAGCGACTTTCCTCGATGTGGGTGAGGCGGTGGCCGCGAGTGTAGAAGGTGTGGCTGTCTGCGAAGAAGATGTGCTGCTTCGAGCACGCAAATTGAGCACCTCAGAATCCAGATCTCCAAGCTGTTTGCGAAGAGGTACGAGAGCCTGCCGGAGTGCGAGAGAATACATCGTCACTGGGTAGAATGAGCTATGCGGTGCTTTGCGAGACTTCAATGCACTTTTGGCGTAGTGCTCACCTCGTCGTCGAGGAATTGCCGCAGCGCCTCCGTCGCGCAGTTCTCGATGTGCTCGAATCGAATGGGACCCAGCATTGTGCCTCCATACCACCTTTTCTCAAGTACAGCAGCCGAGCGAAAGTGCAGAATGCAGGGAAAGGCCAGACGGATTAGCGTGCATTGAGTGGGGCGGCAGGCGCCGTGGATGCCCTCTCACCTAGATACGATGACCAGTACGTCGCTCGCCCCTGTCTTTTCGATTGCTCGAAGAACAGCTCTACCTCCTGCTTTCTCTCCATCATCTTCGCAACCCTGGTCGATTTCCCAATCCCCAGGTCCGCTCAATCCATCTCTTCCCCTCTTGAGCTTCAACACTCTCCAAGCATACATGTCGTGCATGCTACCTCTCTGGGTGGCTCTCATGCTTGCGAACATCTCGGGAAAGATGCTGGAAGGCAGGCTCGGATGAACCTCGCGAGAGAGATGTGTTAGAAGACGTGTTTGCTCGGTTCGGCGTGGAGAGGATAGAGAGTAGACGAAGCCGATGAAGAGCGAGGCACGATCTTCAATACGAGACGATGGTGTGCTTGTTGGCCACAGTATAGGCGTGACGTCATCATTGTCTCCCTCAGGCATGTAGTCTAGCACGCTTCTCTGAGCCCCTCTACTTCCACCTCGACCATTTGCAGACGGGCTCTTTGCGTTGCTGGAAGCGACATTGATGTCACGACCTTGCGCCGGCTGCGAGCGCTCAGCTTTACGCGCCCTAATCTCTTCCCACATGCGCTTTGCATCCTCTTGCTGCTGCGCCGCTGCTTTTTGTTCCTCTTCTGGCGCTTCTCTACCAGCTTGCTCCATGGAGAGGCTAGACGAAGAAGACGCTGATGCTCCAACGCCAACGCCAGCGCCCGCGCCCTTCGTATTCTCCCGCGGCTTGCCTATCGGGAAGAGCTCCGCTCCTGACGGAATAGGCAGTTTGGCGTCTTTGATGCGAGGCACCTTTTTCTTCATGTCTGGCCTACTTGCAGCCGCTCGTTTGCGCTTCTGTAGCCCTCTGTGCTGATCGATATCGATGTCTTCCTCGACGTCTTCCTGACTTTGGATGTCCGACGCGTCTTCTTCCGTATCCCCGCTCGAATGTCTTGCCCCTCTCTGCCCGCGATCCTTTCTGCCACCCTTCCGCCGCTCGTCAGGCCTCCACTCATCTGCGCTATCGCTCGCCTCGCTCTCCAAAGCCTCTGGCTCGCTCTCCGAAGCGCTTCCTCCACGATCTGAGCCCCATCTCTCTTCGTCCGATTCATCCTCCGATGCGCTTGCGTTCAGTCTTTGCTTTTTCCTCGATTCTTGACTCCCACCACCTCTGGCCTTTTCCTGGGCGCGTAAGGATCGACGCATGGCGAGGGCGAATGGTAGCAGAGGCGTTGCCGATGTCACTTTCTTGGCAGCCCGAGCCCTTGGCAAATCAGAGGGCGCAAGTCGGACGAGTCGCAGCGAGCAAGGCCACTGGAATGGCTCCAAGTTCTGAGACGCTGTACCAATGGGCGACGTTCGGCAGCACACTGACGACTTCTTCCCTATCGGCGCTCCAGCCGAGCTTGATGCTGTTTGCTCTGCTGCTGCGAGGGTGTGAACGAATCGTATGGGGGCAAGTGCATGCATAGTCAAAGGCAAGGTGCAAATCCACATGTCACACCGACTTCACATCATCTCTATCCCCGCGCATTGGCATTTTGCTGAGCTTCCCTCCTCCTCCTTCTTGATAGTCTGATGAGTGTGGAGGCCTTGCATGGCCGCGTCACGTGCCGGGCCTATACAGCAGCAGCAGCAACTGTGACTACTACTTGACTCAAGACTCATCATAGCAGACTCGACTCTTGACTCGATCGTGAACTCCGAACGCGCACGCACCGCCTCGGTCGTGGTGGCCACGAGAGTCACCGTCAGAAGAGTCTGATGTGGATGGTGAGCAGTCCGCTTCATGACCAACTAACTTCCTTCGGACTCGTGACTGTCCACGAACTCACTCAGCGTGGCTGTGCAAAATCGGAATTCAAGCCACGGTTAGATGGAGAAGGGCTGCCTATAAACCGCATTCAGAAGCCATTCTGAAGAGGGCACGCACGCAAGAACAACGCAAGAACAAGATGAATAGCATCTTGGCCGCCTATGGCAACCTCTCGCAGCCGCTGGATGAATCAGTCGCTCCGTAAGTGTAGGCTTGTGGAATCCAGCGTCTTGAAGCGACGCAGCTTTCACATCCTCTGACATGCGATCTCTCCACGCAGGTCCGCACCTTCAACACCGCAAGGTGCTCAAAATTCAGGTCGGTACTTGAGATGGTGCGACAGGCTATCCGTCCTGCCCGGTGCAAGTCGATTGGGCACAAAAGAGTGCACAGACGCCTTGCGTATCAAGAGAGCAGACTACTTGCGGCGCAGGAACGATGCCTTCCGAGCGCCGGATGGCAAACTTCCGCCTGAGCTCACCGACGAGGGGGAAGCGGTGCGAAGGAATGATCGCATTGATGCGAGCGTGAGCAACCCGCTTGGGCTGGAAGAAGACGTGAGTGTCATCTCGAGCGTTGGCGATGAGTCCTGTAGCATGGATACACCTCTACAGAACGCCCAGCCTGAAGCTGAGCCAGTTCTGCTCCCCTGACGCAGAACCCATGGCTGAGGCATATAGCATCAATGTCTATCATGACTCAGATCCAAGCCGATGTGGAGCGCACCTTTCCAGACGAGGAAATATTCCAACCCAAAGAGGTTCAATCTGCCTTGTCTCGCATCCTCTTCACATATTGCTATCAAGGCGGATCGGGATCAGAGACGGGATACAGACAAGGAATGCACGAATTGGCTGCTGTTTGCTGGCTAATTAGGAGCACAGACTCGACGGAGCCTCAGCATCAGTCGTCGTCGGAGGGAGATCAAAATCTGCAGAGCTCGCTTACTGCCGATGTGCGGAGCGTGGAATGTGACACTTATAGCATCTTCGAGGGTCTCATGGCAAAAGCGGGTGTGTGGTTCGAGTGGAAGCAGGACAGAGTGAGTGAGAGGAGGATCACCTAGACTCGAGCGAATAAGCGCTTAGCGATCTGCTGCCCACGCTGCCATCCCAGCCTTCGACGAGCACAGCTGGGCCCATGATGCCTATTATGCTCGAGTGTGTCGCGGTACACCAGACGCTGAATCGATTGGATCCGCAGCTGCACGCTCATTTGCAAAGCCTCGGCATCGAGCCTCAGCTTTACCTGCTGAGGTGGATTCGACTACTCTTCACTCGCGAGGTGAGAAAGAATACCTCAACCCTCGCGTGCGCACCTGCGGTCGCCTCGGCTGATCATGGGCGGGTCCCTGCATACATCACGCGATTCAGCTGCCCTTGCCCGATGCTATCAATCTTTGGGAAGCGTTACTTAACACAGACCCCACTCTGAAGCTAGCCGCATTCATTTGCATAGCCATGCTGCTCAGGATCCGACGACCTCTGCTCGAATCCAGTTATGCCGAAGCTTTTACTCACTTGCTCCATTTTCCCAAGGCCTGTCTCGCCGCAAGAGGGCAGTGGGCGTCAGATACAACAGATGCGGCGGCTGCTTCGGTGCAGAGTAGAGGTCTAGCACCTTCCTTGCTGGTTCAGCAAGCTCTGGCTCTGAGGGACACTGGTGCCCGCGGGGCGGTGCTGTGCGCGAGACAAAACGAGGTGATACTGGGACTCGACGTTCGGACACCTGATGTTGCTGCTGCAACCGGCTCCGAGCCGTCTCAACCTCGCGCACGGCAATTACCCAAGACTGTTGCTACAGGACGAGTAGCAGGGCACAGACCAGGTCTGAGCAGCGACAGCTTCGCCAGACCATCAGCCGATCAGAGCCCCGAACAGCTCAACGAGGCCGTACCACCAGCTTCCGCAGGACTGATCCCTGATGGTATAGCAGACCTAGCAAGGGGCCTGTACTCACGTGCTGATGCGCTCGGAGTCAATCGAGCCCTAGTCAGCGCCATGGGCAATGTGCAGCGCACAGTGGGGGCTTATGCGGCTGTGGGCGCCCAATTCGCAGGCCCTGGACGCATCGCTTCAACGCAGGACGATGGATTTCCTCCTAGCATCGATCGGGTACCCAGGAGCGCTATATCGGCTGGAATAAGTGCGGCGAGCTCGAGTGCTCGGGCTGTACGCGCCTCTAGGGATCCAACGACGGAGCTGAGCATGCTCCGAGCTAGCAATGCTGCGATGGGACAAGCGCTGAGCGCTTGCATTGAAGTCTTGGAGAGGAATTGGTCGAATGAGACGGATTTCACGACTTCCAGCACCAAGGCGAAAGAGCAAGAGTTGACGGGCGCACAAATAGAAGTGCTGATGAGCATCACCGCTCTTAAACATACCCGAGATGTATTGATGGGCACCACCGCGGAATTTGACCCCGCTACTGTCGCTTGGCCAGACGTTCCTACCTCAGAAGCGATCAAGCCAAGCCCCAAAGCTGCGAAGGCACCTCTCAGTTCACCGCAGGGCGCCACGACCTCGACCAGTGTCGCGACCCACAGCCAAGAAGCTCCAATTGAGGCCATTCCGAGTTCAGAGCGCTTGCCTCGGGCAGGTTCCATGGGCTCAGTTGCGGTTAGGGACTCGCGCTCAGCTGCTGTCTCATCACCAGTCGAACCTTCCTCACGGAATTCAAATTCAAATGAGCGCTCGACAGACCGCAGTGGCCTACTCAATGCCAGGGCGTTTGCTAGGCCGCAAGACGAAGAGGGCTACAATCCATTGGCTGGATTCAGAGCTGCGGCGGAGAATAGTCGCTTTGGTTCCGCCGCGTTCGAAGAGAAGGAGTCGAGTACGAGCAGACCAAGAGCTCTTTCGACGTCCCAATCATCTGCACAGACATCCGCCAGGCGTCCTTCGGCGCAGCCGCAACCATCCTTTGTTCCTCCGACATCTGGCGAGCGACGGCGTGAGGTCGGGGCCCTTTCACCGGCTCGTGAGGCTAGTGCACACAAGAGCGGTCCAGGAGCCATGAATGAGCATGAACAGTCAATTTACCCGCCGCCAGCTTCTTCTCCTCGATGCAGCACTTCGCCCGCGGCACAGACGGCTCAAGATTCAGAGATGGGCAGACGATCAGACATGCTGCGCAAATCCAACCCTTTCGCAGCAGCGCGCAAGCAACATGTCGTCTTCGAAGAAGATTCGACGCCTTCTGTCTCCGGAGACCCTTTGGGCGCCTCATAAAAGTGGCTGGAAACCTGCATCTCACCCCTCAGCTCGGAGACCGCACCAACCATTGCTTACCTCTTGTATTACCACACTGCTCCGCCAAGTTTGCTCGCGACTACTCATAGCAATTGCGCACACTTTCGCAAGGATGAGACGAGATGGGCATGCCGATCATTAGCGGAAGTCTGAGCAGATAACGGACCGAAGGCGCGATGCGATGGAGATCCACGTCGGTGCGGCATGACGTGTCGGAAGCCAATTCACGCGCCAGATCCCTCAATGCTCGCCCGGACAGACTGCGAGTATGCAAAGAGATTACGATACGCCGCTCTCGATTGGCCCATGCTTGGCGCTGAAAGTTGGCATCCGCACAATCTGCAGGGAAGAAAGCGGATGCATCACCGCCTTCGCGATTGACTTGTCCGTGCCGCTTCAAGCATGGCGCTGCCGCCAGGCAGCACCACTGCTGGCCCGCTACTCTGCGAATGAGCAGAAGCAGAGTTGATGGGCGCCATGCCTCGGGGTCCTCCGCTCGTCCTACTCCTGGGATTAGCTCCTTCCATCGACACGATAGGCTGATTGGGGCTAGACCTTCCCGACTGCGCGCTGGTGTAGCTTGAATTGTCGCTACCGCTCGTCGCCGGTCGGGAGCTGGGCTGCCTGCTTCCCGGGAAGGGTCGACCATCTGCACCAGAGCTGATCTTTCGTACTCGTCCATCCCCAGCATCGAGACTTCGCGCATCATGTCGGTGCCCCGTGCCATTGTAATCTGAACCAACATCTCGCGGCTCGCTGGCCCGCTGGCGATTTGAATTGTTGTCCTCCCAGTCATGCTCCTGGGATCGCCAAGACTGAAGGACAGGGTCGCTGGTTCGATCTGGCTGTGGCGACTTGGAGCGAGGCCTACTCGCTGAATTTGAGGGATCGCTTGCACCTGGTCCACCACCACCTAGCCAGGCTTGCTCGTCTCCGACCGGACTCGGACCTCTTCGACGTGGCTCGCCGCCACTAGCGAGCCATGCCCCCGAGCTTCCTGAGCGTGCATCGGAAGCGAATGGGCCGCTCGACGGGGATTGCTTTCCTCTCACACGCTCTGGGTTGAGTGTCGGACTGGTCGAGGGCCCGCTAGCCATTGACGCTGATCCTTGGTGGACTGTAGACGTGCCGCGACCGGATGTAGAGCCGGGCGGTGCAGCTCCGGGCGGCAGGCGTCCCGTACCTGGGGTGCCCTGCGCAGGAGGGGGTACGTGGTAGCCCGAATGAGCTCCTAGCGAGCGCGGATCTACTACTTGTCCCACTGAGATCGAAGGCGCCATAGCTGGAGGCCCTGGAGCCAATTGGCCACTCGAGGGACCTGGTCCTGTCTGTGCAGATCCTCCATTTGCTTGGCCGGAGCCTGTTCTATTTGTTCCCTGTTGCTTCGCCATGTCACTATCGATCTGCCGGTGCTGGGCACCGTAGCCTGCGGCCGGAATTGCCATTTCAGCAGACCTGCTCCCCGGCGGAGCGCGATTGGGCTTGACGAGTCCAGTTCTCTTCGCCTTTGGCGCGGGAGAGGCAGGATTCGGGACCTCCGCAGTGGGCGTGGGCGTGCCGGATTCCGGAACATTCGAGTCGACGAGAGTTGGGCCGCGGCTTGCATGTCCATGGTGCGGCGCTGCTCCTGTGCCATCAGAGTTCTGAATAGGCTGCTGGGGTACCGATGTTGCTGCTGGTGTTTGGCCGTCTGTCCCTGTGGGCGACTGTTGCTGCTGGGGCGTTTGCTGTTGCTGCTGCTGCTGCTGCTGCTGCTGCTGCTGCTGCTGTTGTTGTTGTTGTTGCTGTTGCTGCTGCTGCTGTGAGCGGTTGATCACAGATAGATACCAGAACATGAGATTCGAGATCAGGACCTGCTCGTAGAGTGGCCGGCGAGGATTAGCAAGCTTGATGTGACTGAGTCGGTAAACGGCTCGTTCGATATGAATGGGATAGCGATAGTAGTGCACGGGAGCTCCGGGACGATTGCGATCCAACAGGCTTCCGGCAGTGATTTGCCCGTCATTCCGGAAGTGCGCCGGCTGATGATGATGGTGGTCATCACCGCCTCTCTTCTTGCTTCCAAACAAAGCTCCGAGGAAGCTGGAAGTATCCTTCTCTTTGCTAACCTCCCTCTCGCGCTCTTGCCGCTCCGCCTCGTGAGCTTCGCGCTCCTTTCGCTCCTTCTCCTGCGCCTTCCTGCGTGCTTTGGCTTGCTTTTCGGTCTCATCCTCCTCCTTGCCAATGCCAAACCAAGATGCAAAACCCCCCTTCTTTTCCTTGCCATGCCGGTGAGCGGGACTTTCTGCAGATTTGGTGGGTACCGGGAATTGTGACGGTCCGGCGGCATGGCTTCGGCTCGAAGCTGGAGGTACTGAGTGTTGCTGTGACGGCATCACCAGCGGGGGCTGATTTCGGAGCTCAGCTTGATGCTGGCTTGGGTTGTGTACCTGTTCCTTAGCTTGGGGAAGACGATGCAGGCCGCCGGTGCCGGGAGGCGCAGTAGCAGCGTGTAAAGGCGGCTGCATCGGTCGCGCCTTCTCGAATCCAGGTACGGGAGGGACATGGGAGATGGGAATTGGTCGCTTGACGGCACCATTTGAACCGAGCTCATTGTCAGGAGACTGCAATGGCGAATCGTTGATGATGCGTTGGCCGCTCGACACCGCTTGGGATGCAGGCCCAAGCCTGTCGGAGGTAGCTGTTGAAGCCTCTCGACTGATGTCAAAGTAGCCTGCTGATTGCGAGGACTGGGTTGGGGTGAGGGGCGGAGAGTCGCTACTGCCGACGCTGCGGTTTTGCGCCCTCTTGTCCGCCAAAAGGGTGGTGTCGCCATGGCCATCTGCAGAATCTGGAACGCTATCCGTGAGGCTAGTGAGGCTGGTCCTTTGGCTGCCATCTGATATGTAAGAGTCGCGCGAGTACGCGTCGACAATCGATGCAGTAGCTTCGTCCGAGACTGGGCGCGAAGAGCCGCCAGCTACATCTTCCTCTCCCGACGATAGACCAGACCCAGACTGGTCGCTTTCTCGACGTCTCATTGCTTCCAAAGCCACTGAAGCCATGTCCATTCTTCCACCAGCTGATCCCGATTCCGAGCCCGAGTCTCCGTTTGCGCCTCCGCTGCCTGGGCCCCTTCTTCTAGCTTGCCGCGATTCCGAAATGGAGGATTTTCGGATCTTGGTCCTAGCCGCTCTGCGAAGGATCTGGCCTGGCCGTGGAACAATCAGAGGCGCATCCTCGCCATCGGCTGGTACGGCGTCAACCTGGTCGAGAGCTATAGGTGGTGATGCGAGTTGGTGTGAGCTCTCTTCGACGCTTTCATGGGTAACACTGGCTCGGGTCTACAGCTCACCTGCGCCTGGCATGCTTAGACTCATCGTTCTCCGCAGAACACTCCTGAGCTGAGCCGGATCTTCGCTCTTGCTGGCTTCCTCCGCGAGTAGCTCCAGCTTCTGTAAGTCCTCGATGGACAAAGCAGGTCCTGCCTGTCGTGTCGAGCCGGCACGACGAGCCAGTGAGCCGCGAAGCCCTCCCCGCTGCAATCCTCCGACGTCTTCAGGCGTCCGCCTACCATCACTGCCGTCGTCAGTATCGCTTTCTGGGCGATACTGTCGCCGAAGTGTGCTTCCTCTTCGAGCTATAGAAGTACTACGACTGACCAAATCGATTGGGGATCCAGGAGAAGAAGGGCCCCCAAGACCCCCTCCAATTGAGCTCGCACGAGAAGCGAAAGGGTACGACGCCTGTGGAGTCCCGGTGCTCCCCGAACTGAGCCCCAAAGAGGAGCTGCTGGAGCTGCTGGGACTGGAAGGGGATTCTGAAGGAGTGTCCCCTTCACGAACTGCCCTCGAGGCATGTTCGTGGAGGAATTTGCGAAAATCGGTGGGAGATATCTCGGGGTGCATCGAAGCAGGTACCCAGAATAGGTGACTGGGGTCCATCGGCGCTGTGAGAGGTACGTCGTCATCCGACGTGATGGGGCTTCGAGCTGCTCCTCGTTGACTATTGGACGAAGATGTGTCTATGGACGATGCTCCTGTCCCTCGACGCCGTGCAGTGAATGCCTGCCGCTCATTACTGCGAGTGGAGGGTGTCCTGCCTCCCGCGCTTGAGGAGGGACCGTCATCGGAAAGGCTGACACCTGCTCTGGATGCGTCGGGGCCCAAGATTTCTCGGCCGCCCCCGTATGCAGCGGCCAAGTCTGGCAGGTCCGGGTCGAGCAGAGGTCGATTGACCGAGATGCGCCGGTGCGACTTGAGGGCTTCCACCTCGCGCTGAAACTCAGAGTCAGTGATCTTTTGCATGCTGAGTAGGCCAGAAATAAGCGGATGATGCTCTATGTGGTGGACGCCGACAGACGACGCTGTAGCCGTGCGTCGCTGTGAGCTCACAAGGACCCCGCGGTCGAAGAATCAGATGAGATCCGAGCGCAACGGCCGTGGAGCTGGACGACGCAGGTCTCGAGATACTCTTGCTCGACCTGCTGAACTTCAATCGAATGCGTCACCAATGAGGAATGACGAAGTGCAGGAGCGGCGAGCGATGGGCGGTACGGAGTAGGTTCGTCTACGCTTCGAGTGGGTGTGGTGAGTCCAGATACGTGATTTGAGAATTGGGCTGTCCGACGAGCAAGCTATCGGGAGCAAGAAATGAGCACGCATTGCGCTATACTCACAACTTTCGTGGCGCTCGAGACTCACAGCCTCCGCGCTTACATGCACCTCGCCGTTATACCTCGCTCATCAGCAGCAGCATGCACACTGCACCTGCATGGCTGCACGGTGAACCGCGTGCTTCCCGCGCTCCTGAGCCCCTCTGATGCCACGCCCATGCGCGCGCCATCATCTCGAATATCGTGCACCACCCAATTCAGATTTGAATTTTCAAGGATCTTGCATCTGCTGTTCAAGCAGCAATTAAAATTGCAAGTATAGCTCCTGATCGCGCGGGTTGCGCTACAAGAAAAAACGCCTGCAGCATCAGAGCGCAGAGCCATCACCGTTACCCAGCTGCTGCTGTGGTGCATCTCTGAGAAAGGGCCGCATGATGTGCACCTTCTCTATTCGTCGTTCGAGAACTTTGAATACTGAAATTTCAATGAGGGCCTCAGGTGACATTTGTGATTCTCTATTCAGAATTCAAGAATTGTAAACTTGATCTCAAGACTCTCGCAGGCAATCAGAGTCTGATGAGTCGATCGTGTGAGTGAGTTTGATTCTTCATTCCGACGTCAGACTTTACTCTCAAAAATCCGTCATCGGTCATGATCATCTTGAATTTGAGCTTAGCCTATCGTCAAATTCCCTGCGCGTCTTTCCGACCTTGAATCCTACATGTTTCGGTGTTTGCATTCAATTCAAATCCACGATTCGTAATTTCACCATCACGTACAAGCACGCTAGCGCACGTCGAGGCGTCGTCTTTCCGGCGTCGCGAGAGACCTGCAGCAGATGCTGCCACGAAAGGCGGCGGATGGCTCAGCTTCTTGGTCACGCCGTAGGTACCGCATCGCGGAACCGCGATCCCGACGATGCGCCCCGCTACTCACCTCTTGACTGCTAGGTGGGTGTCCAGCACCCGTCCGTGCTCATGACTCGGAATCTACGCAAACCGCTGCTGCGCACTTTCCCTGGCTCACTGGACTCACACGGCTTGCAATCACCCAAATGAATGGCAGCGTGCTCCCTCGCCGAAGCAGAGTAGTCTCGTCGCGAGGCGCTCTATGGGATCCCTGACCATATTCACATCGATCTGGGAGGACATCTGCGCGACTCAAGGGAGCACGTACCGTACCGTACCGTACCGTACGGCTTGTAGGTACCCGTACCTCAATCGCGCACGATATCCTTCGTCGGTCAAGTCTGAGTGTCGGCTCCAAAGCTGCGTTGCTGACAGGCTACACGTGCGATCACCGGTCAAGAGTCCCAAAGATTCGTGCCTAATGCGACAGCTCACTCATTCACGCAGCTTGTTCGTCTGAGGTACGGTCAATAGTCAAGGAGTTCACGATCTGCGATAGTCAAGCAGGTATCGCTCAAAACTGGAGTATGCGACTGAAAGAAGGCCATCCCAGGTACGGTGCAGTTGCAGCGGAAACGCGAATACGCTCCCGCCGTGAGCGGCCCGCAGCAACGCTCGACGTAACCAATTCGTGCTGACAGACAGCGACAGCACAGGCGGGCGTATCTGCTGGTCAGACGTGTGACTTGCGCTCCGCTGCCCGGACAGAGGATTGCATGGTGTGTCCGCTACCTAGGGCTTCGCCGGCCGCGCTCCAGACCTGGAAGGGGTACATTTTCCCAAGCTGACGACTCATATAGCTCCATATACCATGCCAACCCCTCATCAAGGCTTCCTTGTGCCAAGGGTTCATGATTCGGGAAGCAGGACGTTGTACGATGGTCAATCCGGGCTATCGGTTCTTTGTTACAATTCGTGGCCCAGTCTGCTACTCGAAAAAGCCTCCGAGCTTGGAATGTGTACAGGCTGTCTGCTCGATCCTTGTGAAACGAACTTGGAAGGTGCCGGAGTGATTCACGCACGCGCGGCTCAGAATTATCTCCATGTCCATCATTAGCCAGGTAGCAAACTCTGCCGTCGCATTTTGAGGAGTGGATTGGGCTGCAGCCATGGCTGCTTGTAGTCTGGCGCTATCGTGGGTCAATGATGGTCAAATGAAATGAGTGTTTCGTGATTGCCACAGAGAGAAACGTGCTTGAGATGGAAACCTCTTCGACTACCCTACCGTGACTGCAGGCCATTGTTGACCAGGACGCCTGCGTGCATCATAACCGGCCACGCTTGTAGCTCGACAGAGTCAAAAGTGGACCTCTCTTTTCAAACTTCCCTTTGGGTAACCCAAGACAGCGTCACACACAACTGGGATCGATGCTAACTCGAAGCCGCGAATAGCACAAAAGTCAGTCTACTGCTTCAGAAGCATTGCTCACTGCATGGCTCCCTTGAGCGGCGCCCCTTTCCAATCATCACACTTGAGGTAGTCTGGCCCGTGTGACAAGTGAGGATAATTACTATTTCCCGCTTCCGAAAAGGTGCCACAATCAAGAATGCGCAGACCTTAAAGCCTCGGCGCTGAAGGAAGCGCCAGGCCCCCTTTATTGGTCACCTTTTGGTCAGTCTCCACTGTGCAAGCTAGACAAAGCCTGCAATGAGCCGATTCTTTGTGCGGCTTTGACGTGAATGAGTAGGGACTTATGATCAGGAAAGTTACGAACACCAGATAAGCGAATTCATCACTCATGGCTGATGGAAGTCACGCCTCCGCGAATGGACAGAATTGTGAGACGATCTCTCATTCGTGCTTCCCATTGCGTTGCTTCTCTTTCTTTATCGATGATCACGTCCTGCAGTCCGTGGTCCGAAGCACTCGTGAGACGAGCTGGTTCATTATAGGCGACAAAGTTGCGTATAGCAGTCAATGGCACAAGTGCAGGGTGGCGTGCGGCACTTTCACAGTGAATGAGGCGTGGGGGCGCAGACACGCATGGCACTCTCTTTATTACGCTTCATTGCGTCCTCGCCGACTTCTCGATTCGTCATTGATTAGTCAATCAAGGAGACTAGACTGGTGTTGTTTTCACCGTCGATGAGCGACTCGCTTCGTGGCTGAGCTGTTCGAATGGAGTACTCACGACTCTAGGCCAACTAAGCTCCGCTTCGATCCTGCTAGGGGTGCAGTCGGGATGCCTAGGCTGCACTCGGCAACTCACTAATTAGCTATTCTTCCGCGCCCGTTTGCGGTACCTTGCCGGTCAAACTGATTCTCCTGTCCGTCGCAATAAATAGGCGAGCTGGGTTGCATTAAGGTTGGCGAGCTATACACGTAGCATTAGCAACCATAGCCTGTCGGGACGGATGAGCCTGGAGTTTCAGCCAAGACCCGTTTTGCATCAAGAGCCAAGTCAAAAGTCACGATCGAGTGCATTCAAAATTCAGATTGTGCTGCTGAAGGCGTCCGCGCCTGTTGTCTGTGTGCATGGCCGCTGCATGCTGCTGTGCCCATGTCGCTGCTCACTCGTGTCTACTGACTACTATTCTACTACTCACTCTCTTCTGTCTGAAGTGCGACTCACGACTGCGACTGCTGCTACACACACTACTCACACTACACTTACTGGTGGGAAGGTGGGACCATGCAGCACCAGCAGGAATGAGCGCGCTATTTGCATGGTTGCACTCAGACTGGATCGTGACTTTTTTGACCGCGGCTTCAAGCTTCGCGCAGCCACAAATCGCAATTTTAATTTGAAGTCGGAAGCTTAAAACCCGTCTGCATGCATGCCGAGAACACTCGACGCGCGATGAGAAGAGACGCACAGCCTGCTCATGCTGCGTGGGTCCAGCCTTGACATCTTGATCGGCGGGTCCGCTACGTGTACCTCAGGGTGTAGTAGTATAGACGCCTCTTACCACTGACGACCATGTGTACCACTTCTCTCTCCTGAAGGACAGCCACGACGCTGACTCTTTCGACACTAATTTACTTGCTCGCCTTACGATTCATGACGCCAACCACCTCTTCGCCGCCGTCGTGAACGTCGTGCTCTTGGTACCGCTCGCGTTCCGTTACGCGTACCGTGCTGGTACCTCCACGAAAGCGCGGTGCTTGTCTTGGGAGCACACCTAAACGCGGTAAGCTCGCGCGTCTTCCTCGGGATAAATTCACGCAAGCAGGACCCTGCTCGCGAACCTGCATCGCTTGCCTCAAGGATTCAATTCGCGACCCATCCAGGCGTCTGGCTCCACCCACCATACGCAGCCGAAAGCTGCTTCATCAGCCGATCACCACTGCCCCCTCCTCCTGCGCTGCAGCGCTGGAGCCTCTCTTGTGCCCACAATGCCGGCAGAGAGGAACGGAGAAAAATCGTCGCAGGCCAAGACGAAGGAGAATAAACCTCCCCGCAAGCCCACTCAGCCTGCCTGCGACCCTTGCCATGTCAGGCGTGTGCGGTGCTCTCATGAGCAGCCATGCGACCACTGCAGACGGCTCGGCTTGAACTGCACGTACCACAAGGCCAGTCAAGCCCGAAGGAGTACGGGAAAAAGGATCGAAGCTCTTCGAGAGTCGGACCGTTCCGAGAAGCAGGGTTTTGAAGGTGGGCCTTCTCAAGATGGACCCAGCTATCCACCACCTCAGTCTGCTCGCCAGCTCCAGCACCCTCCCCATCCTCACCACCTGCAGCACGGAGAGACACTACCTTCCCTTGGCGCAATGAGAAGCGCAGCGGCTCCTAGCATGTTCGATGGTGGTAGGACTTCCCGAGTCGAGGGAAATATCCATCCTCAACTTGCAGCAACCTCAGGCCCCTTTCCCTTTGATGGTCCACCAGCACGCTTGTCCCGGCCACCAGGCACCGCTTCTCCAGCCTCTGCGAACTCCGTGCTCATGCCTCCACCGGAGTACAAGCCGGGGCTCGAGTCGCCCAAGAACTTTGCGCCATATCAAGGGGCCTCGGTGGGCTCGCCAGGAACTTCAAGCTCCTCTTCATCGGCGCAACACTCAGATGCATATATGCGACATCAGCATCAGAGAGGCTACGGGCACGGCTCCCCTCAGATGGGTCGCGGAAACATGGGCGCAGGCCAAGCAGGAGTCTCGCATGGCATATTTCCACCCTTTCTCAGTCCTCGCACCAGCCAGTCTTTGGCTGCCGGAAGTGCGCATCATTTCGAACGACAGCCTGGACCCCGTCGGCCGTCGAATGCTGGTCAGGGCGCCAATGGAAGGTTCACAAACAACCCACAACATTCAAACGAGGGAGGCTCTTTTGTTGACCACCTTATGAGCCGGCCGACGCCTATAACAACGAGCTCGAGCGGCACGTCTGGCGGATCTCTGATTGCGTCCAACATGCAATCACAGCCGCAACAGCAATTTCCTCAAGCGCAGCAGAGTGCTGTGAGTCAAGCTCAGACACTCAACAGCAACAACCTTTTCCAAATGGTCAACCCCTTTGAAAACACTTTTGCTGCAAATTTCCGTCTGCCCGACCTGACCACATCGCTGGCGGACTCATTCCTGCCGAATGGCACCGGAGCGAGCGGATTCGAGAATGACATCTCATTGTGGGAGGGCATGGATCTCAACAATTTCCCGCTCATATCTGGTGATGGGTCGGTCACCATGCTGGATGCTATCGGCAGACTCAACCCGATGGGACAGACGCCGGCGTCGCTCGATTCCGGCCACCATCATGGCCCGGCCAGCCAAGCGGGCAGTGGGCCGCACGATGATAGCCCGCCCGGAAGCTCTGCTGGCGACATGCATCAGGCCTTGTCGGATGGTATCCTCATACCTACCCTGGCGCTTTTCTATGAACGCCTGGGAGGTATCATGCCCGTCTTCTCGAGAGCCTGGCTCTACGGTCGTCTGGACGCGGACCATCATCGTACAGTGAGAGGGTCCTCAAAATGCTGATCTTACGTGCGAGAACTGACTTCGTCTGTATGGATTTCCTTTTGCAGGATCCCCAATTTGGCTCGATGCTGCTTTCGATGAGCGCCTTGGTAGCGATCCAAGCCCAGGATACCACAGATAGGGCGTCCGCCAGAAACAGGCGAAAGAAAGCGGTCGCACTGTTAGAGCAGTCGAGTCAAATGCGAGGCGGTTTGATGTTTGGCAAGGTGAGTGCAGCGTCCTGAAATCTGGCGGCGTCTTACTGATCTTCATCGAGTCATTCAGGAACCTTCGCTGGAGACCACCTGCACGTCTTTCTTCTTCTTTGCGAGTCTCTTCGCTCTGAACGAGCACAATGCGGCTTGGTTCCGTCTTCGAGAGGCCGTGACCTTGGGCCACCTCGCCAAGCTGCATGAGCCATCCTCCTACGAGGGTCTCCCTCGAGACGAGCAGGAACGTCGCTTGCGCACTTACTGGCTGTTAGCCATCACAGAGCGGTAAGTAGCAATCAGCCTACCTTGCGCAATTTGGCGGCTGAGATTAGCCTCAATTCCTTGCAGAGCATATGCTATCCAGTACAATCACCCTATCACCCTGACGGGCAATCCGAGAAAGAGGACGGCAATTCTACGGCAACAGCTCGGACTCAAAGAACTTGCAGACTTTCCGGATTTGCAGCTGTCCATCTTCGATGCCGTGTGGGTACTTTCAACGCTCAGCTGATCACACAGAGCGCAGACGATCTCTGACTTCTGCTGCGAATTTGCATCCATCCTCCAAAGTGATGAGACCTTTGTCGACTGCTGTGAGTCTTTCAACTTGCGTAAACTGCGCCTCTGTCCGTAGCATCGCTGCTCACGCTGTTTCCCTGGTCTCTCTAAACTTCAGTCCTGGGAAAGTGCCTTGGAAAGAACTGCAAGACCTTTACGAGGGAAAAAGCGCTGGAGCTTTACGCAGCTTTCACTCGCGTTGGCGAGGAAAGAGGCTCGTCGACGCGAGGAGATGACGAGCGCGTCAATGGAGAAGGAAGCAGCACGTCCAATGGTGGGGGGAATACGCGCGACAGCTCTGTTGCTGCTGGCGACAATGACCCTTCGTTCGGCCGGAGTGCAGTGCAAAAAGCCGACTTCGAAATCACTCGCTTGTGGCTTCAAAATCGAGCTTGGCTCATTGCTCTGAGTCATAGCTTGTTGACCATCCAGGATCGAGAAGAGCCGTTGCGCGTTGATCACGCCCTGCACCTGGCAAGACGTACACTCGACATCTGCAATGGGCTGCCTTTGCCGGCAATGGAAGCGCATGGGATCGGATTCGTGCTCAAGCTTGTAAGTCGATAGAGCCTCAGCGTGTCTCAACATCAGCTTTGAAACTGAAGCTTTAGCGGACCGTGCATTCATAGTACGATATTGCCAGCACCTTGGCAATTCTCTGCAAGGATGAGGGTGTGGCGCAAGCGATTGAGGACTACTCGCTACCTGCGCAACAAGGCTCTCCACACAGCGTCGTCTCGCCATCCGCAACAAGCGGCGGTCGTTTGGCAACTCGGTTGCGCACCGAAATCTTGGAATTGCTCGAAGCGTTTGCGGCGTTCATGCGCGAGTTCCTGGGAGGCAAGCACGAGTTCAAGGAGAAGCTGGAGGGACACATTAATGAGTTCCACGCGAGCAACCCTTGGACCATGCTCAATTACCGCACGACCACTCCCGACACGCGTTGGAACACTTGATGATCAGAAAAGGTGCTGCGGCTAAGCATCGCAGTGCCCTCGCGTCCCCTGGGTTGGGGACAGCTCACCGCCAGACTTGGATTGACAGCTTCGTAGCTTGTATGTAACACCAGACAGAGATCCATCACCTCAGTCACGCGCGTCACTCGTCCACCTCACATGTCCATTGCGTTATTCAAAAAGTTATCACGTCACTCGTCTGTGCTTTTTGCAGTGCGCACTCGTCTTGCGGGGATGTGCAAGCGCATTTCGAGGGCACATCCAGTCGTCGATGGGAGCGTTGCATTCTATGGAGCAGAAAGTACCTCGGCGTCACTTTGCAAAGCAAATCGAAGCGGCAATAAGTGTTAGCACAGCGATGACGTGATTGACAGGGCATACGTGAGGAGCTATGTGGCAGAAGCCTCGAAACAAATGTAGGTAAAACGTACACTGGCACACCCGATGAGCTCGCCGAGACGCGGAGCGAACTCCCAAAAAATTACCAAGAAACGATCGGCACCAAAAAGTCCTTTGCAGGGAAATCAAAGGGCTGATAGGACGCCGGCAGGTCGGCCCTCTCTAAAAGGCAGATGCCAGCCCTTCCCACACGTCGAGATTTGTGAAGTTGGCTGGTCCGCGCGCAAATGCGCTCAAGAGCACGCAGCTGGGATCGTCGGGATAAATACGAGTGGCGAGGGCCAATCTGTCGTTGGCAAAGATTTCCAGAACGCTATTGTCGCAGAAGATGCGCAGTCTCAGCTTTTCGGTGGTAATGTCGCCGTTGGTAGAAGAAAAGGTGAAGAGGGTCAAGGGTGAAACGATAGGTGCCGTCTTGATGCCGCGCGAGGCCGAGGTCGAACGCGTACGGTCTACGACCAGACGCTCTTCGGATGGTCGGAAAGCCACAGTAGTGCACTTTGTGCGGTCTAGAATGAGACGGGAATCATTCAAGGCAGGTGAAACGTGTCAGAAGTGTGCGCGTCTCACACGAAACAAAGGGGACTGTCTCACCTTGGTTATGCGCGATACTGAGACCGACCTCTGCGGTACCGGAAGCGACTTCAACCTCAGTCGACAACTCCCACGACCGCGATGCGACGTCCAAAAGCTGGAATGCCGTTCCGTTGGCCGAGTCGAATCGAATGACGCCCGACTCGTGTCGCCGTTGCGCGCCTTTGCGAAGACGCTCAACCTCTTGTGCAACGCGAATACCGAGGGTAGAAACCGTGCAGGTTCCTGGAACAGCATTGCTGGGCACCGACTGGATACTGCCGATGGCGCTCAAAGGGGAATGAAGAGCGCCAATGACGTTTGAAAGTTCGAGTTGATGCAGTTCGCGCGGCAACGCCATCAGGCCACTCCATCCTTGCGCATCATAGTACGATTCGGGCAAGTCATCTTCGGTGATCCAGGACCACATCATGCGCCGACCAGTTGGAGCATCGTGGAAGGCGCTCGCCGCATAGGCGCAGCCCTCATCGAGCAGGCCAGACGCGTGAGCGACCATCTTTGGCAAGCCGCTGACGCTGTCCTTGACAAATGTTGTTGCCACCCACATTGGGTGTCGGGCGGGTTGCGCCTTCTTGCAACCCTCAACGTTTAGCAACAAGTATTGCGTGATGCGTGATGATCCGTCGGAATGAGGCAAGCGGAAAAACATTCCGACTTCCCAGTTGGCGCCTAATTCTCCGCACCATGGCATGCCTGGCAGCGACGCATTGACGCAATACTCGCCGAGAGTAGTGATGAACGTCCAAGACGACAAGTCGTTCATCGGAATCTGATAGAGAAAGATCCTTGGACCAACGTTGGGCACTGATCCAGCGATCATGCCGTAGTAATGGGGCTTCTCCGCGGAGAGGAGGCTGTCCATCTCGGGCCAGGGCGAGACGAATGGATCTCGCCATGAAAGGACGTCGATGCCCTCTGGTGGGCCAGGCAAGATGGGCGAGAGAGGCGATCTAGACCACGACTTGCCTTCGTCCAAAGAGGTGGCCATAGCAAGCTTCTCGCAGCCGCGTTGGTACTGGCGTGTGAAGTGGATTGGCAAAGCCGAGACGGCCGTGTAAAGCGCTGTCATGATTCCCTGCTCTCCATTTGGACCGTGAGGCACAACGCAGCCGGTGAAGATGCCTTCGCAATCGTACGGCGCTGCTGGTGCGAGTACGGCTTGGTGCTCATTGGCGCCATCGATCGCATTGTCGTGCTTCCAAGGCCCGGCCAGACTAGTGGAGGTCGCATGTCCCCAAGACATGTTGCCCCAGGTGGAGCCTTTAGGGTTCCCTGATGGCACAAGAGGGCGATTGAAATGCAGCTGCGTTTTCAGTCTGCAGTGGAGCTAGGAGCACTTCAACATCTCTTCACTGCACGCACATTGATAAAAGAGATGATGCAAGCCGGTTTGAGCGTCATAGGTGGGCCCAGCTGGGTCTGCATGGCAATCACAATGCGGGCGAGAGAGTCGTGGATCAGTGCTGATGGCTAGACAGGCGCGTGCATGCGCCGGCCATAGCAAAGGATGAGCGGACTCGTCGAGACTCACCATTCATCCAGCCTCGAGGGGCGAGAAAGTGAGAGGTGGGACGAAACTTTTGAAAAGCTGAGGCGGCGCTGGAAATCGGCAACAGCTCAGCCTCGCTGCCCGTAGCGCCAGTCATCTCGTAAGGCGCGTCAGAGGTGCTGGCGCAAAGCTCAGGCGCGACGACGCTCTGCTTCTTGGATGGACTGTTCGCCTTCAACTTCGAACCGACGATGTGTTGGGCTCTTGGTGCAACGGGACTGCTTGTGGAAGCGGTGCCACTCTTGAGCTGCGCTGTCCGCGACGGCGGCGAGGCTGGGCTAAAAGCAGCTTCCGGTTTCCGAGTGACTAGCATGATTCTTGGCGCAAAGAGGAGATCTCACACTGCTTCTCTAGTTGGGCTCAGCCTTGCGTCAGAGCCGTGCAAAGTCAAAAGTGTTGTTGTTGTTGCTGCTGCTGCTGCTGCAGACTATTGGCGGCGCTCGTGTTTTGCTGTTGTTGGGGAACTTGTTGCCTTGCGCGAGCCGAGGCTTGTAAGCTAGCAAAGGGGTTGTCAAGGTGGTTTGACAGCTGCGGCGGTGGTCCGAGATTGGTTGTGGTGTGGACTATCATGGAGCGGAGTCGAGGTTCTTATAGCTTGTGAAGGCTATGCGTGTGGTTGAAGAGCGCAGTTTCCGAGTCGAGGAGGGGAAAGCACATGACTGGGTGGGTGCAAGGTTGTGGGGAGCGTGACCTTTGTGTGTGTGTGTGCGGACGCTTGGCGGACCGAGCACGGAGTGGACGTGAAGAGAGCAAAGCAAGCAGGCACCGAGGCAGAAGGTGTCTGACACACTATATCGACGCCAACAGCTCCCAAGTGGCGGCAATACCGCACAATTCGCGGTGCGCACTTCGGTGCGGCGTCCTTGCTAGCTGCTGTGTCTCGCACAGCTCGGCCCCTTATGCAGGAGCTGTCGCCGATACCAGCCCTGGCCGTGACTGCCGGCCGCACTTTGTGGCAAGGCAAGTCGAAGTCGAAGTCACAGCTAGCGCTCTCGAACACTTCGCTGGTCTGAGGGCTGATGTCGTGCTTTCACACCCATCCGAAAGGCTCCCGTTTCCCCGTGGGGGCCCGAGAGCGCGGGGGAGGGCTACTGCAGGACCGCGAGTCGGGAATCTGTTTAGCCGCGACGAAACCCCGAATGCCTGCGCTGAGGGAGTACGCCTCGGCTTGAAGAAATCGTGAATGATTGGTGCTGCGAGCTACACTGCGCGGAGGATGATGTCGTTTCGCAGTATGCGTGAGCCCTACAACGGTCTTGGCTCAGCCGCTAAAGGTCACAAATCGGTCGACAGTTCGGTGCTCTGTCGGTTGCTCGCAAGCCACGTGGGGCACGCGCCTCGCGGCGCGGCAGGCGGCAGAGAGCCAAGCCATGCAGAAGGCGGAATTCCGATCTCGGACGTGAACCTTGTCTTCAGCTATACCTTGTAAGCGCACTCTTCCATCACCAACTCCATCAACAGCGTATCATCACTAGCCATACAGACGGTTCTTGCTTTCGGGTGGCGGAGTTGAGGAGGCGTGTGGGGTTAAGCGCGGGCCAAGCTGTCCAACAAGTCACGCGAGAACCAAAACGTGTGCAGATCACGATTGACGACATGTACGTGGAACAATGCAGGCAAGCTGTGTCTGTTGAATAAGGGTCGCGCCCGTCACCGCCTGATTCGCTAAGTTCTTCGTTACATGCCAAGGGTTGCGGACAGCGTCGCTGGTAGATCGGTTGGAGAGCAAGATCGTGGCAGATGGGAGGGGCCCGAGGACTAAATGTTGTAGTGGTAACGATCGTCGGTGCTGATGGGAAGTCGAAAGCAATGGTCGTGCGCGGGAGGGTTGGAGCGGAGAGAGGTCTCATCACATCTTCTGTATAGCTCGGCTGCTGTATCCATGCCAGCCAGAGTCCCAGTGGTGCTTCAATCGTCGAAGTGGACTTACAGGCAGGGCGGGGGGGTTGCAGCCACGCCTGTCTTGTGTGACCTCCGCTCCCGACTCCCCCCATCCTTGCGAGCCACCTCATGCGAGGGTCACGGCAAGCGAATGCAATGGTCACCTACACCTTGTCCAGACCACATCCCCTCACCGGTCCGCTCCAATTCGTGCGCCCCGCACTTGAGCAGAATCATTACAATAAGTCATTCCCGCGACACCACCCCCGCCACTTGCCGTAGCTCGAGTCGCGAGTCCGAATTGGGCTGCGCAACGCCTTAGTAGTAGTAAAGTGTTTGAATGTCGGTTAAGGTTCCAATTACCCAGTAGCGTGATGAAGTCGAACAATACTTGTGGCGGTACAGCTGGCGAACGCGTAAACGCGACGTGCTCGAGCTCAAAGGCTGCTGCGTGGGGCCTTGCTCGTCTCTCGTTCCCCTTTGGCGTCTCGATCGACTATAATGGGTGTGTTCATTGCTGTCCACCTCATTCAGCGCCGCGTCGAAATCGGTGCAGGACAAGGGACTCACGACGCCATGCAGCGTCCTGCCGCCGTCGCAGGAACATCGATGCTTATGCTGGTCGTCCTAAGGCGCTCAAGGAAGAGATCGTTGCATGGCGTCCACAGTAGTACACGGATGGCGCTCATTTATCGCATCTGCTGCCACTCTGTCGCTTCAGGTCTGATGCCTCTCACTTGCCACTTGGCCGGCCCGCGCCTCGAGCTCGTCGTGTGACGCCACCTGCTGTATTTAATTATTATCACGTTCGATATGATTTGCGGCTGAGAGCATGAGCTTCGTCACCATGTTCAGCCACCCACAAACTTTACTACATAGTCCGCGCTTTCACCCGTCCACTCTGACTGCGACCTGCCTCCCTCCTCCTCGATTCACAACAAAAAACAAAAAGGCGAAACCCTGCATGCATCCAAGCAAGATCTTCCTTCGCCTACTGCATCCTTACCGCATGCATATCGTCCCTCGTTCCTGCCCTAGCAAAGCCGCCTGGGTCGAACTCACCGAGAGCTGACCGATCTTCGGCCGACCTCTTACACTGTCTCTCAGACAACCATCACGTCTTGGCAGCAAGTCGTCTGACTGGCTGTCCTTGGCTTGGACATTCCAGCTTCGAAGGGAAGCGTCAAAGCACTGCCCAGGTGGTCGTAGTACGTGCATATCTGATCTTGACACGAGCTTGCGGGGCTGCTTTGCTTAGCGGATCCGTGTCATACGAGTTGCGGGGACCCCGCACTTGGCTGGTTTTGCAGGTCAAAACGCATATTTAAAGCGCGCATCTTTCTTGCATCACTCCACCATGTCCTTCTCCTCAGCAAGACATCGAGCTCCTTCGCGAGTCAATCAGGCTCATCCTCCCCGCAATCCTCCCGAAGAGTACTCCGACTCCATCGCTCTCACTCCCCTCAACATCTCCGCAACCCGCAATCCTCGGCCCTTGCCACACACGTTGATCATGTCGAACAAATCACAATCTCTCCACGAGAAAGATTCTCTCCCTCAGCTCACCATGAGTGACGAAGCAACACCCGTTTCGCCCACCGGCAGCGCTTACAGGTCCGCTGGCCGCGCAAGTGGATGGAATTGGATGATGGCCTACTCGTGCTTGGTAAGTTCAACAGAGTCGCGAGTGTATGCCTTACGACGAGCTACTCCGACTCACCTCGTCTCCCACCCGCAGGTCGTCGCTCTTTCAGGCTGGATGTTCGGCGTCGAAAACTCCATCATTGGCCCCATTGCATCGATGACCGCTTTCGTTGAAGAGTACCAAGGCGTCAATCCCACGACTGGTGAACTCGTCCTCACCGCTCGCAATCAGTCGATGCTCTTCAGTATTCCCCTAGTCGGCACCGTCTTTGGCGCTTTGTTGGCAGTGCCACTGCAGAAGAGATTCGGCCGCAAGTGGACTCTAGTCGGTGCATACATTTTCTCTCTCCCTGCCGTCTTCCTCCAACTATTTGCGCCCAACCTCGCTGGCTTCATTGGTGGTCGCTTCTACAATGGTCTCGCGTACGGTGCCGCCACCAGTATCGCGCCTGGCTATTTGGCTGAGCTCGTCGTCCCGTCCATCCGTGGTCGAGCAGTGACACTCAACAACTTCTGCACCATTCTCGCCCAAGTCATATCCGTCATCATCTGCTGGGCTAGTGAGCGCGCTTACCGTGGCGAGCACATGTCCTACCGCGCACCACTCGCCGTTCAAGTTTGCTTGCCCGGAGTATTGGCGCTCCTCACCTGCTTCTGCGTCGAGTCACCCGTTGTGCTCATTCAACAGAACCGCAAGGAAGAGGGCAAGGCTGCTTTGCGCAAGATCAGAAGTTACAGTGACGCTGAAGTGCAAGCCGAATTCGAGATCCTGTGCGACGCAGAAGACTATGTCAGAGACATTGCAGCCAACACTTCCTTCTTCGACATCTTCAAGGGCAACAACAAATGGCGTACCATCGTCGCCGGCTCCCTCTTCTCCCTCAATCAGATCTCCGGTATCATCATGTCCACCACTTACGCCACGCTCTTCTTGACTCAACTCGGCGCCGGAGACCCATTCGTGCTCACCGTCGTCTCAGCCGTCTGTCAACTTGCTGGTGCCGCCGCAGGACCCTTCGCTCTCGACTTCTTTGGTCGTCGTTCGCTCATCCTCACAGGCTTTGTCATTCTCATCATGATCGACTTTACCGCTGGTGGTCTTGCGTTCTTCCAAGACAATGCATCGTCGCTCAAGACCATCGCAGCTTTGTCCTTCATCTTCAACTTCGTCTGGACAGGATCCTTCTACCCATGCAGTCTGCTCATGCCCGCCGAAATTCCCACGCAGCGTCTTCGTGGCCCCACGCTCGCGTACGCCATCGGATGGGGACAGCTCACCGCCGTCATCACCACGCTGGCAGTGCCCGAGATCACTGCTGCCGATGGTCACAACCTGGGAGCCAAGGCGTACATCATGTTCGGTGGCTTCATGGTCGCCATTCTCGTCTTTGGTATCTTCTGCTTGCCCGAGACCAAGGGAAGGACACCCAACGAGATCGACGAGATGGCCGACACTCTCGGCATGGCTCGCGCTTGGCAATGGAAGAATTACGAGTGCAAGACTCGCGCAGTCCAAGGTGCTACGCTCGCAGCCATGGAAGAGGAGAGGAGGGAAACTGGACAAGCAGCAAAGGATTCTTCTGCATAGACTTGCCACCCCCGGCTGGCTTCTTTGCTTTTAGGAAACCAAAGGTGTGACTCTGTGTACTGTCCTGCTTCCGTCTTTCTCATGCGCTTTCCTCTTTCACGACCACACACGTGCGCCTCGTTTCCGGCACTCTGCGCTCGCACTGTACCTGCTTTCCCCCCCCTCGCTCGTGCTCCACAACAAAGACCGCGTGGTCCGCTTTCATGTCAGTCACCTTGTAATCTCATTATAGCGAGCCTATACAAATCAATCAAGATCGATGATACATACTATACACCAGCTCGTGCGCTGTGTCAAAGAAGATTTCACGCCCCAGCAGGACTTTCAAGGCGGCGCAGGCTTGCCGGGCGTGAGGTACGAGGTCGCAGAGGCTGTCGGTCCACTTTTCAGAGGGCAGGTGAGACGCACATGTCCGTCGATCGCGACAGGCTCAGCGGTCAAGAGTGGCAATGAAGGGAATTTGCCGACGTGCCGTCTTGCGGCGGTTTTTGCAAGGTGCCACGCGTCGTCGCTGCAGTAGTAGTGGTAGTCACGAGTCGCGACCAGTCGCAACTCTGTGACCATGCAACAGTGAGTGGTCGATGATTGTTTTGCCACTCTGGACTGCTGCGTGCGAGTCTCGTTGCGACTCTTTTCATCATCCATATGCGACCCGCGCCGCTTAGTTAGCGCTGATACGCTCAGCACCATGGCATGGAACTGCGAAGCGCGACCACCAAAGCTTGCACGCAGGCTTGAGCAAGGCGTCCTGGTGGACATTCGATTCACGATTGTTCGGTCAATTCGTGTTATGCATAAATCTGTTATCATACGTGAGATCACGAATCCAAAAGGTGAAGCAGGCTTTGTAGCGTGGTTTTGAGTCACGTGAATTTTTGAATGGATAGCCTCAATCACGAATTTGAATGAGCCAGCCATGCATGTCCTCCGACAAGTATTATATATTCTCACGCCCCTCCCAAATCAGGCTGCCTGCATATATGCTGCAAAGCGAAGCGCAGCGTGCGAGCTCCTTGCAGCATCCGTGCTGCTTGCTCTTCTTCTTCTTCTTCTGCTGGGCTGGGAAACGAAGCGCAATCGGCCGCTTGAAGCGTACAGTATATTCGAGTGAGCGACGAGCTTACCCGCGATCACATCCGCTTGCTCGAACTTATATCTGCAGAAGTACTTGTGCGATAGCCAGCCTTACCGCGACATGAAGGTGATGCGACCTTGTGACGATGTGCCAGCCATGCATGGAGTGCCAGCCGGCCGCAGTGAAGAACTGATGGATCGATATGTGCTGCAAGGCGGCAACTGCACAGCACCCATACAAACCGTCTATACAACCCGCGGCCAGCTTGCAGGTACTGTAGCAGTCAGCAGCCGCCCTGCTGCTGTGGCTGAATGGGATCAGTGTTCGCGCGTCGATCGTGTCCCTTATTGACGCGTCCACCTCGATTCACGCGTCAGTCTTAGCTCCGATCTGAATCACAGCAAGGCGCACATATTCTTAATTTTGGATACATGAGTCCCGACTTTTCGTGACTGACCGCCGCGCGGTCATCAGCATGATCGGATGCTCAGCAGCAATGAAGCGTCTGCTGCTGCATCAATCACGAATCAAGCAGCAATTGGTGATCGCGGACTCAAACTGCTCGTGCGTAGCGATATACATGCTGATGATTGACGCCATTAATTCACATTCGCGAGAAGCCTGTTTGCTGGCGTCACATCAAAAGTCTCACATACCCCCACGTCGCACGCTCTGAGCCCTCAAAACACTCGCATTCGCTGTTTCAACAATCGTGAACATGTGAGCACGGTCGCTGCTGCAATGCCGTCAGGTAGGCAGGCGTTGTGCATGCGTATGATGGGTACCGATATCATGGTATAGCACGGTATGGTGTGCGTGCATGCTCTCGTGCGGACACGGCCGAATAGGCTTGCTCGCACTCGGTTGCACTCGGAACCCTGGTTGATCATGGACTGCCGCACAGCGATTCCTCGATCGTAATCCCGAGTGCTAAGCTGGGAAAAGGGAGAGTTGGCGGTGGTTTCTGGACTGCTGCAGATCAGTCTTGTCTTCGCAGCTCTTCTTAAGAAGATGGCGCTATGAAGGTGAAGCGTGGCAGCCACAGCAAGTAGTGACTGTGATGTAGCGTTTCGCGAACCGACCGGACGCATGGATCCTGGGTCCGATTGACCCGACACCCGATCAGCGGTCATACCTTGCACTCGTGCCTCACGAATCACGACGATGGCGTGTTGGGTGGGAAATGCTTGCGCTTGGTCTACTCGCACTCGCGACTGTATTTGCATCATTTCGCCGCTTATTGCTCAAACTTACGACGACGACGACGACGACGACGACGACGACGACGACGACGACGACGACGACGACGACGACGACGACGCTCTTGTCTATATATGTGTGCGCTTCGAGCAAGCCTGCACTCAACTCACGACTGACTGCTCTGACTCTGCTCTGACTTGACGTGATGGATGAGACTCACGACTGGTGACTCACACTCACACTCACACTCACACTCACACTCACCACGGTTGCATGCACGGTCCGCTGCATACATATGCCATGCACGCTATGCTTAATCTGCAGATGCCGCGCCACCGCAAGTCGTGAATTCGACAACACTGTGGCCATTGTCCGCACTCGATCGAGCTAGCTGCGCTGCGCTGCGCTGCGCGATTCTAGTCGAGTTCGAAATCTCAGTTGCTGTGAATGAATCACAATCACGCCTGCATGGGAATTCGCGAATGCTTGACTGCTGCTGTGCAAATGCACATCTCGTGGCCAAGCGGGCAAGGAGCCATGCAAGCATCACGAATCTAAACCGTCTGCTCAGCCACTGCTGACTTGATCTCATCCATCCTACGCGGCGATCAACAAATCATCTGAATTAAGGAATCTTCATCACACTTCATTCAGATTATCATCTCCCCCCCGCTTGCTTTCATATCAGCTGCCATTCACGACTCTTTTCCTCCAGCCACGCAAAGCAGAATATCCTCGCTGCCCATTGCAGTTGATCGTGGCGCTTCGTGAAACGCTATAACACGTGTCCACTCATCCCACGCGTGAACAATCCGGCATTTCGCCGCCAGGGGTACGCGTCAAACTCGACACTCACGACCCCATCTGCGACACAACACGGCAGGCCTTGCAATCATGTCGTCTTCCAGAAGGCGCAGCTCGAGACACCAAGGGTCAGCAGCAACTCCCTCATCATTGCAGGATGACGACTTCGCCTCCTCTTCATCGCGACCATCTGGTCCATTGCCAGATCCATCCACGATCTCCCCCGCATCTTCGCCGGGTGCCAAGCATCCAGGGCATCGCGCATCGGTGTCCATAGATGAGTGGGCAGACGAGGATGCGATGAGATCGTCCGGCTCCACTTCATTCAAACCTTCTGGCTCAACTTCTGGTCCGTTTGCTGCGTCCGAAGCTGCAGAAGCTGTGGCCGAAGGCGTTGCGGAGTCGGCGACCTCGGCGCTCGGCGGATGGCACTACGCTCCGCTACTCATCGCTCTCATTCCACCAGCAGGAGCGCTTCTGGGCGGCAAAGCGGACGCCTGGTCGGATGCGGTCCTGCTCATCTTGTCTGCCTTTTGGCTGTATCAGTTCTTGCGCGTTCCACACGACATTTACCATGCGGCCAGGACGAGACGCATACTAGCTGCCGACTCTCACGAAGACTCTTCCGACTTGTCTGTGCAGCAGCTGGAGGCCATTGCTGAACTCAAGCGCACCGAAGCCATTAGCCTTCTCGCTTGCGTGGCCAGCCCTGTGGCTGGGGCTTGGGTGCTCCAGTGGCTCATGGAGAATTTGACAGAGGGTAATCGCTATTTGTGAGTCTCGTCAGAGCTTCCATGTGGCTGTGCGAAATCCGCTTATTCGCATCAATACCCTTCCAGCAACAAATTCAACATCCGTCTCTTCATGCTGGCCGCGGGCATCAAGCCTTGGACAGTGAGCATGAAACCGTTTGTTCTGGCATCCGATGTTGAGCTTTCGCTGATTTCGCCTTGCTCGGCTGCAGCACGCGTTCTCGTTGCTTCGACAGCGTGTGTTGCATCTACACGAAGTGGTCCACTATCCGTCTTCCCGAGTCCAGGCTCTCAACAACCGCGTCGCATCCCTGGAGACGGACATTGCTGCTCTTCGACGCTTGGTGGCGCTCAAGACCGACGTGTCCACTCTGCGAGAAGGCATCGATGTGCCTTTGACTCAGCTCAGTCGGTCCATGCGACGCTACGAGAAGAAGGGAGAGCATTTGCGCTTGTCTGCAGAAGATAAGTTTGGCCTGCTTGAAGGACGTTTGGAGGACCTGTTGCGCGAGGTTGCGATCAACGCAGAGCTCATCGAGGAAGAGCGAAGAGAGCGTGAACGCGCAAGCTTGCTTCCGGCTTCCATATTCCAGGCGCTCAAATTTGCGTTGGGACAGCGAAACGAGTCTCAACGTCACTACCTCTACGACGCCCCTCGCAGCCTCCCGTCGACGGCTTCACTAGGCTTGGCTGCTCCTGATGGCACCACCTCGACGTCGGCCTACAACAAGACCATCGGGCCCGCTCCAAATGTGAATGTAGCGGCATCTTACACTACATCGGCAGCAGATCCCCGTCTGTACGCTGGGAGCGCGCATCCGATGGCTTCGCCGCCTTTGTCGCCCTCGCATGTACCTGGTCAGCTGCACAGCGCAGTGGCCCAACAAGCGGACAAACCCGACGAGAAGTGGTATTCTTCAGGCCCTGGATACCTCCTCACGCTTCCTGTCACTCTACCACTGAGCGCATCCAACGCAGCCATCAAGTTTGCCAACGAGAAGGTAAGAGGCGCAGTCAGCGATGCGTCTCAAAGCGCCTTGGACGCTGCCGGTGCGAACAGCCAAGGACAGAATGCACCTGCCCAGCAGTATCAGTCTCAACAGCAACAGCAGCCTCAAGGACCGCACAGGAATGGATCGACGAGGGGCGGCAAGATGCACAGCACGGCTCATCACCGCCGAATCGAAGCTTTTGGTAAAGCCTAGTTCCCCCTCTGGCCGCACCTTCAAGCGTGATCACTTTCTCAAACGACTCGCCCAGACTCTTTCGAAGTGCTCATAAACCCGCCAGCGCGAGAGCACCTTGTAGCCCTTCTCTAAAGCCTGCGCTAAAACGATGCTGGCTTCGCCTCACCCATCCCTCAGACCTGTATTCCTCCTTGCTTCGCCTCACCCACCCCTCAGACCTGTATTTTCTCTTGGCAACGCCGCTCTTCTCGGTCCAACCCTTGCACATTTGGCCACACGCACGATCGCTTCTCCATCCTTCATCCCTTTAGGTCATCTTGAACTCGTCATACAAAGTTTCATGGACAGATACCCCACTCCACTCCCCCTCCCACCTTGGCACTTTTTACAAATTCCATCACACTTGCGAATGCACCCTGTTTCCTTTGGGGGGGGGGGGGGGGGGTTGAAGGGTTGGCTAAGCGCCCACTATCTGGCAGAGCAGGCTGCGGGACTCGGTCACAGCAGTGCTCATTCGCCCCAGATGGCAGGTGTCGACGGGTAGCAGAGCGGTCGCGCATAAGCTACGGGTGGTATTGCATTTGATCCTGCTTGACATGAGTGTAAAAGAGGGGAGAAACTGGAGTTCAAGTGTTTGCTTGACTCGTGGCTACAGCGTCTGATCTCGACGGAGCAAGTGCGAAGTGTACGAAGCTTCGAAAAAGGTTTGCAAGAGTGCGTTGCATGTCTGTACAGGTTGGGAAAGGGAAATGGAAAGTCGAGCGTCCTCGACAGGTGAATGGGGAAAAGGGGAAACGGTTTGGCGATGACGAGGCAGACCCGGCGGACGAAGTACGAAAGTCGGAGGTGATTACAGATGGAGAGCGCAACAGTGACTCGAGAGCAGAGTGGGGCCCGGAGAAAAAAAAAAGCGGGGGTTGGGAAACAGCGTGACTGAGAGTTGGCTGGGACGAAATAGAGGTGATGATGGTGATGTAAAGGAAAGTGCGAAAGACTGATCCAGATGACGAGCGATAAGAGCGAGGCCGCAGTGCCTGAAGGGCTCATCGACGCTCGGTGCAATACGATCCGAAAAGGAGAAAGCAGACGGTGACAGAGCTTGGTAGATGATCAATCGTCGTCGTCGAAAGTCTCCTTGAACTTGGATCCAGCAACGCCTATACTTGGAGTTCTTTTGAGAGGCGAGGAAGGCAAATTACCCACTTCTATGCTGTGACTCTTTGTCGGAACAGCCAAATGTGTTGCAGAAGTGCTCGTCTTGGATGGCACGACTATCGTGGCGGTATTTTTCGTGGACGATTCGGGTGTCCGCATGGATGAAGAGCGTCTGATATTCGCATCCGTAGCCGTGGTCGACAGACCTAGGTCTTGCCGGGCAGCTGCCGCAGCAGCAGCTTTCTGATCCCGCCACTGTTGAGCCTTGGACGTGTACGTCCAAGGACCAGAGCCGACCTCGGAGGAAGATGTCGCTTTGGGCTGCTCTTTCTCGCCCGCCTCTACAGCTGGCAATGCAACAGTGATGGATTGCGGAGATCCAATCGCGTACCTCTGACCAGCGGTGCTTGCTGACTTGTCTGACAAGGCCAGCGATGTCCTGCCCTGACGTTGCTGCTCAGCGTCTCGCGTGGTGGGCGCAGCAAAGGTATGTGCAGCCTCTGTGTCGATAACAAAAGCTGCGGCAGACGTCCCTGCTTGCGCTTCTGGGGCCCGGGGTCCGTTCATCATTTCGAACTCTGGCGACGGTGTTTCTTGGCGCTGCATGATTTCTACATTTGGTGTACGTGGATCTCTGGGAGACTTTGGCTGCTTCAGACGAATGACAGCACTCAGCCTACGGCCGATACCACCACCTTTGTTGGATCCGTCGCGCTGTATTTTGGTAGAGCCTTGCCGGTTGAGGTGATTGGCGGACTCAGCAGGTGCAATGTGGCCGTGCGAAGTGACGGGAGTGTACGCATTGTTGCTGTGCTGGCTGATAGCGCTCCAGGGAGCCTGGCTCCCATGACCAGAACTACTCGCAGCTGGGCTCTTAAAAGGGTCAACAGCAAACGCGGCGCTTGGCGAGATGTCTGTACTAGTAGTGCTTTGACTGGCACCGCGTTGCGAGTGACCGTACCTGCTTGCGTGAGCCACAGAACCAGAAGACGTCGAGGATTCGTTCGAGGGCGCTTCGCCCGAGGCAAGAACTGATGCTGCCGTTCCAGATCGGGATAGACCCAAAGCTGAGGTGGACGTCGCTTCGCTTGCGCCAGATTCGCCAATCACGCTCAGCTCTTTGACGTCTCGCGATCCACCTCTGCCTCGCGTAGCATGCCCTCCTGGACGCGCGAACGACGGTGACACTATTCGCACTCTAGGAGAGCTACTGCCTGCTTCGTCTCCAGCGCCAACACTGTTGGTGCCCGCTTCCAGATCCTGAGGCTCGTCAGTCAGCTCGATACGCTCAGAGCCGGGACGGAAAGGCGCTTGTTGATGATTGGCTCCGTGACGTGCGATGTGTGCACGCGCAGGAGTCGTCAAGGGTCTTCCAGAGGTTGACTTTTGCGAGTATCGCGAGTGCTTGGACCTTTGAGAGGCACTGAGCACGCCTCTTGAGATGAGAATTTCGTCGATATCGTAGGCGTGCTCCAGCACCTTGGACCCCTGGTCGTCCAAAGCATCTCTAGACGCGCCTTTCTCCTTAGCGGAGGCGGCGTTCGACTCGAAAGATTTGGCGTTGGCGCCATGGTTCACGCTGCTGTGATGTTGCAGACTGCTACCACCCCTAAGACTCGTCATCCTACTAACCCTGCTGATGACGCTGTTCCCTCTGCTAAGCGCTTTGTCCTTTGCCTTTTCGTCTTCTGCGATGACGAGGTTGACATTGCGAAGCACGCTCATCCGATTTCGATTCCTCCTTCTCCTCTTGCTCACACGCCAAATCACAAGCACGACGATGGCAAAGATGAAGACAATGAGGATGAGAAAGAGCAACCACTTCCATGGCCATGAACTTCCACCGCCACCATTGTTGCTTCCTGGTGGCGCAAACGTCCCGGCTTGACGACGGCTCAGGTGGGTAGCCATCCCGCTACCTCGGCCACGACCGCCTTGCGATCGTCCGACCTTTGTGCTACGGGAGAGCGTGTGGCGCAGGCAAGGCGATTGATGAGTTGGACGCTGATGCGAGACTGGTGGACAAGTGCCGAGGGAGACACGAACGCAAAGGCGAGGTTGAGCTAGCGAATCAAGAACTAACGGTAAGAGAGGACGAGGCAGCGCAAGCCAATATGATGCCAAAATGAGCCGGGCTAGTGCGGGTCTCGAGTGTCGATTCACTGGGTATGAGGGGAGCCGACTGGAAGCTTGGTGAGTGTGCTATAGTGAATGCGGTGCGCGCAGAGGATCCGGACCAAAGTGGAGATGTGTGAATGCGGCACGCTTGCACGGCGGATGGCGAAGGATGTAGAAGGAAAAGGTGTAAGCCCAAGAACTGCGTGCTGGAAAGGATGACACCACAATTGGCTGGAGGGTCTATGCGTGCAGCGAGGAAGGAGCATTGGTGATGGAGGTGCACGCAGCATCCAAACGCAACCGTACGATGTTTCGCAACCGCACCTTTAGGCGTGAGTGCAAGCAGCAGCAGCGCAGGGCGGCGGGAAGCCAAGACTCACACTGGCAAGACTCACACTGGGCAAAGTTTCACTTTTGCCTGATGTGCAGATAGATGATGCTCGATTCAGCTGCTGCAGCCGCGGTGGCGATCCTCGTAGTCGCGGGTATAGTAGCGGTGCATGCAGCACTCAATGATTCAAATTTCAAGAAGTGCAGCGGCCGGGCAGCAGCAGCAGCAGCTGCAGCGGCGGAACGGGGTGGGTGTGAGCGAGGCACTATACTCACACTCACGGCGTCTCAATAAGCCTGTGCGGATCGGAGCTTTAAAGCTGCTGCTGCTGGGTGCAAAAGGACCTAAGCGGAGGGCCGTGTGCGTTAGCACCCAGGGCCGGGATCTTGGCCTTGATCACACCCATGCAGACCTACGTTGTATAGCTGCTGGTCCTATGCATGCTGTCGCTTTCTGTTTCAAGCGAGCAGGTCTGGGTCTGGAACTTAATGAAAGCTAAGACCTTTCGTTGCTCTGCAGCGGTGACACTGGCCAGCTAGCATGCACTGGAGCGTGCAGCGGGGGGGGGGGGGGGGGGGGGGGGGGGTTCGAGCGCTTGAAGAGGAGTCGCCGGCATGCAGTCGGGAGATTTCTTGCAGTCACGATTGTCTTGTACTCCCGCAACAGTTGTGAGTCACGAGTCGTGATCGAGTCTGAATTCTAATTCGTGGTTGTGGGGGGTGCAGGCGCGGTCGAGACAACTGACACTCGCAGACAGTCCAGAGTGTGCACCGCGTTCGAGGCCTTTTAACCTTCCTCGCTGATATGCTCGAGCCTACACTCCCACTGCGAGATTGTTGTCGCAAGCATGATCACACATCACATTTGGTGTGTGCCTGAGTTGCCCACAAAGCTCTTCATGGGCAGCAATAACGCATGGCGCGCCCTTGCTTTTCCGCTTATTTGCACGCGAGTGAGTCTGTCGCAGCTATATAGCACTTTGTCAAGGTCATCATCGCACTCGTGACTTTAAGTTCCTCGGCAGTCAAGCTTAACATATCACATATGAGTCGGCAGCAACAACACAAGGCGGCGTCTTTTTCGCTCTCTCCAACTCGCATCTTTCTTTGACGTGACTCGGACTTTCAGAACTGTCTGCGTGCATCGGGCGGCAGGCCAGCCGAAACGGCAGCAATCATATACAACAGCGTTGCAGCGCGTATACGCATGGTATATGTATATCTAAATATATGTACCCATTTGATTGGTCACCCCACGAATACCATTTACGCAGCGCGGCGACTTTTTGATGCTCGCGCAATTTACAAGCACCGCGTGCACGCATACACGCACGCCCGCATCCTGCCTGCTTCTACATAACATTCATGCGATTCGTGCGTGTGATGTTGAACACGCAGATATAATCGGCCGTGCATAGGAGCGCCGCGGTCATAATGGCATCCCATTAAGCTGCATGCTGGCAGGATGGACGCGTTTGCACCGCTTCATCTCGTCCGCAGAAATCCTGGCATCAGCTACACTCACGACTCGATCAAGACTATGTACTGCCTCGCTCCCCATGAGCCCCAAAGTTCCAACTCCTGTCGCGCTCAAGCCTCTGTCCGAGGTTGAATTGGATAGTCATCGACCAGCACTCAAGTTGATCTATGAGGGAGATGCTTTCGGAGCGCGCGCGCGCTAAGATCCCTCGTATGACACGCAGCGCATAGTCGCGGAAATCCATCCTTATTCGAGGTGCTCTTCATACATTCCTTGACATTTTGTGTGAGGATTGACTTTGACTAACCAGCCTCTCAACCCACGGTTCTCCGAATCTAGGACGAAGATGCAATCATTGTGGCCTTGACTCCTGACAATTTGCTTGCACGCATCACGTCATGCTCCGGTCAACAACGGAGCCTCCAGCCCCACATCGGACCCAAAATTGGAACTCTTCCGCTGGCTGAGTCAGGTATCTCGATATCTCGTCTTGCTCTGTTTCGGAGCAGCACGGGGCTCAAGAAGGGATCCGAACCCTCTCAAAGGGCAGCCTTCTAGAGCAGGAGAGCCTCATCGAGGCCGTACCTGGACGGACGCAAGGGACTCGACAAGGCGCGATCCTGCCCTCTCCGAGACGTGGTGTGGGGCTGGAGTACGGCGGCGGCTCCTGTCACGTGTGCTCTGACTTTCGGCTTCGTTGGCGAGTTCCACAAGTTTCATCAGTGTGAGTGAATATTCACGATTCAGTGATTGGAGAGTCGCGGGTCTTGATCTTGATGAGATGTCCGCGTCGGCCCCGAGCTCTTCCGCGTGAGGAATGGCCCCACATCTTGAAGATCCACCGTATGAGCGGTGCCGTTCGAATCCGCTCACTCATACGTTAACAGTCAAAGTCAGAATTGAATGATGACTCGCGAAAGGGACCTCATGAGACGTGCGGTCAGGTTTCATGCGTAGACACCTAGTGCGCGGCGAAGGCGGCTTTGTGGGCCATGCGTACCCGCTCATGCTGTAGGTGTACTTCAATAAGTTGCACGAGGAGTGATTTGAAATCCTTGACGCGTGTTGGGTTGGTGATCAGCACGCGAAATCTAATCAGCGGCGAGCTCGTGCAGCGCCGCGCCGCGCCGCGCCGCGCGGCCGAGAAGCCTTTCGCGTCCCAAAAGGTGCGGCGCTTGATCCGAAATGTGTCACAATTTGTAGATTGTCTGCGCTTCGCGACAGCACCGCCCCCTGGCCTCGAAGGACATCATCCATCCCTCATGCGAACGTCGGAATAGGCCAGCTTCAATCACCAATTTGTAACTACGCTCGGTCGACAGCACCTTGCATAGGCCGATGCTCTAGCCTCCCGGATTGCACGTTCGATCTCCTACTCGTGACTGACTCGTCAAGGCATTTCGACTGGTCTGTGCCCACTCAAACTTTTGATGGCGACATGTCCACAAACGGACCTCCTCCAGAGGCACCCGCCTCTTCCCGACCAAGTGGGGTCACCTCCGTTCCAAACGCGGATACCAGCGTGAGCACTGCCAGGCCGAATGGGGCTACGCAAACACCTAAAAGCGCCAATCAGCAGTCCATCAGGCCAGCGACCCCCACAAATGGAACACAGGACTCTGCTGCGACATCCAACATAAGACCTCCGCCAGCGCGACCCTCAACTTCTTCGCAGCCTGTCAGACCAGTCTCTGCTGTGCAGCCCATCCGCCAAGGACCCTCGCTGGCTCACGCGGGTCCTCGCCCGCCGTTGCACAACACCGCACCGCGACATAGCACCGTAGGGAGCGCATCGCCTTCTCGTCCAAGACCTCAACCTCCTCGACCAGCCTCACTCAGTGGTCCACCTGCCTCGTCTGCCTCCATCGTGACGGATACAACACCCAAGACAGCACCGAGAACCATCTCGCAAGCCAGTCAAGCACCGCCAGCTCGTCCTCCTCCCGCATCTGCGAATACTGCGACAGCTCGGCCACCCTCTGCGGGCACTCACACGCCGGGCGTACTGCCAAAGGAAGCGATGCGCCCCGAAACGCCTTCCAAGTCGTCGTTATCTGCCTCAGCGACTGGTCTAACATCTGTACCTGGCCCTTCCAGTCCAGCAAGCTCCGACTCCCCAGCTCCTCCTTCCCGTTCAGCCGGGCACAGTCGAAAGCCAGAGACGTACGCAGATCGCGTTGCCAGCGCGGTGGGGGCCAAGAAGGATCGCAAACGCAAGGTGAGTCAACGTTAGCCCAAAAGGCTCCGCGATGATGTGCAGCGACAACGCTGATTTTGTCCTCCCGGACCTTTATGGACCAGCGCGTCCATTACTCTTGCGCTGAGTGTCATAGACGCAAACACAAGGTGAGCTGAGATCACTTGCGCTGGTTGAAATAAGTCTTGCTGCTCCCTGCTGATCCGCGGCTCACACCTTGACAGTGCGATCGGAACATCCCTTGTCAGGCCTGCATTGACAGAGGGCTGGCAGACACGTGTCGCCCTTTCGAGGAAGGTGACCAGCATGGCGACATGCGCGACCGAGTAGCTCGGCTGGAAGACTTGGTAGAGGGCTTGGCAAAGGCACAGACGGGGCTGGCGAAGGAACTGAGCGAATTCCGAGCGAATGGGACCAAGCCCACCGCGAGCATCGTCAATGCGATAGCGCAGCAGGACGGGCCGCCTCCCGCCAAGATACCCAAAGTGGAAAAGGAGCCTCCCGTGGATCTCGTCTCCGATGATGAGCAACAAGATCCTTTGGCAGCTGGGGCGAATGGCAAAGCGGCACGCCGTGTGCGCCTGCGCCCCCCAGCTTCCTCTCGCGGCTTAGAGCGGGAGGAACTGCAATCTCGGTCAGGAGGTGGCGGAGGGGGTGCTGACGGCAGCAGTGTGAATGGATCAGCATACACTGGTGGTCTCGCAGCAAGCAACGGGGCTGCCCCCTCGAGCTCCAATGATGAGGAAACGGTAGGTGTAAATGCTCTGGAAGGCGGCCTGACCCGCGAAGGAGACAGCTTCTATGGTGCGCTAGCACTGCCCAGCGTCAGCAGGGGTGTCATCGAGACTAGCATTCGCGGCGAGCGTCTAGAGCTGGCAGCCAACGTACCCTTGCGCTCGGCCAGCGTCAAAGTCAGGAGGCTCATCCAAGAAGGTGGCGCCCATCCGGACATTGTCAATGAGCTGATGCAGAATCTGCCTCCGAGGCATGAGAGCGATCAGATGCTGGGCTGGTACTTCAGGGATATCAACAACACTCGCCTACCTCTGCACGAACAAACGTTCAGGCAGAGCTACGAGGAGCTCATGGAGTGGCAGTGGGGAAGCCTAAGAGAAGAGGAAGGGGACGATGGAGCGAGACATTTGCCTTTCCTGTCCTTCCTGTACGTCATCCTGGCTATCGCAAAACGAAATCAGCCAGAGGAGCGAGGCAGTGATGCAGATGCCCGACATGGCGCTTTAAAAGTGAGCAGCTCGGCACTGGCTTAGGAAGCGCCCTAGACAGGCACTGACTTGCGCATACCTCGCAGCTCTTTCACACCGCCCGCAGAACTATGGCAGTGGCTTCGGCAGTACGTGCGGATCACATCGACGTTCTGCTGGCCGCCCTCTTTGGATGCCGATTTCTTATCTGCCTGCGCATGAGTGCCGAGAGTTGGAGTCTGCTCGGGAGCGCCATCCGAGCTGCGCAAGCGTGAGTGCGGCGAGACTCCATTTCCGAGCTGCTGAGTCTCGCTCATGTGTGCTTTCTGCGTCGCAGCATCGGCTTGCATCGAGATGGCACAAAACTTGGTCTTGATGCCGTGACCACGGAGCGCAGGCGTCGCCTATGGGCGCTCATCTACTACCTCGACAAGACAACATCCATGCTTCTGGGTCGACCTCAAGGCATCAATGATCAAAATTGCGACACTCTTGCGCCATCCGACGTGGACATTGACACGCTACCCCGATACGGACCTGCGCCGACACCGGAAGCGTTCCCTCCACCGCCAGGCATTACGCCACCTAGTCGCCCACCCGGTGTCTACGCTTTCGTCGCGATCCGTCATGAGCTCGCAAAACTGACCGGTCGCGTAGTAGAGCATTTTCAGAACCTGTCCCGGTGAGTGTGACCTTCCGCCCCTCGATGTCGACAGAGCGATTAGGAGCTTACCAAACGCTCCTTCATCACAGGCCTCGCAACTATGCAGACGTGACTGCTATCGACAGCGATCTGCAGCGCTTTGTTGATGCCCTGCCCCCAGCATACCGCTGCGAGCCGCAGGGAGGCACCGATCGAAGCTTTGATGAATTGTGCCCTTGGCTTCCATTGCATCGCTACTTGATCAATGTAGAGCAGCTCTACATCAGAATCACTTTGCATCGTCCCTACCTCTTGCGCAGCGACAAATATGCCCGGTCCCGATCGGTAGCCTTCGCCTCGGCAAAGGCCGATCGCGACATCCGCAAAGAGTACAAACGAGACGTCAAATGGCCTAGAAATCGCGCACGCGGCGCACACATGGGTGGACTTTATCGGCTGTTCAACGCTGCATTGGTCGCGGGCATACAGCTGCTTTTGGAGCCGAACTCTCCAGACGCGCCCGAGTTGCACGCAGCGTTGGACGATTTCCTTGCTCTCAAAAGCAATGAGCCTGCAGATACCAGCCAGTGTACGAAACGAGAAGTCGCGATCATTCAGCTCTTCCAGGCGAAGAGCCGGGATCCCAGCTTCTGCGCTGCGACTGCCACAGGTGCCGGAAGGAGCGTGCCCAACCCTCTAGCGGGTCCGAGCAGACCGATCTCAGTTTCGCTTTCCCGCTCGACCTCCAATACGGTCGGCGCAGCTGCGACTACGCTTGGCGGTGCTGGTCCTGGTCTGATCATACCGGTGGGAGGGCAGCTCACAAAGGGTCCCCCACCGCTCGCACCGTTGGCAGAATGGCCGTCTGGTCAGTCGCCGCTGCAAAGGCACGGTAGGATCGCTGGAACGGGCCAAAGCGCTGCCAGTCCTGCGCCGAGTGCTGGCACTCCGATCACACCTGGCGGCACTCGACTCAGCGTCGCTGAGGCTCCTGGTGCAAGCAGCTTGAACAGCTTTGGACCCAGCTCGGCGGGCGGTCTTAGCGACGTGCTGGCGCAAGAGCTATTTGATCAGCTTGGCGCTGGTGTGCTGGACTCTTTTGGGCTGGATCACTCGCCTTTCTCCTGGGACGACGGAGCCAGCAATCGGAGCGCGAGTGGCAGCGTTCCATCGGGTTCGAACGGGCCCGCTCAAAGCGCTGCCAATGCGACCTCGAGCAACACTTCCAACGCATACTCTGTGACGCCTTTGCCAGGCACTTCTGCAGCAAACGTCTTTGATTTTTGGGGCACCTCTGGCACCCCATCTGCGTCGGGCATCGGCTATGGTGGGATCACGAGCTCCACAGCTGGAGCCATCGGTTCGCCCCAGATCGGCAACTCCTTTAGCGACCCCAGCGCACCTTCGTTCGCACCCGCTGGACCTTTTGGCAATCCCAGCATTGACGGAAGCGGCTTGGTGCCGTGGGGAGGCCTCATCGAAGCTATCGTTTCGGGACAGAATACGGATATGCACCAGACTTCTAGGAATGACGGCGCGCAGTAGACGCATCGGTGACGAACAGCCATGTATTACATACGTTTGGACCAGTGCAAGGAGAATTGGAATAGTAGCAGTGCTTCTAGATGAAGGAGATGCGCGCTCGAGGCACATTTTTAGGCGATGTACAGATCCGCAGCCCAGAAGCCAGAGCAAAGAATACGTCATCAGCTGCCTAGTCTCTCCACGACTCTGCCGGCGTCAAGTCTGATCAGCGAAGAGATGCTCTGAGGCCATTCGCTCTCGTAATGCGAAACGGCGATGATTGCCGCGCTTCTCCTCTGTAGCGCATCCCTCTCTCGCTCTTCTGCAGTCTTGCCAATGGCGAACGCATCTCGCGTCGCTTGGCCAGCATCGACCTGGTAGAGTGCGGAATGTGGAGCTGAAGAGTCCAAAAAAGCTCTGCATCGTTCGACTTGATGACTATTCTGATGCTGAAACGGTTCGTCGAGGATGAGAAGGGGAGGATTGCTGATGGCTGCGCGAAGAAGGAGCACGATGGATTGGGATCCCAAGGAGAGGGAAGAGAAGGATTGCTCGGAGAGCTTTTTGGCTGCGTCCAAGGCGTCTGAGCTTCTAGGATCGAACGGCAGCATTGCTGCCGTCGGTGCTGCGCATTCGTTGGCAGAACGATTCGTAAAGGGTGCGCTTTGCGTTTGATCGGTCTGCGAGCCGATGACATCGTGAAACAAAGCAAGCATGCTCCACACCCTTTCCCTCTGCTCTTCATTCAATGCTCTTCTGCTAAATACGCCCTCGAACCCGCTACCCACAGCCTGCCCCACCGTCAACCCGCCCCTCTCCGAATCTTTTCTGGGAAATGCGTTGAAGAGCTCGGGAGAGACGTGGCCGATGCGACGAGCGAGCAGGAGGGTGGCGTTGGAAGGAGCGGAACGTGGAGCTCCAAAGAGCGAAATACGATCGGATGGGATGGAAAAGGATTGAGGGTGATCGCCCAAGATGAGACTCAGAAGCGTCGACTTTCCAGATCCGTTGCTGTTGATGAGGCCGTGCCGAAGAGGTACGGGTGGTCATGAATGCCTGAATGACCCTACCTCGCAGTATCGGCGTGCTCATCTGAAGACTCACTCGCCCACCAGCACCATCCTCGTACCCGGATGCACCTCAAAAGTGATCTCCTGTAGGGAGATGACATGATCGTCAAAGCACAAAGCAAGGAATCGTCGTGGAGGATTCTGAACGTCGTGAGCGCTGCTCGAGCGTACCTCGACACGCCATCGCAGCGACTCACATCCAAAGCCATCTTGCCCGCATACTTGACGCCCACATTTGTAAACTTGACCAGCGGTGCGGATGACTGGCCCAGACTTGGCTCGTTCCGCTTGGATGTTGCGAGCTGTTTGACCAGCCCATAGCTTCCCTGAGCATGCGCATCGCTGTCAGCTTGTCTCCGCATCACATCCAGCATCTCCTCCCTCTCTCCCGCTCGGACTCGACCATCTTGTGCGATGAAGGCCACGTGAGTGATGAAATCTGGCACTTCATCTTGCGCCCGAAGAAAGAGGAGGATCCTGGGATCTCTGGCCGCATGCCTTTCTTGCAGAATTTCGCTGAGCAGCGAGCGGGTAGATGCGTCGAGACCATTGTATGGTTGAGAGAGCACCAAGAGAGCGCCTGGACCTGCTTGTGAGCTGTTCGAAGCGCTGCCAGGGACGGAGGAGCAGCGCACCAGCGCATCCATCAATCTTGCTCTTCTCATTTGTCCATTGGAGAGCCTGATGAGTGGTGTGTGAAGCAGCGCTGTGGATTGTTCGTGCTTGCGCACTCCGGCCAGATCGCTAGCAGGAGGAGGTCTGTCCAACCTGAGCATCGTAGCGGTGCGCATGATCTTCTCGTGCGCTTTCCACGCTGCACTTCTCTGCTTCTCCTTGCCGAGCGCCACTGCCTCTTTGTCGGCTTCAGTGGGTGCGATGAGGAGGTCGTCGGCAACGCAGGATAGTCGAGCTACTTGACCCACGCTGAAGCCTAGCGATCGCATAGCTGCTTCGTACAGCGTCACCGCATCCTCGTCATTCCTCACAGCAGCATATCTCGCCGAGTAGTCGACAAAAGCACCCGCATTGGATGCACGCGCGCCAAAGGAGAGGTGCAGGATGTGATGGGAGGGCGGGAAATCGGGCTGCAAGAAGGGATGCAAGGCGTGAGTGGTGGTGTTGGAGGAAGCAAAGAGAGAAAGAGGTTTGCGTCTGCCTAGTATAACATCTCGAAGCGCTTCTCGCACAGCCTCCCCTCGACCCTCTCCGCCAACGATGGCCCAACATTGCGGCGCATCCCCAATACAAAGATCGATGGTGTCGCTCTGCGAAGCACCGTTGGGTGCGATACGTTGGTGTTTGGGCGGCAGGATTTGGGCTGATCGGAGATGTAGGAGGGGCGCGCCGGATGCGTCGGGGCTGCTGCTGCTGCTGCTCCTAAGTGTGCGGTGGATGGTGGATGTGCATGCTAGCAGAGGAGGATCGAGATTGAAAAGGCGAAGGCGAAGGCGAAGGCGAAGGCTGGGATGGCCAAGCGACATCAAGCGCCCAGACTGATCCTTCAAGCTAAAGCCCAGCATAGTGCGTCCGATTAAGCGCGCGAGTTGCGCAGCTGGCTTGATGGATGCATCGAAAGCAGTGCGCTCTGTGTCTGTCAGCGTGCGCCCGGATCAGGGGGGTGGTGAGGATCTCGATCGAGTGAGGAGCCCTATAGCTTGCGCGCTCGACCGCTGATGCTCCTCCTCCTCCTCCTCCTCCTCCTCCTCTTCTTCTCTCCTTCTCCCCGCTCATTCGCGCACACATGCAACGGTTTGCCCGTGCAGCAGGTCCCGTGCTGCTCGTCGCGCGCTGCTCTTCCCAATTGTAATTGTGAATGCCGCCCCGCGGGCGCGGTTTTGCCGTGCGTTGGACATAGCACAGCAGCCAATGAGCAGCGCACTTATACCGTACGGCACATATGGACAAGTAAGCCTGCCCGACCAGCGTGCACATCTTCTGCTGGAGCAAGCCTGCCCGCTTGCACCTTTACTACGCTCTCTTGTCGATCAAGGCAAGTGTGCGTATACCCATGCCACGATGATGTTCATATCACTTTCCTCAAGAGTCACGAGCTGCAGGCGAAGCGCAAGCTACGCGCACCGTCGTGAGTCTCTCTGCGGTGTACCACACGACGCTACTACACCCTGTGATGATGCTGCTGCCTGCGCCAGCAGTCAGGTATCGCGGGCGCGCGTGTGACTCGCGATCGTTCTCACATCCACGGAGATCCGCGAATCCCGCTCCGATCTTTCTCCATCACCGCGACTCATCAAGCTTGTTCAGCACGGCAGGCTCAATCACGATCACGATCGACTTGTTGATGTCCGTCGAGCTGCAAAGGGAATGGATGTGAACAACCTTCACCATTCCGCATCAACACTCGTGATTTGTATTCAGCAGAGCCTTGCAGCTCACAAGTCAAGCAAACGCCAAGCCAAGACCTAGCAGTCTCGACACTCGCCACCGCATTCATTCGCCCTGATCTCTTTCTTTGCAGCCATCAAAGCAAGATGGCGACGTTGAATGCGGGAAAGCGCATGGCAGGTCTGATCGGTCTGGGTGAGTTGGGGCTTGAATGGAGCAAGACAAGCTCTCTGCCATCCACTTGCTCGCTCATTGCCTCCTACCACGCTCGCCAGATGAGGAGACTGTCAACGCTCAGATCTTACCTCTGCTCGACTCCTTCAAGGATGCTCGCGCTCTGTCCAATCATCTCGAGGTAGGGCGCGGCAGAGGCTCTATCAACGCTTCCGCTGCTCTCCTTTGCTGACCACCTGTGCACCTCTTCTGCGCTGCGCCACACAGGGCCTCCTGGGCTTCTCTCCGGCAGCGACTGCCTTTACGCGAGAGTACGTTCAAGCTCGATTCCCGCCTCTACGGGCCTCCACGAGCGGCTCGGCGGGCAACGGGAACACTTTCGCAGAAGCGTCAAAGCCTGTGGTCGTCAAGGACGAGACGGCACCGCGAAGGTCCAAGAAGGAACCCAAACCTCGTTTCCCACCACCCGTTTCTGCGCCACGAGCTGTGGCTAGCGATGGATTTGCTACGCAGGGTCAGGCTTACATCAAAGGAGAAGCTGAGCAGCAGAGCTTCTTGCAACCTAGAGCAGCTGCAGGGTCGCGCATGAGCAAAGGGTCATCGAGCGGCTCCAACCTTTTTCATACCGGCCCCAACACATCACCCGCCACCCACCCACGCCCCTTGCCGCCTTCTGCACCAGCCATGGAGGCCGCATCGAGCGGCAGCGCGATAGGACGCCAAGAGAGCCAGACGGCTGCTGATGATGGTCTGCCTGAATTGACCCCCACGGCGGACATGATTGCGCTCGACGAGGCAATCGCAACACTGACTTTGGTTGGGGAGATGGGTGGAGCATCCACCAAACAGAAGAAGAGGCGCACCGAGAGACCTTGTTTCTGTCACGGTGAGTGCACGGCAAGAATTGCGCACATGTGGACGAGAAGCTCAATGCCTCCATCTTTTCAACTTTGGCAGCTCGAGTACATCCAGTTCATCCGCATGTGCCGCAATGCACAGCTTGCGGCTTGATCATCTGCAGCGCCATGACCTCTCTGGTCTTCGCAGCCAGCTCCACCTGTCCCTCTTGCGCCTCTCCACTCCTCTCTGATGCGAGACGAGCAGCGCTCGTGTCCAAACTTTCGGCCTCTCGCGATCTTCTTGCGGACGCGCAGCGAGCTCGTCAAGCCCGAGTGCGCGAAGAGCGTAGAAAGGCGAGAGAGGATCAGAGAGCTGCTAGACCTCCCGAGGAACTGTTTCCGGAACTGGGGGGATCAGGCCTGATGAAGAGCAGGCCTAGACCGGTGGATGTAGCGATGGGAAGAGCCGTGGTGCCGGATGCAGAGAGAAAGGCGAAAGTTTTGACGCTCAATTCGAAGACACACAAATTGAAAGCTGCAAAGCCGAAGAAGAAGACGAAGGGCGTTTCGGATATCAAGCAGAGCCCTAGCATCTCGCAAGGCATAGCGGCATCGAACTCCGGCCAAGCGAATGTTTCCGTTGATCGCGCTGCGCCTGCAGCCCAGCAGCTTCGAGAAGAGCCCGAGGAGTCGTCGGAAGAGGAAGATGAGGAAGAGTACGATCCTCTTGGATTGGGACTGGTCCCCGATCCTGACGACGACGGCTTCTCGATGCACGGTCTTGCCGGTCCGCCGGTCCGCATCGTGCCGAACGGATCGGCTAGCGAATCGCCGAGCTGGTGGGGTCTTGCACCTCGCTTGGATGGCGAACCGTGCGCTTTGGGGTATGTGCCTCTGCACGACAGACCCGTCTGGGGAGCAAAGAAGGCAGCGGAGGAGGAAGAGGTGGCTGCGATGGAGAGGTCAAAGGAAGAAGAGGATAAGAGAAAAGCCCCGCCTGGAAGCGAGGCAGTTCAGAAGGGAAGAGGTAGACAGAAGAGGAAAGAGAAACCGAAGCTGGGAAAGGACGTGGGCGCTCTGCCATCGGTCTGATGCGGCAAACTCTTTGGGAGGCATTACGAAAGATGAAAAGTCGTTTGGATGCTGCGTTGGAGCAATGTGGATTTTTGGTGCAAGGAACAATGCAGCATTCACGAATGCTCGAAGCGTGGAGATGAGCAGTATGGCTCTCGAGTGGATGGATCGATCCGGGGCGCTGCGAAGAGGTGGAAATCGGACCGCTTCGTGCTCGTCCGAAGCTTCGTTTGGTCTCAACGAGGGCTGTGGAACAGGTCATCCCTAACGCAGCTCATGATGAGCGTAGCGCAAGCGACGAGTCCGATGATCAGAATGGCGCTCTGCCAAATGGCGTAGGTGGAGATGAGCGGTAGGATGAGACCGTCGGGTGTGCGCTCGTGCTCTAGACGATGTTTGAGGTGAAGGGCTCGAGAGTGAAGATGATCCTCCTGCTTGAGTACCGAAAAGTGTCTCCTTTCGAAAGCGGCCAGCCACAAAGACATGGACACTTCGGCTCTAGAGGCGCAGTGCAGTGCAGTGCAGTGTTTCGTGTCAAGGATGGTGAGAATAGAGGAAATGATGTCGCGCAAGGTCAGCGTGTGGCCATCTAGATTTGTATCGAGATGAGGAGCGAAGCAGAGCCGCGAGGGAAAAGTTTCGGGG